TCTTTGTTTTGTCGTTGTAGATATTATACTGTAGACCGGTGTAATAACAATTTTGTGTATTCAAATTGTATGCATATGTCCCAAAAATGACCTTCTTTGTTTTGCCGTTGTATTTATATTATGATATAGACCAGCGTACTAACATATTCACATTATATGGATACTTTTTAATCAAAGGTTGTTCTTGACAACCCAAAGGCTTGCCCGACATAGCACTAAATAATGTATGCATATTTGATTCCAACTATTGTAGTTCATTCATTAATAACAGGTAAATGGAATACATCGTCACTATAGGTTCCCAGGAAAGAAACATCCATACATGTTTAATAGGCCTATGTTAGTAACCCGCTCTATTGCGATCAATATAGCATGTTGAAGTATCAACAGAATGATAAGTGTTGACAGCTGGTCATACCAGCAGTCCCTGTATGGAGAGCCCCAACATAGGCGAATCAAATCGGTTCGCTGCTGCTCAGATGATGGTACGTATCACCAATCAGTTTATATTTAAAAAATAAAAGGAACTAAACATTTCTAAGACATGTAACATAAGAAGTTTGAGTGGCACACAAGGTAATATTATGAAAGTGCTATACATGTATCTTTGATTGTATTGCCTTTAATATCTCTAGCATAACAGTACACAGTGGGATCCGGTTTCCTTTTGCATACAGACACTTTGTAAAAGAGTCTTTCACCTGGGCAGTGTTTCACGGACTCGTCACAAGTACAAGTTCACCGATATCCCATTGAAATACGTGTATTAAGTTTAACACGCGTTTCAATGGGATGTCGGTGAACTTGTTCTTGCGACTGTTTCGTGAACCAATGCCCAATGCTGACATCCGTTGTGTAAAGAAAAGACGAAAGTTAGAAAAACAAGGATAGGAAAAGCAAATACGCAATGGCCGTATGATGGGAAAAACCAGTTCCCTCCCGGATTCACTTATAGAGCTAATATTGATCTTGTAGATTTATACGATTGAATATATTGAATTGAATTCATTTGTTTATGTACCATCTACAAAACTTTACGTGTAGATTATCTATAATGTCCATGTGCAGTCAGCAACTTTAAATGTAAATGTAGCCTTTTTTGTTGTTTTTGTTGTGATAAACTAAACTGGGGGATGTTTTGCGGTAAAACAGCGTCCCTAAGGAATAATGAAAAAGATGCCAAGTCTGGGCTTCCAGCCAGAAATACACCACGTGTTGAGTGGAATGAAGGTCAGAGGTCACCATTTAAGGCCCAACCTCCGAAACGCAGACTCAGACAGGATTTCCAGAGACTGATTCAGCAGCCCTCCCCCCCCCCCCCCCCCCCCACCCCCACCCCAATCACCACCACATGTACTCGTACACAGCACATGTAATTCATGTTCTCGGCCTAATAAATGTTCAAAAGTTTTCCGTTTCTACTTTTTCCAAGATAGCTTACACAAAAAATATTCATGACGTTCATTTCTTTATTTTCTCTTCTTATTTTTGTGTTGGTTTGAATTTTATGTTAGAAACTGGTTAGGCCTATAATCGACCCACGCAGACAGAGGAAAGAAGCAATTATGCAATCTTCTTTTTCTTCTTCTTCTACTTCTTATTTCATCATTATTATTACGAATTAAAATCAAATCTTTGATGCCTTCGTAGTACCATACTTTTGTTGTACTACTCCTGTCGAGCTTTCAAAATAGAAGTCATTCGATTCTTCTGAGTATAAATTTGAAATTGAATTTACATAGGCTTAGCTCCCCTTCTACAAGCTACAAGCAGGGGCGTACGCAGGATTTTTTCAAGGGGGGGGGGGGGGTTTTAAAATATTTTGCTCCCGAAAATTTGAAAATCGCGCCGGCCGAAAAGTCGCTCAGTGGGGGGGGGGGGGGGGGGGGGGGGGGGGGGGGGGGGGGGTAAGCGGACACTTTTTTTTTTTTTTTGGAGGTCAAAAAAAATCGCAACGACTCAGCCAGCCGAAAAGTCGCTCAGTGGGGGGGGGGGGGGGGGGGGGGGGGGGGGGGGGGGGGGTAAGAGGACAATTTTTTTTTTTTTTTTGGTCTCGAAATTTCAAAATTTGACATTTTTTGTCGTTGGGGGGGGGGGGTAAGGTCACCTTATTTAGGTTAGCCGTGGGTATAATTTTTTTTTTTTTTTTTTTTTTTTTTTTTTTTTTAAATAATAAAAAAAAAAAAAAAAAAAAAAAAAAAAAAAAAAAACCAAAGGGGGGGGTTTTAGGTTTTTTTAGGGGGGGTTTACATACATATAAATACCAAAGGGGGGGTTTGAACCCCAAAAACACCCCCCTGCGTACGCCCTGGCTACAAGCAAGACAAAATCATTCACTTTGTGGAATAATTACATTTCCTTCTCTTGTAAATTTAATTTGAAAGCTAATGGCAAACGCAAGTGTGTGTGTGTGGGGGGGGGGGGGGGCATAGTGGATAAAAAGTTAAAATATCGCTATGCTCCTTTAATAAGTGCTCTGCATGCAGTCTGCATATATCTTAATAGCGGATAACTCTTGCACACATTTGGCGCCAATTGCAAGATCACGTGATGAAGTGGGGGATTCCCCACTAGCTTAGAAAGGGGATGTTGCATTGGCGTCGAGCCAGTCTCTCGGAGTATCACTTTCAATTACACATAATTTCAAGGTAAACAAAAAGGAAAGGAAACAAAACATTGGCCAACTTACAGATATTATTTCATATTTTGACACCAACAAAAAAGAGCCTTGTATGCTGGGTAGAGAGTATTCAGCAGATCGACAAGTCTTGATAGCGCAACATTCAGCGCTTGGGAGAGGGAGCCGACTTTTTCTTTCTTAAAACCTAGGTGGATACGCATATGTTCGTATAGTCTTTCCAAGTAATGGTCTGAAAACATTTTCAGTGGATAGTGTGAAAAGATATAAATTCTACTGCATTTTATGGTGGTATTTCAGTTTCATTTTCCTTCGAGACCAAACTAAGATATTTAAAACGTAATCATAAGACTTCCCACGAAATGTTTGAAAAGTAACAAAGATTATACTAAAGGTTAAAACAGAATAAAGGGAATTATTAATGAGTATGACATGTCGTACTTAGATAGAATAAATCTAGTATTCTAGGTAAATCACGATTTGTACAGTCTCCCTTGAATTCTAAATCTTTATGACCGATTTAGTCTGAAACATAAACACAATCAAACAGGAAACGTCACCTCTAAAGAAGTTCATGAATTTATACAATGTGATGTTCATGCACAAAGATTAATTGGCCAGAATTCACAAAGCAAGGTTTGAGCTCAAACCTCCTTTTGTTTCGCCAAACCTCCTTTTGTTCTTTACAAACCAGGTTTGTAAAAAACGCGTAAAACGCGTCATATGACGTACGAAACCCAAGGTTTATCGACAAACCTCCTTTGTGAATTCGGGCCATTATGTTTGTGCTTGCAAGCGAATTCGGGACTTTACCCTTTTTAATATTAACATACGTCAATGTTATTTCTTATCTCGAGTGCGTATATTATTTTGTCAAGTGCAATGTACAAATATGGCAATCGTTTTGTTCAAGTTTTTCTGGAGGAAATGAGGTGATTATGATTAACAGTTAAAGAATTGATTGTGTTTAAGAAAGCCACATTCCTCCCATTTCCCCCTTCACTAACAACAACAAAACAAAACAGAAAATAAAATCAACTCTTTATCTACCAACTTTTTCTTCATCTAAATGCATATTTTTAACTAGAAAATAATGTTATAGGTAGAAATTGCGCCGTATAATTTTCAATAATGTGTCAGTCCAAATTTGGTGCAGTTTTATGTCCAATTATTTAGCTTTTTTTTTATTTGGATCGAAAATGTTTGACCGAATCACAATCACCTTTTACGACAAATAGGGGTTAAGTTGCCAAAGATGCGAGTGCACGAAAGTTGGTCGGACAAGCTGGACAATTTCTTATAATCCAACATGTTTAACAGTGCACGACCGTCACCCCTCTTTAGGAGGGGGGGGGGGGGGGGGGGAGGGGGGGGGGGTGATAAGGGACTAACGTACTAAGCAGGAAAAAAAGCTCTGGATAGAAAAAGATACTTGTACGCCTATATCATACATAATACATAGCACAATCCGAAATTATTTGGGTGGGCAGCATTTAGCGGTTTAATGCAAATATAAATGTGTATATCTAGACGATAATTAAGAGTCAATGTGTGGCGTCGTGTGTGATTTCTTGTGAAGATAATCGAATCAAGGTCTAGTTTTAGATTAGAGTCATAATCTTACACGTGGGACGTGGTTTTCCGGTATCTCTTTTGATACGGGGATTTCGCAAGACTTCCTCGATGACGTCATGACGCTACAATACACCACAGTCGCTATACATGTAGTACTGACGCAAACATATGCGATTTATATTTATATTCATAATAATATTCATAATTACATCTAATTCTTCTTCTTTTACCCACGATATCTAATTAAATAACTCAATTGATCGGTCCACCATGAACGAAAACAGTCACGATAACTATTAAAACATGTAGCTAGCTCCAAATCGGTGTATGGCAGTTGTTGTTGTCTTTTTTGTAAATAAAACATAAATATAAACACAAATGCACACACTATTAACGACAAATATTACTAAGGCTATTTTATTAGACTTATCCATCCCCTTTTGAAACGTGCGAACATTACAACGACGCATTTCATATCAAGATGATTTCAAAGGTTGTACCACAGGCAAATTGCCCTCGAGTTACTTTTTGTCTTCAAAGTATTTGCGATAGTTTTCATTGGAGTCCATCTAAAATCATCTATAGCTGAAAATCGATAATCTGACACAGTATTAAAGCGCATTCAATTCACACGTAGAGCAATACGAAGCAATACAATGTATATTTCTACTCTGAAAACGATATCTTTATCAATAGAGTACATTTTCAATCTCGGTATAGAACATAATTATCCAAACAACAGAAAAATATGACATATATGAGGGCAGAATGGTAGTAAAGAACTTACTTTGTCCAGGAGCCTGCATGGGGCCCGACGTCTGAGGTGGCGCCCCAGGGGGATGGACGGGGCCGGCGGTGGAGGAGGGGTGCGGCCCTCGTGGTCTCATAGGGTAGTATTCGCTGTTAGGAGGTGGTGGGATGTACCCCTGTCCCGCTGCTCCCGGATGCCGGATCCTCTCCTGGTGGTGCATCTCACGAAAGGGGGGAGGGGCTGATGGGTGTGGTTGGGAGGTGGAGGAGGAGGTGGAGGAGGAGGGGGAAGGAGCAGAGGAGGTAGGGGAGTGGGCCGACACCTGTGTGGAGGTGTGAGGGGCTACGGGTCGGGGTGGGGAAGGGCGGGGAGGAGAGGGGCGGGGCGGAGAGGGGCGTGGTTGGTTGGGGTGATGGGGGGCTTGAGAGAGTGCAGGAGGGGGTCCATGCGGTCCTGGATGGGTACCGGGTGGGCGGGTGGCACGTGGAGGGTAAAGCGATAGACCTTTAGTCAAAACATCCAATCATAAGATTTAGTCTACAGACATTAATCCAATTCGAGACTGAAATGTTAAATTAAATAGTACAAACATTTTTCTTATTATGGAAGATAAAATATAATTAATGTACATCTGTTCTAATATGATTTTTTAACATGACGTATTTTAACCATTTTCTTGCATATCAACATTTCGTCATTTATTAGGTACCTGCAATTGGAGAAGAACTTAAATAATTTAGTTTTTAGTCTATTTAATACATTTGTAAGTTTATTATGGATTGATTATCAAACCTTGTGTTATTTTGAAACCCTAATCTTTCAAAAATAGGGGGCTTTTACGTAAACGATAAGCAATGGACGCAACGCCATTATAGTTTAGTCCTTCTTCGGTTCCGAAGAAGAATGTAGGGAAGAGTTTTTTTCATTTTTAAACTTACCTTCTGGCGGTGAAGATGCAGCCGTGACCGGGTGACGAGGCCTTAGAAGTGCTTCAGCTGGTAGAGCGTGCACACCATGAGGGCAGTTCCAATCGGTAGCCGATGTGGTCCTTGCTGCGGGGACACATGCTGAGGCGGTGCTTGCCGCGGTAGCTGCTGCGGTAAGCCAGGCCGGTGACGAGGCGCCGCGGTAAACTCCTGGCCTTGCGAGACGCCTCCTTGTGATGATGGCGGCGGTGAAGTTGGTGATTTCTTCCGATGCGGTAAGCGTGGCCGCGGGTGAGACGGCTTTTCTTGCGGCAGCGGTCCGCTCGGGGATGGATGACCTGAAGGGTGTTTCTGCGAATTTCCCGGATAAGATCCAGCCGCGCCGAGTGACCTCGGCGGTGCCCCATGGGCTACCAATCTGTCCATACTTGTAGGTATTCCTTGTTGTATTCCATGCGGCATATGGCCTTGTTTGTCCTGTCTCCCGCTCGGAGTTGGAGACACTTTAGCAGGGCTGGAGTCAGACGTCACATGAACCACATGCACGGGGCTCCCCCTTGGCACCGGTGAGGTCTTTTTCTTATGCGAACGAGGGCTTATGGTCTTGACGTAATGTTCCGTAAAGTGTGCTGCGGAAGGGGCATTCGCTGGTGAAGCAACAATTATTCTTGGACCTTTAGATGCCGACATAGTCGGTGCTTTGGCAGTCTTAGTTGGTCCTGAATGCTTGACCGGGGAGGTTGCCCCGATGGTCACTGGTGTATGGTTGCTCTCGGTAGTTCCCACAGCCATCTTGGGGCTTCCTACAACGGTATCCAAGGCAATGGTGTGCGCATTGAGGTGCTGTGGAACCATGTATGCATGCGGAGCATGAGACGGGGTCGGCCTCTTGAAGGAGCTCGCACCACCGTGTCCAGAAACCATCGCATCTGGCGGCGGCACCACGCTCATCTGCCGATGCACCGGACCACCTGGTTTGGAGGGTGGTCTCACAAGCATCGTCTTGCTCACATTCCCTGCAGCCGTCGTGTGTTTCACGAGCGGTGGAGGAACGACGGGGGCTCGTACGCCTGGCTTGCTCCGAACCTCACCACCCTCCCGTTCTCTCTTCAGAACCTTCTGAGGCGGTGCTGGAGGAGGCTGTGCTGGAGGTGCAGGGTTAGACAACACCGGCTTGGAGAGGTTGAGCGGAACATTCTCCGATACTGGTGTCGTCGGTTGTGCCTTGACTTCCTTCTTCACCCGTAGATCAAGCGGGGCAGAGCCATCTACCTCCGAAATCTCCCCCTTTTCTACACTCATTGTAACTCAAACACAACAACTTCCTTGTCTATGCATAGCATTCCAAATTCCCGTTCATGCGGTTGTATAGAGAAAACGCGCGAACCATGTCCAATTATACCAACACGCGGATCTCAACACACGGCAGGGCACGCTGAAATGTACCACGTTCAAAACGGGAAATCCCCTATGATATCAACAACTATCAAATGTATTTGAACGCAGTGCAGGTGTTTACATTATTCGAGGCAGTGTGCGACTTGTTGAATACGCGAATGTTTCACTACACGAGAGTCTCTCTTCGAGAAATCTGTTGAATAAACAAAAGCATAAAATTTATTGTTATCCTGGATTGACAGAAATAATAAATTGATGGTCTAAAAACAACGGTCACACAATAATGTGCATGAAGTATATATCACATCCTAAACGTAGGTCTTTATTTTCTCCCCTTCTCCCTTTCTTTCTCTCTCTGTAGTATATATATATATATATTTCTTCTCTTGCTCTCTCTCTCTCTCTCTCTCTCTTTCTCTCTCTTTCTTTTTCCTTTTTATGCATAACTATTGAGGCTCTTTTGCACTCTCTTTCTCTCTCATTTTTTCTCTGTCCCCTCCATGTGTAAGCTCCTGTCTTAACGATTTTCGTTATCAACAACGTAAAAAAGGGATTTGGAAAACAGCTAGGCCTCTTTGAAGTAGAACAAAAATAGCTATATTGAAGTTTAATTTTACCTACGATGCTCACACTTCATTCGTTTATAATGCACGATGGCAACTGCCTCCTTTACTCAACCTGAGGCATATTCCATATTAAAAAAAAAATTAAAAAACCTGAGGCATTTTCAAACAAAACAATGCATAAATTAATAAATGAATAGAGAATAAATAAATACTATCACACACAATCAGAATATATACTATACAAGCATGAATGCACCCAGTTTCGTCTCACACGAATTTTAGACTAAAAAGTGACAGGAAAATATAAAATTATCTTCTTCCAGATACACTGTCACTTCACATACATTGCATTATTAGGCGAGTAAGAAAACATCTGGTGGAAGAGACTACGAATATATAACATGAATGATTCAGCGGTTCTTCCCCCCAAGTACAATGTCAGATCGGGGATTTTGTTGACGTCATTGCCATTGCTAAACACTCATTCATGATTTTGAATGATGCACATGAATGCAGAGGCGGTTCTAGATGATTATATTTTTGTGTGGGGAGGGGGGGGGGGGCTTGGGTTTTTTTACATACAATTTTCTAGATGTGTCTCGCGACTTCTTGTGGGGGGGGGGGGGGGTGGGTGAAGTATTTTATTTCTGTAGTTAGAAACTACCTCTAGAACCGGGATTGCACGAATATTAGCGATTCTACGTCACATTGATGGCAACCAATTTCCTATATGTTCTGCCCGAATGCCTAATTCCACACTGGACCAATAAACACGTATATTAAGCCTATTGATATAACTCCAGCGTCCATAACCTTTAAAAACGCAGCCCTAAATTACCCAAATGTACATCTAACCTATACATCTTTGACGAAATAAAGAGCAGATCAAAATGTCACCGGAACGAATGTCTGGCAATTGAGGGAGATTGGCCAGGAAGATGACTTTTGTTTCACTAACCATAAGTATAACATTCCTCCTATTTTCTGAACCCCTCATTGACATTTATTTCATGTTAAAGATAAGAGAGTCGTAACATTTTGAAGGATCAAGCTTCGTTCTCAATGTAAGTTATCATTTCAACAATAATGAAATAACATTTAATTAAATAACTTCCATTCGTAATTAATTTCTATTTTCTCTATTTAGAAAATAAACAAAGATACATGCATTGTATGTCGGGTTTTATATGAACCCTGTAAAAAAATTCATTCATTCATCAATGAACAATATAGTTAAAACGTTTTCCATAAAAACTATTTAAATTTGTATATGGAAGGAGACCTCGAAAGCTCAGGCAGATCAATCTTTTCTTGAGTGTGTGTGTGCACAAATTCAATATAATTTATAACTTTCTTATTTATATCGGATTTGGCTCAAATGTATACTGATCCATATTTTCTGCTTTCACCTAAATATCTAGTAGACTACTCATTCTTCTCTAGAAAAGCTATATTTCATTTTCATACTTCAAACTCGGTATAATCAGCTTCCAATGAGAATATTGAGAGAAAAAACACCTCACAGTTTATTATCGAACCGTCGAAATTCGAACAAAGACTACGGTCAAACATTCGAACAAACAAACGAAACAAAAACCAAAGCAAAAAAGAGAATCACATTTCACAATGTCATACGCCGCTTAAAGGTAAAGACCAGTATTGGAAAACGCCCCAATTTCAAAAAATGAAATAGAAGCTCTTATTACCAATCATGTGAAAGAATATGTTTTGAATATTACATGATGATCAAAATTTGACGGGAAACCGCCTACTATTGATATATTTGGTAAATTAGTGTATCTCTCGCCCGTTGAGAGATATGAAATGCACGTGTCGCGCACGTGTGTGTAGTCCCATATACATCTTTCTGTGTACAGTGCTTCTAACTTTATGAAGACTTGGCCAAATTTCTTATCATTTTGATGATTCCAGAACCTTGCAGTACATCTACATGTATGCTAGATGATCAACCTTTTCTGATCGATTTCACAACGTTTCTTTCACAACGAAATCGCATGGCCATAACTGGTCTTTAGCTTTAAACATTTAACCTTTCTGGTGTGTGTGCGTTATTGTATGCTAAACAGTTTTCGATAAGGGTCTGGATTATAAGACTACAAACGGGTAATCACCTTTCGGAAGGTTACGCTCATGCGCAGAAGGGCCTTGTTTGGTCAAAAGATTGGTGTCGTTTCTTTCGCTCGCATTCCGTAGGGAATGGTTGTTCAAACACTATTCTATGCGCTAAATCGGTCACCTCCCTGGTTTGTGAATTTAGTATGAATGGTGAGATATTCAAGAGAGCGAGATAATTTTTGAAAAGTGTGAAACACATTAAAAACCAAATTATTGTCAGTATGATGTTATATTTGCATTGCTTACAGACTTACAGCCCTACATACAAACACGAACAGCATGTACCATGGGTAATTGGGTATGCAAACAATACCACAAAGAGCGCACAGCAAGTGGAATGCTGGCTCGTCGTTCCTGCAAATTCATGAAAAGATAACTATAAAAAAAAAGGCAACTAGTGACTGATTTTTGTCATATTGCGCAATATTCATGACCTAGAATTGCGCAATATTCTTGAATCATATTTCGCAATAGTTGTTTACACTGCAACGCAGTTGTTGGCATGGATGTACCAAACGTATTGCACATGTACGTTGTTGTATCATATAACCATTGCACAATGCAACCGTAGATTGAGGCAGAGCGGAGGTTTTACAATAAAGGGGTCGCAGGAAAAACATGTCTGCTTGTACATGCTACGGGATTTCCCCCTTCCCCTAGAAAAAAGAGACGCATGATTCCTGACACCCCATCTATCTCTTCGACCCACCCCCTCTTGTTCCTGTCTGTCTATCTGTGTGTTTACTGACTGTCTGTCTGCCTCTTCTCTCTCTCTCTCTCTCTCCATTTTGCTCTAGCTCTGGATCCCAGCTGCCAGGGTACTTATGTTCTTGTCTTTCTCTCTCCCCCCCCCCCCCCTCTCTCTCTCTCTCTCTCCCCTCTGTATAATGATGTATACCTGCGATGTATGCAAAATGTATGTATAAATAAATGTATGCGATATGTCACTGTGCACAGATTATAATTTTGGATATTATACACTAGTACACACAGGGTGTACATGTGGTATTGCAGAATGAGCATGTACATGTAGACCCACACGTATAATGCACAATACATTATTAAGTTTTAACCTTGCAAAACGGTGTAGCCAGGAAATTCATCTGACATCGCTTGACAGCTCTACTCAATCGAGAGACTCGTCCGATTTGCAGAATAATAAAGCGTTATCAAAGGCGAGAAACGGATGAAAAGGAAGAGAGATATGTGGGGGCGGAAAAACCATGTATACGTTGTGTCTGAAATGTATTGTTATGTGTATTGGACGTCCATAATTGTTTGCTGTGCGGATGTAGTCTGCACGCACAGACAGTATTTTATCACTACTAATAATATACTGGTCCATTTTTTAAGGGCGCAGCTACTATATGAATATGCCCTACTGTGTTTGATACAATGTACCATATCAGAACAAGACGCTAAACAGACTCAGAGAGTCGTCCGATAATTCTGATACCACGGTCTCAACTATCAGAAACTACTCTCTACGACATTTAATTATATTAGGAAACTGCATTCACATGGTACATGTACATGTACATGCCTATACCACGGTTCCACACGACATATTAGCATACTAACTAAATATGGGAAAAAATCATCTGACTAAACACATGGAAAGTATACTGGTACGTACATGTATAATAATTATAGTAACATTGTATCTCTAATTTGGTTCAAATAATCACCTTTCTCATTCTGTTATTTTCTGCTATCAAGATTAATTCCCCCTTTCATTTGTAAACACACCATTTGTTTTTTGTTGTTGATATTGATTTAACAACCATTTGATTCCCCCAATGTTATCATCACCGTGACTGCAAAGCTGCGACACAACCAGCGGAAAAGACAATACACTTGAACGGGCAAGTCCCCCGGCTACGTCACTAGGTAATAGTCTGCGAAAACAGTCCCATTTATGAATTCTAGCAATGTACCCCCCCCCCCCCCCCCCCCGAATAACGACATAATAATAGTTACAGTAAGATCGGTTTTCCGACTTCGTTCAAAATATCAGCATCACATTTCTGTTTCTTTTATTTTTCTGTTAAAATCAAGGTCGGTTCTCCCGATGCTTTGTAAACATGCCACCATTTCTTCTATGTTTTATTTTTTATTGATTTAACAGCCCCAACGTTATTATTACCGTGACTGCAATGCTGCGACACAACCAGCGGAAAATACAAAACACTTCAACGATCGGGCAAGTCCCATGGCTACGTCACTAGGTAATAGTCTGCGGAAACAGTCCCATTGTTGGTTTCTAGCAATGTACCCCCCCCCCCCCCAATAAAGACTCCGAAATCGTTATATTCTTTGGATTTAAATATTTCAAACGATACTCTATTAATACACTTGTCATCATCTGCAAACGAAAATGCAGAAAGTGGAACTGAATTTGATTTTCTTGTAGTCGTGATCAGGGGCGGATCTAGCTTTTGCCAAGGGAGGGGGGGGGGGGGATCCGCCCCTGATGATGTGTTCCAAACACAAAATCTGCGCGAGTAAATGTGTGTTGTAAACTAAACTAAGTGACATCTGTGCATTTTGTCGGTCTCGTATTAGTCTACATGTACAGACCATTGTCAGTTGTTGAGCGCAGCAGTGTCTGCAATATGAGACTACAGTAGGACCTGTACTTTAGTCGCTCTTATTTTGACACAGTCAGAAACAGACAGAACTAGGCTCTGCTCAAGACTTTAGAAATGGTCGTAGTGTCAAATCAGAGTCTGCGCTTGCAGACTAGTCTTCACGTAAACGAACGTGCGCGGTTTGTGTACCTTATGCATGAACAAGTGGGAAAAGTGTTCACTACGACTATACATGTATTTTTCAACGCAGACATATGCATTGGATATTACCAATGAACTACTACATGCATTGGAATTAACATTTAGACATACATGTTGTAGCCTACAGTTAGTGCAGAGGTGTTTATGTCAAAATTGAAGGGCATACATGACTTTGTACATGTGATTACATGTACGTGTCATGGGTATTCCCCCGTTATCAAAGAAAATTTGGAGGGGGCGTGGCTGATTTAAATCTCCCTGGGGAATCAAAAAGGGACCTTAAACATGATTAATCTCCACGTACATGTATGAATGTGATGAATTATTGTATTAACTTGAATTATCTCACTGATAGAGCGAAATACTTCTTGAAGATGGACAATTAGGGGACCCATGACTCTTAAAGGTAAAGACCAGTTATGGTCATGCGATTGCATTGTGAAAGAAACGTTGTGGAATCGATCAGAAAAGGTTGATCATCTAGCATATAAGTCTTGGTGTGTACTGCAAGATTCTGGAATCATCAAAATGATAAGAAATTTGGCCCAGTCTTCGTAAAGTTACAAGCACTGTACACATACACATGTATATGGGACTACGCACACGTGCGCGACACGTGCGTTTATCTCTCACAGTCCAATAGATAAACTAATTTACCAAATATATCAATAAGTAGGCGGTTTCCCGGCAACATTTTTATCATCATGTATTAGTCAAAACATATTCTTTCACATGATTGGTAATAAGAGCTTCCATTTCTTTTTGAAATTGGGGCGTTTCCAATACTGGTCTTTACCTTTAATGTCTTAGCCGAGGGGATTTGTACCTACATGTACATGCGTGTACTGTTAAGGATTCGGAAGGAAATGGAAGGAAACCTATGTGTACAGTGTCCTCCAGGACAAACTAGACGTAATGGCATTGTTTTTCTTTTGTGCTAACACACTAATACATGTAGGCTACACAAAAACACTACGCTATATATGGCCAATATAGATTAATGTCTAGCGAAATGACGTTAATAGTAGATTCTTACAACTAGCGCATACTAAAAAAAAAGGCCTCTATATTCCCTTTGATGTTAGCGATGTGGCAGGGTTTCGAACCCCGTACCCTGTCCCGCATGCCAGTGATTTATCCACTAGAATACACCACCTCTTCCCTCAACTGCATAACGTTCCTAGAGAAATTACTTATTACCACCTTGACGTCATTACCATTTTTTCCCGTCTTTTGATAATCTTCAATAATCACCATCTCCATTTATTTTCCCCCGAAAGGTAGAAGGAAAAGGTCAACCCATTGTGCCGGATCAGTAACCTAGGAGACGAATCCCCGCCCCCATCATTGTCAATGCATTTTTAATGTACACAGATATCATACACCGCAAGAAAAATTCCCCATGTCATGCTTCGAAGTTTGAGGACTCATCGAACTTTAGACCGGTTAAAGAAAAGAAAAAAAAGACAATGTAAATAAATAGATCTGGAGGTCTATTATATTTTAGCACGACCCTTTAAAATTTTCACTAGGTAATGTTGACTTTGCCTATACACGTGATGGTCTTTTATCTTTATGTTTGATTTCCTTTAGCTTTCCTTTCCCAGCCCCAGGTTCAAACAAAAATAGTGCCATGCATGTACACCAAACAAAGAGACAACGTCGCAATGTCTTTCTCATAACAAGAGGCGTATCCAAAAAATGACTTACGGGGGGGGGGGGGGGGAGGGGTCCTCCAGCTCCAATTTAGGGGGAAATGGGAAGGGGTTAAAGGTAATGTACAATATCTGGCCAAATTTGGGTAGCTGTGGGGCGCTCTGACATGCTCCGGTGACAACTACTCCGGGCTTCATTTCGTTGGGTCTACAGTGTTGCAACTGGTTACAGGTTGGGCTTAGGGTTAGGGTTAGGCTTAGGTTTGACCGAAAGCTTCCACCAAGACTACGTGTGGCTCTACCGACTACCTCTATGTGTATGGGAAAGTCGACAACTTGACACATGCCAGTTTTCTTGAAGAGTACAGTACCCCATACCAGACTGTCATTTTTGTCTGGGGATTGAGGTAAAGCAAGGTACAGTATCTCCTTGGGTAAAGTGTGGGGGTCCAGGACTGAAGTTAGGAATTCGGTTGGTGTATGGAAAATTGTAATTGACCGCGGACCAATCGTCGAAGGATCAAGTGTCGTACACCTATTGCACACGGAGCCTAAAGGGCAGTTTCTTGAAACCTGCACAAGTCTAACTTCTTCGACAACCCGTACGCGACCGGGGGATGTCCAGTTTGTCAACGAACTTCGACTTATGACGGTTTCGAGAAAATCCCCCCCCCCTTCGCTCACTGATGGATACGCCACCGTGCGAAGACCTTCATTTTATTTTTAAGTTGGTTGGTTTCCTCGTGATACGTAACAATGGGCATGTGACCTTGATTTCTTCACACCAGGTATTTAGATGAAAGTCACCGAGTTCGGATGCTTGCATCATGTCATTCCATTATGACGTCAACAAAATGTTCACACCTGTATATAATCCAAGTACAGTCGCGTGCTGATTCGGTTTTTAACGAGTCACAACATGACACAAAGCTTATTATATTGGCGATTTGACGGATTGGAACGGACATTAAATAGTGTGTAATCCAAACATTTCTTGAACTGCCTTTTTTTGTCGAGACATAATTTTATAATAATGCTACATTACTCGTTTTCTTTTTTCTCCGATACTTACAATTTATTATTTGTTATATCTTGCTATTCTGTACCATTCATTTAAGTAAATCGTGAAGTCATGTGGACGGAAAAGAAACCTTAGTTATTAATCTTGTTTCCCCCCGGCATCCATGCAACTCATTTCAAATCTTACTGTTGTTTTGTATTCACCGTTTTCTTGACTGTGCCTTGCCGAATAAATCATAATAATAAATTCAAAAATCTCATGTAAGATGAACAACCAAAATGAAATTATTTCGTTACATGTTTTGTTTTATTTTGCCTTATGGTTTTTTTAATTTTACTTTTCAAGGTCATACTGATTCACTTTCCGTTTCTCGGTCAATTAAAGTCAAAGTGAAATAAAGAAGCTAATTATGAATGAGTCAGATACATTAATTAGACTACTACTCTATTGCAAAACATACAATTCCTGAACACAAGATCAATATTTATTGTGGACAAAATGGTATCATGTTTTTTACACGTTTCTACATGATTTACTGGAGTAAAATCAGCTCAAATATTTTCATGTACAATTGCAACTCTAAAGTTTAATTTTAACTACGATGTACTTTGCATTTTAGAGTCGAGCTCGAGTCTACTTTTACAAAGACACTCATAATATTTCTTTGGCCTGTTAGTGTTATCAGGTTCTTGGTCTTCACCATCGTCACTCCGTCCATCACATGTGTGACATTCACAGCCATCACATGCACACACCACCCATACTAACAGCAGCAAGCAGCAACAACAACGTCTTGGTAAAAGTCACAAAATATATAGAATTAACCCAGGCATAATTTATCCAAGAGACTATTTTTGTAAATGAACCTCTTTGCTCTTCAGATATATTTCTGCGAAGGTTTACAAGTATGATTATTGGGGACCTCGGGGAAAGGTCTGACGAATCACTCAAGATCAAATCGTCTCAAGTTATCTGCCCAATCGAGGGTAAAACTTAGATCACGTATAATTAATTGTAATAACATTAATTGTCATCAACATAATACTCGTTCAGATTAAATATATTCTTCTTCTGTCAGATCAATTCAAAGGCACCTCCATCGATGAGCATAATTAATATTGGTAACAAGCTAGACTAGAATTCCAAGACTGGCAAGTGACCATCACCAATTTGAATAGACCAACTTCTATTTCAAAATCTTTTTAAAAACGAGCCCTACGATGCAGTAAATCGTTTTACATTTAAAACTTATAATCTCAGCTCCTTGGTTTATACTAGATTACGGGTCTACACGTACATGATAACTAGTTCGCTGGCTGGTTTAACTGTTATGACAATATGTCCTTTTAAACTGTGCATGCATGATGTGGTGCATCATGCGGCCAGCTGCGTTACAATGGCTGCGTGGGGTAATAATTGTACACCGACATTTCGAAGCAGCGCAAGTAGCGCAAGCAATATTGCCACGCTCTATAAAAAAAATGTACAACTCTAGCTCCTCAAACAAAAAAATGCAACACGGTCCTACCTTTTTACAGCTTTAAATATGCGATGGACATCAACAGAATTTCCCTGTAATTCCCCTGTCTTTAGAATGATGTCAGAATTCCAAAACAAATTTAGATCACAGGCTTTTTACCAGATCCCGAACGCCTTACAAGAAATCATGTAAGGGGGAAAATGCCGAATTGCCTTAGTACGCGGGAACGGTTGTAGGGGAACCCCCGCAATGTACAACGTTAGATTGGACCAGCCGACATGTTGTATTCACTGTGCACGGTCCATCTAGCCCCGCTTCTTCATTGATTGATATACACACACACACAGTACACACATTGCATAAACCTTGTGCACGACACACACACGAATTGCTAGGTATTGTTAAGGAGTGCGTGTGTGTATTATGAGCGTTGCATGCATTGTGAATCGGCATAAAACCAACGCGATGCTTGACTAGTCTTTTTCCTACCCCCGTATTAATGACCAAGTGAAATTAAACAAATAATACTCTGATTTTATGCTATATCAAAAATACAAAATAATTATTCGTAACATCTAAACATATTAGTAGCTAATTTGTGTTTCAATTTATCATTAAAAATGACAATACAGCTTTTGACGTGTCGTAATTTGTATTGCATGTCTGTATTGATAGACTATTGACACGCTCCAGCAAAGTTCAGCGCCAGGTCACGTGTTGACGTGGCGGCTAATCGTGACGTCACTTGCGTGCAGTGCGCAGTTGGGTAGGGGAAAAACCCTCTTTCCCTTTCTTGGTGTGTTAGGGACTCTCCCTTTTTCTCGAGTTATCTCCCAGGTAGAAAATCTCATTTTGATCAAACTTTCGAAAAAGACAAATATGTGATGTTATTCTAACGAATTCAACAGGAGATTTGTATGAGAAATTGGATGTTTCTCTTTCTTTGTCGATCGGCTGTGCTGTAGCGCCATAGGGCCCTTAAAAGCATAGGACTAACTCAAATCGAAATTGTAAATTGTATATTTTTTTCATCGAGTGGTTCACGTTTTACAAGCTTTGCTTTTTAGTGATCACTCTTTTCCATATTTCGTTTTACATTATGTCTCTTGTCATCAATTCTACAAAGCTTACATTTTCATATTATGTTATACTACGTTTTCATTATTACTATAATCTTTAATTTTGCATGAAGAAAAAAAAAGTATCCTTTGTATTTTGATTTTGATGGAAATAAATGATACTAACGATACTAAACTGAACTCCTGGATTATCCATTGAGTGATCGAGGGAACATGATTATTATAAGATCACTTATTCTCATTTTGTCTTCAGTCAACTTATTTCAGGTATTATTGTATTTGTTCACGGTATGTTAGTCCTGCTAATTCACATCCTAATTTTAAATAGAACAAGACATTGAGAATCAGGATTATCATGTATAAATCATATTCCGAATCAAATATCAAAATTAGACCTACAAGATTGGTATGCCTACTTACTCAGTGAAAAACAAAACAAAACCACAACATAACAACGAATAGGGCAAACCAAACATTAAGGAATGAAATAAGTCTAAATTTAATAATTGTATTCGCATGATTACGGCATTATCTCAAATTCATGCTCTTCAAAAGTGCTTGATAGCAAATTATTAAAAACTTATCTACCTGGATGTAATTGCACAATTTCGCAAGGGGAGCTGTAGTCACTTGGGCGATCAGCTTTCCAGCTTCTACACCGAGGGAGGGCTGGCAAAATTGTAACACCTTATTAGCACCGGATAAAACAACTTGTACCATAGGTTTTCATTGTACTTTACTGTTTTCAATCTTTTCATTCGAGATAACTACCGCAATTCGCTTTTTTCGCCGAGGCGGATTTATCTCACAATAATAATTGTTGTATACTGTTATTTGAAGTTGCTTGTTAAGAAAATAAATCTTTTGAATTTAATTTAATTGAACTACACCTCACTACACGAGAATGGGATGGCGAAATAAAGTTTATTGCGTATGTTCTTTGCGTGTTTATAATTTAAACCACTGGGGGTTGCGGGCACCAGTTCGAGAAGCTTCTAGAGAGCGTATTTGGTAAGACACTAAGGTACAATGATTCAGGCAAATGCGATCGTTTGGTAGTCACCAGGAGCCGACGTCGAATTCTGTATTTAAACGATTTCGATTTTTAGATTTAGCGGTTTATTAATGTTTACTGCTCAATGACATGTGCTAATACTATTCATTTTAAATTCAGTGAAAATTAATAAAGGAAAAAAAAAGTTATAACATTCCCTTGGTGCCGTTTTGGGCCAAAGTGAAAAGGAACTGCACAGAATTAGGGCCACATATTTTGTACCAAACGGGTGATTTGGAGTAAAGATGGGGGACACAGTGTATTCGAAGGCTTGCTGGTTATCAATAACTATCGCAATATGTATACGAGTTCTTTATTAAGTCCAGCTCAACTATCACGTATCACTACCTTTGCTAATTACATCTCAAATGATCACTTATTTCATGAGGATACCAATTGATTTGTATTTTACCTTTTTTTACGCTTGTGTATTTTGTTTTTGCTGCTGCTATTTGTTTTATTCTTACCAAACAGGGCCTCATGGAACACCACTGAATTGGTGATGTGCGCACCCTGTATAAGTATCAGAAATAAATAAAGTAATTAGTTAATCGCAACTTTGCCATTGAAATCAATCGCAAATGTAATAATAATAATTTTAAAAAATGTTACTTATTAAGCGCTTACCACCGAATCTATAAGCGATTATGTACTTAAGAGACTGATTGGAGGACTTTCGATTGATTTGGATCAATCACAACTCTTTATGAGAGTATGGGGCCCAGCCGCCCAGGAGTAATAATTCAAAGTGATTAGACCGGTTTACTAACATAATTCACATTTTATGCATAATTTTAAAACAAAGGTTGTCCCTGACAACCTTAAAGCTTTCACGGCATAGCAACAATGAATGTATGCACAGACTTGATTCCGAGTATTATTACCAGGGGTGGGCCTGGGGGTGGCGGTTTAACCCCCCCCCCCCCCCCCCCCCCCCCCCCTGGGCGGCCAAGTGAGAAAAACGGGGGGAGGGGGAAAGAAAAAAAAATAAGGAAAAAAAAAGTAAAACAGTAAAACGGCGCGATTCGGTTTTGGAAAATCCTAAATCCGCCACTGGGTCAACCCCCCCCCCCCCCCTTTTGGCAAAAAGCTAGATCCGCCCCTGAATACTAGGTCCCCAGGAAAGAAACCTCCATGAATTTGAATCTGTTAGTAAACCGGTCTATTTCTGTGGATTATGTGAGCCTTATTATATCATAAAGAGACTGATCCGTGTTTGTCGTAAGTCATGTCCACATGCAGTCTTTGATACAAGTAGTGTTAAATCAACATTTTGGACAAAAGAAATAGGGATTTCTGAATTTCGGGGATCTACCCTAGCTTAAAGCATTTCCTGGGAGAGGCGTTCCCCTCTTTTTTTATATTTCATTCTTCAAATTTATCCCCTAGAGGTGGAAAGTGACTCCCGGATCGTCACTCATGTTCCCGGCTTTCGCCCTCTTCCCCACCCCTATCTGTGTGCAGGGGCGTCGCCAAAGGGGGGGGGTGCGACACCCCACCTGTCAGGATATTGTCGGTAAAATTGAGCTGCCGTCGGGAAAAAAGAGAAAAGGGAAAGAAAAGAAAAAAGAAAAGGAAAAGAAAAGAAAGAAAGGAAAAGAAAAGAAAGAAAGGAAAAGAAAGGAAAGAAAAGAGAAGAAAGAAAGAGAAAAAAAGAAAAAGAGGGAGGAGAGGAAAGAAAGGAAAAGAAAGAAAGGGGAGGGAAAAAAGAGTAAAAGGGAAACAAAAGAAACGAGAGGTAAGAGCCTGAGAGAGGAGGAGTGAGAGTAAAAGAGAAAAAGGGGTTGTTGGGTAGAGTCGTCAAGAAAGACACGGGTAAATATGTTGCTATGTCGGGTCAGCTGTGTTGGTATTCTTGCTCTATCCTCGTGTACTATATCAATGCAGAAGTTTGAAGTCTGTGAGATGTATATTGTTGGTCGGCCGACAAGTTTTTTTCCCTACGAACTGTGACTTTTTATCCGCTGTGACGACTTCGAGAGTAACTACAATACTTAGCTTCCGCGCTTCGCGCTAAAGGGGGAAACTGAATTCAGACAAGGATTAACAGTCGAGAACGGTACAGCAAATCGTCTTCTTTTCATAATAATTTAAAGACCTCATTTAGACGAGTCGAGAACAGTACAACGATTCGTCTTCTTTCTCTAATATTTTAAGGAAACGTCAAAGCTTCCGCGCTTCGCGCTAAAGGGGGAAACTGAATTCAGACAATTAGGGCTTATTAAGAGTCGAAAACGGTACAACGAATCGTCTTCTTTCTCTGATAATTTAATGAAACGTCAAAACTTCCGCGCTTTGCGCGGGAGGGGGGAGCTTTATTCAGACAAGGATTAACAGTCGAGAAAGGTACAATAAATCGTCTTCTTTTCCTAATAGTAATAACTTAGAGGCCTATCACCCACACCCCCTAATGAGCGCTCTTTAAGTGATTTGCTTGTCCACTACCGCCCTCCCTAAAATAAGATCCTAGCTCTGCGCCTGCATTAAAATATATCAGCTATGATGCTGACTAAGTTGACGAAATAATTCGTATATTTATGTCGTCGAGGAAAATGACCATTTGCGCGTATGCAAGTACTATAGATGGTCCATAGGAAAACAATTTAGCCTTCGGCCCCGGGTTAATAGGGTTAAATTTGTAGATATTGGACATTTAATTTTGTCGGTAATTGGTTAGTTTTGTCGGTAATCGTTGGCCTCTACACCCCCACCCCCCCCCCCCCCCACTGAAAAAGGTCTAGCGACGCTCCTGTCTGTGTGTCTCTTTCTCTGTCTGTTTGTCTATCTATCTCAGTCTTCTCTCTTCTGATCTATCTCTCTCTCTCTTTCTTTCTCTCTCTCTCTCTCTCTCTCTCTCTCTCTCTCTCTCTTTCTCTCTCTCTCTCTATATATATATATTATGTATGTCTCTCTCCTCTCCCTCTTTCCCTCCTTCTCTAGCCGTCTCTCTTTTCCTTTTGTTCTGTCTAAGTTCTGTCGCCACACGAATAATAATTAGCACAAAAGCAAGCTTTCATTTTCCTTACAGTTTCCCGGTATGAAGTCAAATATTTAGGGGAAAATAAATTGCTAAATCTGTGTTCCATGCATTTATGATTTTAATATTTATTTTAAAATCTTAATGTTAAGATTTTGAAGAATAGTATGGACCTGTAGGCGTAAGGTAACTGTTTTCAAGTGTTTTAATATCTGGAATAAGAAAAATTATAATCTCAAATTTGAAACTGATTTACATTCGTTTGGCTTGGAGCGAGTGTCGGGCCCGTTGGGGCACAAAATTAATTTATACTTAAAAGCATATAGATGAGGAGGCTGGGGTTTTGGTGTGCCCATTTCCTCCCTCCTGGATACGCCACTGTGTAGGCCCCTAAGCATTTTCTGCCATTTAAACAATATTACATTATCCCCTTTCTTTCTCTCCTCCTCTTTCTCGCCTTCTTTCTGCCTTTTGTCCCTCTTTTTCTTTTTTTCTTCATTCATTCGCTCGAGCTATTTCTCTCTTTCTCTTTGTTCTCTTTTTCTTTTTGTTCGGAGGAAGTTGCTTTGATATCATTCATATCAGTTTGCTTTTGATGTATATGAATGCATCTGTGGCGTGACTCAGAATAAAGTTTTTGTTGTGCACTGTCTGTCTGATGAGATCGAGCTGCATGGAATGGTGTTGAATCATTCTTGATCATTATTATTTAAACATCCTTGTGGCTCTCAGCATACAATATCATGTTTATGCCTGTGTTTATATCGTATGTTATACTAATGGGAAACAAACTTTTGTATTATTACGGACAATAGACTTGAATATTGAATCTTGATCCCCCTCCCCCCCCCCCCCCTTCCCCCACCCCCGCCCCCTCCCTTCAGCGCAGCCCCGAGCTATCCGTGCACTCTACGATATCGATACGAGCGAGAAATCAACAGTAAACCGACCAAGAGATGGCAGTATGTCAATTTCAGTGTTATTTCGATGTGATGATGTGATTTTCGAGGTGGACTTCAGTTTCAATAACTAATGTCATGAGAAACAGAATCTGCAGACACCACAGACCTCAAGAACACCACTGACAAGGTTTGTTACTTTTTAGACGTTTCTGTTTTTTGTGATTTTTTTTATATAGCTATCATAAGAAGACTAAGTCTGAAATTAAAACGCGATTCGATATATTTATTTTGGCTCCAGCCCCACATGTTTTATTTTGTGTTAGGTAAGTAAATCTTAGTGTTATTTTTTTTAAAATTTGGTAATAGAGTCTAGACTAGACTAATAATATTTTTTAATTTTTACTCATAACGAATAATAGTTACAGTTATAAATAATACTTAATTTCGTACAGAAGTTCAGACCTGAAAGTATGATTGAGATGAGAGAAGTCGGTAGAGGAGGTGAGTACGTTGGCTCAGTTGGTAAAGGCGGCTAAGCCTAAAGGCAAGCGTCTGCCTGTCGAACCAAAGATCCCGGGTTCGACTCCCACCCAGGCGGATGACGGATGTCTGCGTTGTGTGCTAACGTGCCCCTTCCCTTGTTCATAGACGCAGGTCATGTCAAGTGGAAAACACTCTGTCCCTCGGATAGGACGTTAAATGAAGGCCCCGTGTACAGGAGAGTCACCACTCTTGCATGTTAAGAACTAGACCGAATTTTCCGTCTCTTTCGTTCGTTAGCCTAGCCTCTTATTGGGGTAGGGTCGGCCGGCTCTCTCTAAGAGAGAGCCGGCCGACCCTACCCCAATGAGAGAGAGCCGGCCGACCCTACCCCAATAAGAGGCTAGGCTAACGAACGAAAGAGACGGAAAATTCGGTCTAGTTAAGAACCCATTGCACTAGGTCTATACGTATACGAGTAGGGGGAAACCCTGTTGTAATGGTCCACCTGCACATCCCAATCAGGCCGAGCATAGGGCATCTGCAAGAATCTTCAGTATTGAAGGAGGCAGATTATCTTGAAGAAGAAGAAGAAGTCTAGACATTTAACAACATAGGTTGCGTTTATCTAGGAAATTTTTGGCTAGAATCAGGTTTCTCAAACGTCTTTCAGGCAAATTTAGAAGTAGATAAACGCAAAGCCTTTTTCAAACGTCTTTAGATATGGGCATATCAAAAGACGCAAAAAGGTGCGTTTTGTATGTGACATACAGCCAGAATCACGTTTCTGAGAGGTCGATAAACGCAAAGCTGTTTTGAACGTCACATACAAATAGGACCACACAGGTGTTGTGTACAAGCATGTGTGTGAATTTGACCTCCGAGAAACTGTCTGCTTCCCGGGTCAAAACAGCTGGGCAGACACAAGGCCTTTATTTTGAATCGTGAAGAGTAGATAAACGCGACATCCCGCAAATCACGATCGTATAGTGGGGTATGATAGTGGGGTTCGATAGGGGTACGATATGTACATATCTAGTGGCAAGCCTAGATAAACGCGCTCTTAGACTAGTCTATGGATTTATGACATGATGATCATGTTCGTAGGGTCTACATATACGTATTGTCAGAAAAACTAAAGATCAACTCGCTCACTCCCTGTTGTCAAGACAATGAATGACTGATCATGTGATCATGGTGATGAACTGATGATGATTTGTTTTTCAAGAATTTAGAGTTAGATTAGAAGTTGTTTAATATACACAGATCTCCTGCAAAGTCTACCTGACCCAAGTCAGGCTTGTCAGGATCGGGAAGGCGACTGCTGACTGCTGGCAGAGCGAGAGGATGTTGAGCACTTTGTTGCAACTTGCCCAGCTCCATCATCTGTGTGTCAAGACCTTATTAATCGTATTAAGGATAACCTCAACACAAAGCAGTTGGCTCAATACTTTGAGTCTGCGTCTGCGCTGTTCTTGGAGTCGATGCTCTTTCTCCCTCCTGGACCCATCAGCAGTAGATCTAGGCCTAGTGCCAAAACATAGAGCTACATACACTTATCCTTCATTTTATACGCAATCTTCACACAACCCGTCAAAATCTACTTACGACCTATAGAAAGTCATTTATGTAACTTCGGCAGACTCACAGTGCCGACGATCTCCGACCTGAGCGGAGGAAGGATACAAGAGAGAGAGTTGGCATGATTTAGTCAGATTTAAAACAAATTTTTGTCAGTTTTATTTTTGTTGATAGCTTGGGCAGACTCCCTTACTTCAGCAGATGCTTGGGTGCACGCAGTGTGTATATTTAACCTACATGTATACAATTTTGGGCCTACCTTGCAAAAATTATTTGTAAAAATGCTTCAATTTTCATTGAAATGATATCTTGAATAATTTGTGTTCACAACTTCATATTTTGTCTACTTTCTGATTTGCAGATTGGATGTAGAAATGGAAGTTTCCGAAATGAATAGCATCGAAACCAACCACCGTCTCACTTCAGCACTGGTGACTGTTACTCACATCAAACTAGAAGACCTATCAGATCATGAAGGTTTGTGCATTTTCATTTCAGAAGGGATAGCTCTGTGGTAGAGCAGTGGTCTCGTAATTGCGGGGTCCCGGGTTCAAAACCAAGTCGATGCGCTAGTGTCTTTTGATAAGGTATTAATCCTCATTACCAAGTCCCCCAGAAAGCCATAGGTCCCCTGGTTGCTTACTTACAAGCATACACATGCTTTCTTAGCTGTCAAGTAAAAAGAAACCGTCAAACCAAACCAATCTGATAAAGTATTTAAATTGTTAAAGGATAAATTGATCAGCTTTTCTTCTTCAAATAAGGAAGACAGGTAATTTTCTTGTTTACACTTCTATTGAAAACTTTATATCTGAAAAGTAAATACATGGACAGAAGCTATAGTGTTTATGAATATTGGCCATTATTGTACTTTCAATTCAGTTGGCGATAATTTCCAAAAGCTTCAACATTATCTTCATCTGTTTCAATGTGGTGAAAATTAAAAGATAATAATGCTTAATTTTTTTGTTAAAATATATTATGGCATCTTGATGACATATTGTATCAACATCAATAAGCAGAGGATGTATACAAATTATTTTGTTTAGAAAATGTTACTCATTGGTAATCGTCTCTGGACTTGTTTCGTTAACAGTTACAATTGGCTTTAGAAGTGTCTTAGTAGAGTGGTTTAAGCATTTGACTTGAAATTCAAAGTTCGTGGTTCGATCCCCGACACAGCACCTATGTCCTTTAGCAAGGCATTAATCTAAATTTGACACTATATACCCAAGAGAGAAATGGGGACCTGGTAGGATGGTGAAAGCATTTGTGTTAGTAATTGCCTATGCCCTCACGGTGACCATATGGTAGGAATACTCCCCAGGAAGTGGAGATGGTGCACATTGTGCATGAATGAATCCGCTGACAGGGGTAATAATATCTGTAAAGCTTAGAGACGATATCCCATATTAAGAGCTAGTTAATACAGATTATTATATTCATATTTAACGTTATGTGATATTGTAATGAACAAAGTATTTTTGAACATTGATTTATTATCATAGATGCTGATGAAGATGGGGGATGGATTGCAGTAGAGGACTCTGACGGAGTAAACGTGAATGAAGAAAATCTGCAGGCTGACGGACAAGAACAGAGGGAAGCAGGGGAAAACTGTTCATCACTGAATGCTAAAACTATTCAAACATCAGGAACGGCAAGCAGGAAGGTAGCTACTAGTGAGACTAACGATTGCTTGATTAATGGTAGAGGTTCAGAGTTGAATACGACAGAGAGTAACCTGCATTTGGATAAACATGTTGCAAGAGCCAGGAAGTCTGTCAGATCCACAAAAATATTACATCCATCAAGACTTCTTCCCAATAGTGATGTGCAATGCAAGAAGGCTGAATATGGATACCGATCCGTTTACTTTTGTGATAAATGCAATAGGACTTTTACCTCGAGAATGCTCTATGTGACGCATGCAAGCCGTCATGGGAGAGATGTTAAAAGCGGGCGTTTTCAGAGAGCGGAGTTGGGGAGGGGGCATTTGAAGGAAAGGATAGTCGGTGAGAAGATCAGGAGAGGAGACATGGAGGACCCTATGAAGGAGGAACATGAGGAGAGATTTGTAATCGAAGATGCTTCAGAAATTCGTAAGCAGTTAGGGTTGAGGTTAAGACGGAGCCTGCCTGCCAGATTCCGTAATGGGGCTGAGAATCTCGCCGACAACTTAAGTAATGATGGTAATGAAACATGTAGGAGAAGAAAGCAACTTGCACCGAGAGAAAATGAGCAAATCGCTATCAAAGCAGAGAGCACCGATGATGACAGCTACTCTGGAGCTGATGCCAAGGAATGTGAAATGAAGGCAGTGATTCGACGGATTCGGAAAGGGCGGCCGACGAAGGTGAAAACTGATTTACCAAATAAATGTCCGCAGTGTGGTCGTTGCTTCAAGAAAAAAGCAGATCTGCAACGACATCTCCGCGTTCACTCTGGTGAGAAGCCGTACGGCTGTGAGCTCTGCAATTTGCGCTTCACCAGGAACTTTGGACTGCAGTGCCATATGAGAACGCACGCGGGGTTGAAGATACACTCTTGCAGTGCCTGCGGGAAATCGTACAGCCGGCGATACGATCTCACGAAGCACGAGAGGGCTGTTCACATGAGGGAACTCAATCACGTCTGCGGTGATTGCGACAAACGGTTCGTCACGGCGCAACTCCTGCGCGTTCACGAGAGGACGCACACCAACTCGCAGCCGTATCTCTGCCAGGAGTGTGGCCATAGGAGTAACCATCGGAGTGATCTTAAGAAACACATGAGAACACACACCAACGAGAGACCTTATTGCTGTCAGATCTGTAAGAAAACCTTCCTACAGAGTGGGTCATTGACCAGTCATATGTCACATGCTCATCAGAATTAGATGAAGATCAAAGATAACCTTGATAGCATGGCAAAGGACACAAAATATTTCTGGGCCCCGTTGCATAAAACTCATTATCAATAACAAATGCTAATTTTTCTATGACCAATTTTCTCTCGCCCAATCAAGTGCCACCATTTCAGTAGCTTATAACAGCTTTTATAACTTGTTATTGATAACAAGTTTTATGAACCGGGGCCCAGATATTGATGACCCTGTCCTAAAACTTTCAGTTTAATGAAATGTAAAAGTGCAACCCCAACAAAAGTCTCACACAGGACACAGATTTTTAACTTGCTCAGAAGTTGGGCATTTAACATTTTGTTTATTCAAGATTCAAGACTCAAGTTTTATTGTCCATATATATAAATGTATAATAACACAAAAATGTGTTTCCCATTTGTGTTGCATTCAATATAAACATAGGAATAAAGGTGATATTGTATGCTGAGAGCCAGAAGGGTGTTGAGTTGATGCTGATCAAGAATGAGTCAAAACTGTTTCAGGTTTGACCCAGACAGTACTGTACATAATAAGAACATTCTTCTAAGTCGCGTCATTAAAGGGATCATTTAACAGTGTTAAATCTGAGATACACGGTCCTACATGTTACCAGTATCTGTGATATGGTGTAATATTGAAGCCCTAAAAAAAATTGCGCTTCAAAATGATCAAGAAGTGCCTCAAAAAAGTAAAAATCTTTGATTGACCGGTTCTACCATACTCGTTTTCCCCAATAGACTGTAGTGTTATGAAAACCGTTCGGCGAACAGTTTTCAAAATTTGTAATTCCAATCGTTAATATCTTGATAATCAGACAGGCAATCAGCTTGTAAAAGTCATGGAGTTCCTGACTGACCTAAAGGTTTATAATTATCATTGCAGCATGAGCTAAATCAAGGATTATTTCTAAAGGATCTAAGACAAAGTTACCGGATCCCTTTAATGCATTTACAATGTGACTCAGAATAATGTTCTTGTTATGTACATGTTATGTGTATGTTTATGATAGTATTTGATAGCTTTCAAAGTTAAAATGCTGAATTTGACATTTACATGTTTATGATTATGATGTTGTTGCACATTGAGGTTCAAACATTGACATGTTAAAAGTTTAAAACATATAATCTTTTTTTAAATAAATCATTCTGAGTTGTTTTTCCGGAATTGTTAGATAATATTAATACCAAGTAAATGTACATCTATAAGTGCATGAATGTTTTAATGGTTTATTGACATTTTGAAGCAATGAATTTCAGATATTCAGACTTTAACCCTCTTATGGTATAAGAATTTTGTGTTGAAGATCCCTTTGTTCATTATTGTGATATTGACTTGTTTGGATCAGCCTATGGGACATATGCTATATCTTGCACAAGATACATGTACATGTATACCGGGTAAGCATTTATTTAAAAATTACTGCACATGAAATTGCACTGTGCAAGATTTATCCTGAGAATTGAGGGAAACTACCGATATGTGAAATAGTGCATAAGTACTTGTATTAAAAAAAGACAAACCGTTTTGAGTATTAGCGGTAACATTTCCTAGGCCCTCTTTCATTGTACATAAATGATGATGCTAATGATTTTATTTCAAAATCATTCCACTTTTGAGTTGAGGATGTGTGCCTCGACCAGAGGCTTTGTAGGGTAGGTGCATGTACATCCCCAACGAGAGCAGATAGATTGCATATTGAACAAGTGAAGACATGAATCATTATTTTACACAACAAAACCCTGTGACTTTAGCAATGGAAAATGGTGGTCACAGATGTCATTTTATGGGACCACAGAAACATGTGCTAACAGTATTTGTTCCATAATCCTAACAAACATACATGTATGTCTTGTCATAATTTGATCTATGAAATTACTTCAATTTTAGCCCTTTTATGGTACAATGCTAGTGTGCATATCTTTCACATTACAATAAAGAGAACTAAAGAAATACAAATAATTTTTCTCCTATGTCAGAACTCATGCATTTTTATAAAAAAGTGCCTCCTTGATTTCTCCATATCTTTAGCCTACCTATGTAGGCTGTGTGCCTGACACATATTATATCTTATGTATTTGGTGGGAAGTATCTACAGGTTATCAAATATTAAATGGATTTTCAGTGTTAATCAATTTCATATTCAGAAATTTGTGTTTATATTGGAATTGCAATTTTCAGTTTTCTTGAGTCCATGTTATTTCAGAGTTATGAAATTATATTGAATTATAATTATTTGATTAAAAGCAACTAGAATGCAGTTTCTCACATGTTGTAAATGTGCTATTGTTTAATGTTGTATTTGTAATGGCAAAAAGCAGTTGATTAGTAGAAGTAGGACAATTAAGTTTGTTTAATGACTGATTATTCCCCTTCAGAGAGAGAGAGAGAGAGAGAGAGAGAGAGAGAGAGAGAGAGATTGGGGAGGGAGGGGTGAAATGAGAGGGTTAGAGAGAGAGAGAGAGAGAGAGATTGAGGAGGGAGGGGAGAAAATGAGAGGGTTAGAGAGAGGGGGAGGGGAGGGGGAGGGGAAAAATGAGAGGGTTAGAGAGAGAGAGAGAGAGAGAGAGAGAGAGAGAGAGAGAGAGGGGGGGGGGGGGAGGGGGAGAAATGAGAGGGTTAGAGAGAGGGGGGAGGGGAGGGGGAGGAGAGAGGGGGAGGGGAAAAATGAGAGGGTTAGAGAGAGAGAGAGAGAGAGAGAGAGAGAGAGAAAAGATAGAGAGAGAAAGATATATTAACAGAACGGTTCAGGTCCGCCCCTTCTATTTAGATATCAATTGATTTCAATGAATTAATGAATATTCATGAATATAAATGAATTAATGAATACTGAACAGATCCTTAGATGCTTAAACTTGCATTTTTCCTTTTTCTCTCTGAAAAAAACTGAATAAAGCCCCGGTGGTATCAATGACAGAGAAAGAGAGAGAGAGAGAGAAAGAGATTTAAAAGGAGGGGTGGATGGGAGACACAGAAATTGAATCATATTTGTTTATTTAATTACTTAGCCGTTTTTTATTCATTCATTTGATTATCAAATTATTTTATTTGGAGGTAGAGGATAAAGTTCAAACATTGTTGGTGGAAAAGGATAAACGTAGAGACGAAGAGAACGGAGCGTATAATAAAAAGACTCATCAACTTTATATAGACTGATAGTGGTTAAATTGCGGTTCAAGGGTTTTGGGTGCAAAATATCCATTTAATATTGTTTAAATATTACCTTCAGAGGGTTAGATGGCAATACTTAAACCTATATTCGCAAAAAAGCAGAAGTATATGCCCAAATGTTCAATGATGAAGCGCATTCGCGCTATCTATCCAGGCCGGATCATTATGATAATTTGCCAAATATATCAATTAGTAGACGGTTTCCCGGCAAAATTTGTATCATCACGTAATAATCAAAACATATTCTTTCACATGATTGGTAATAAGAGCTTCCATTTCATTTTTTTGAGAGGGGGGCGTTTCCAAAACGGATGTACTCTATACATTCGGTATCAAATTATTAAATTTAGATTTTTTTTTTCTTAAACATTACTTAATGTTTAAAAACAAAAAGATTTTCTTTTTTTTTCTTTTGCCTTTCAACGCGCAGAAGATAACCCTAATTAATATTTCTGAACCAATTTAGTTAATACTTTTGGTCGAGTGTTATCCGATATGTAGAAAAAGCTTTGATTTAATTTAATTTGCCTGTGTTTGGCGTGAGATTTTGTTTCTAGGTAATAAAAGCATACTTCTGTGATAATATGTATCCTCATGATCGGATAATGGCGATATGATGCATACTTTGACTTTCGTCGAGTTATATGCGATTTGTTTTCATTAAAATCATTTACCTTTGTTTTGCTGATGTTCCTTTTCTAATTAGTATGCTTCTTTATATTGGTTCATTATAAATATTTATCGATGATCATATCATGTTAGGATTTGACGTCCGATAAAAAGTTGAATTTGAATTTTGGCTTTAATTAATTTATAAAACTTGTTAAAATTCAAGAAAGAAAGAAAACAAAAATTATATAAGCCTATTGTAGAAATGTAATGTCTCGAAATAGGCATACTAGGCTTCAGGCAATTACGTAACTATGGGGGGGGGGGGGGCAATGTCCCATAAGAGACTTCTGAAAATGTCTTTGAAATCCCATCGTATTTGAAACTAAAAGGAGAAATACATTAATTGTAGTAAAGGAAGAATCAAAATAAAGGGATACGGAGGGGTTCGTGAGCGGAAAAACAACTTCCTCCCTTCACTCAAATGTCTTGTTCAGTCTTCCATACCACCCCCTCGCTCCCACAGAACTAAAAAGACCTAGACCCCTCCTATCCACGAATCCCGTGCCCCCGCCCCATTGACGCACCGCGTACGCTTCTTTGTTTATTATTTTGGAAATTTGATGAGCGCCAGCTACGAACCGGGGCAAAAGGTCAATTTTAGGACAAAAGCTAAATCCTTCGGGCGAAATACCGAAATGGTAAGAAATCATATTTTCGATAAATCAAGTCATTTGACTTGGTAAAGCTTGCATTTTCATTCTGAATGTTGTCATGAAATATGTGTGAATGCATGCTGGTTAGTTACCGAATCTTTTGGGCCAAAGTCCGTATTTTTCATGTTCTTCGGTGGTGGTCTTTTCTGAACGTATTCTTAATGTTCAGCCCCATGTATTGATATTTTTGTTGGACAAATATGCTGTGATAAACGACACAGCTGTTTACGGACTTGGACCTTGGTGCTTTATAAAATGTGATAATGAGGTCGCCAAGCCTTTCTTGGCCTTCGCCTGCCTGTGTGAATAAAAACACTAATGTCACCATATTCATCCTGTCCCACATGCATAGATCTAGAGTAAAGGAGCCGGTTTTCGGCCAGTCTTAGAGTCAAAATCCTATTTTTTGGACCCTTTTTCCTAGAGGCTAGACCCCTATTTATTATCATTTTTTGTTCAAATCATGAAGCAAATATTATTATTATTTAAACAAAACAAGAATCCCAGAAAAAAATCACGAATTGCCATGACAATATTCATTTCAATTTTCACTGTTTCGGAGTCAGTTTTCGGCATAGCGTACCTGTTTTCGGCCGCATGTACAAAGTCAATAGGAAGCGCGCGCACACGCCGTGCGTTTCTGCGCTGATCTATGTCACTAGCGGGCGGAGTAGATATCCCACGCCGGAGCTCCCCGAAGCTCGCCAGGCCGAAAACTAGTACTGCGGTGATCGGATATTGGAATCTGAATTAGACAGAGATATCGTGTGTGCGTTGCGGTGTGCGGCTGCATTGATTTAATACATGCGATGAGATACTTTTGAGCTTGCGACTAGCTCAAAATCGGGCTCTAAATCTGAAAAATACTTGAAATAAAGCTCATTTTATGGTACCCATATTTCTTACAGACACGCGTAAGATACTCGATTTTTCAGATTCGGGTAGCGGGACCGCCGATTACATCGCTAAAATGTGATATTTTAGGATATATTTTTCATTGCAAATGTGGTTCTTCAGTGACAGTGGCATGATATGGTATGTGTGGGATTTGTGTTATGCTATTATGCGATGTATTTTAGAGGGATTTTACCTTGCATCCAACCAATCGGCCGAAAACTGGAGCTGGCCGATTACCGGCTCCTAGATGACGAATCTTGCAAACAAGACTGACATTCTGAGCTGAGGCCTGAGTCGATGACAATGTCGCGTCGGCTTTGCCGATTGCTCACTCCAGCAAAACATAGACTGATACTGATAGTACTAGCCTTAAGGGCTCGCTGGAAATGTTTTTATGATATTGTATTCCAGGGAGCCTTAAACGGCTTCCATACCACCCTGCGGAGAACCAAGTAAACAATCCCTAAAATGTGTCCAAAATCACACTTTCCCACCCCCGACAGTGGCCTCGATGAATTTTATGCCACTTCTACTCCTAATTACCTCCGGAATTTCAAAATTGGAGGTGAAATAACGAAATAATAGCAAATATCTCACCAGAACAATAGAGCTTAGCTCCCTTTTCATGTGAAGCGTGTGACTTTACGATCTCTACACAATGGTGTTGACCTCTGACTGCCACTTCGTAATTGTGCTGCTTCCGTATAATGCGCTGTATACACTCATACAGCGCATTATCATGCACCAAACCAGGAAGTGAATGCACGTTATAGTCAATGGCAATATCGCGGAGACAACGTGGCTGAAGTTGCACATTAAGCCTAGCAACATGCGTACGCTTTGCACACGCTTGCATATCATATCTAACATCTGAAAGTTGAAAAAATTGTATTCTTGTCATCAGTCATCACTAAAGTGCTGATTTTGAGTGAAATCAGTTGAGTTTTGTACAGTGGTGTTTGAAATGTTCAGAATCAATAGCACAGCTTTTAATACACAGCCAGGATAACACTATCTGTTACCAAAGTAGAAAAGGACCTACATGTAGGTGTCCTTGTAGATTCACAACTATCATTTAAAGATCGTGTCTCCCAAACAGTTCTCAAAGCAAATCGAGTACTTTGGAGTTATCCGCAAGGACATTTATGTACCTAAATACTGACACTATGCCGTTTTTGTTTAAAGGCCTCATTAGGCCCATATTAGAATACGGACAGGCCGCATGGTCTCCGTACAGACTAGGAGAACAGAGGATTTTGGAAAGCGTACAAAGACGTGCAACAAAGATTATTCCCGGCCTTAGAAATTTATCTTACCAGGAGCGCTTGACCCAACTCCAATTACCAACTCTTATTCACAGGCGTATAAGGGGGGACATGATCGATGTGTACAAGTACATGAATGCCTTGTACAATGTGCAAGAGATTCCCTTTAAGTTGAGTACAGAAGATAGAAGTCGAGTTCACTCTAGAAAACTGGAAAAGAAATATTCAAGGCTAGATATCAGAAAATACTTTTTTAGCAATAGAGTCGTGGAGCTGTGGATCAGTCAACTCATTTAAAGGTAAAGACCAGTTATGGTCATGCGATTGCATTGTGAAAGAAACGTTGTGGAATCGATCAGAAAAGGTTGATATCAACTAGCATCTAGCATCTGCAAGGTTCTGGAATCATCAAAATGATAAGAAATTTGGCCCATTCTTCGTAAAGTTACAAGCACTATACACAAAAAGATGTATATGGGACTACCCTATATCTCTCACAGACCATGAGAGAAACAAATTTACCAAATATATGAATTAGTAGGCGGTTTCCTGGCAAATTTTTTATCATCATGTATTAGTCAAAACATATTCTTTCACATGATTGGTAATGAGAGCTTCCATTTCATTTTTTGAAATTGGGGCGTTTCCAATACTGGTCTTTACCTTTAAGAATAGACTGGATAGTCACTGGTCAAAGAATGCTAGCCTTCTGTATGAGCCGGTCTAGTTGTTGTTGTGTTGTTTCATGTTTTACACAACCTCCTCCCTCCACACATCGCAGTTACCATGGAAGAATCCTGGATCGATGAACAGGCTTAGACCTACAACATCGTGTATTAAAGTAAAGTAAAGTAAAGTAAAGTAAGGATAGTAATGCACCTACATGTATGTGTACGTTTGCTGGAGCTGGAGGATTCTTCTTTATAATATCACATGACACATATCACACACACGCAGTACATTCCACAGTCAGACATGACCACGAAGAGCAGAATGAATGAAAAATATATCGATGAAATTTGAATATGCTCGTCTCTTTAAAATTAAAGTGTGTCTCTGTACTAGCTGTCTGTAAAGCAACATGGTTATAAAAACGGGGCTGTATTTCAAGAAATTCTCAGTGTTAGATCAGGATTTTTAATTGTGAGTCGCAAGCTTCAATTTAAAAGTGTCCCATCAAACTCACACAAGATCTCTGTATGCATTGCGATGACACTTTATGAAATCTCAGACACAGAGTTGGAATTCGCATGCGGAGAGCTCGGGCATCCAACTCTGGCTCATGCCACTGTGCTGAAAACCACCTGTCAAGACTTCTAAAATGGTTGCAGAGAAGTGAAATGTTTGCAACAAGATAGTTTTTAGGTCGGATAAAGTTAATTTTTAGGTCGGATAAAGTTAAAATTGTATACTTTGTGTTTAGAAATAAATGATAGGTTTGTTAGAGCAAGCAAAGAGTTGCAGTTTTCTTTGTGCATATTGGGTAAGATATTGACCAAAAAGGTATACAGAAGCCCTTCTGGGATCTACACGTACATGAAGAATTAGCCAGTTCTTAGTTGCAGTCTGACCATTAGAAGATAAAGGTCATTGCAGACCAAATTGTGAAATACAAATGAGACAAAATACTGGATACGTGCTCATGAAAGTTATGTAATCATTATTCATTTCAAGAGAAGGTTGAGTTTCGGGAAGAGGTGAAAAATAATTTGTGAGCATTACTCATTCTTATTATGCAAGTGTGGAAGAACATCAGTTAAGACATGTTCCCTGAAAAGCATGGCTCTTCAAATGCCTTCATATTCTAAATATGCATGTACCATCGTAAAAATCGGGGGCCGGCTTTTTACGCCACGTATTCGTGTAGTCCCATATACATCTTTCTGTGCAAGTGTTTGTAACTTAACCAAGACTTGGCCAAATTTCTTATCATTTTGATGATTCCAGAACCTTGCAATACACACAAATTCTAATATGCTAGATGATCAACCTTTTCTGGTCGGTTCCACACCGTTTCTTTCACAATGCAATCGCATGACCAGAACTCAACTTTATCTTTAACAAGCAGTGCACTCCATGATGCACAGGTGGAAGTATTCTTTGAAAAGGGATTTAAACAAAGGCTATGTTTGTAGCACCTCCATTGCTGTAGGAGTGTTTTTTTCAAAATGTACAAAGTGGGAACTCTTCATGTTTTGAAGATCTGTGGATATTTGGGGTCTTTTGGACCTGTGCTACATGTAACCTTGAACTGGTCTATTGTAGATATCTTTTTGAAATTTTGATTAGTTCCTTTGTTTTACCAAAGTGCTCAAAATTATAATCCAAGAGAGTAATATTCCTCCTATTTATCTAACAGTCAATCAGTAGTGTCTTGTCAAGTTCTCAATTTCTATTTATTATCATGTTGTAAAATATCACTTTTCTTTCTATTTTTGAAGGGCTGTCTATTAACATGAAGCAGTACCCTAGCAACAGCCTCAAGCTGCAAGCAACTCAACCCACCAACTCCCAACCTATCTTGTTGCCATGGAAACTGAGCAAGAACGGAAAGGATGGGACGAGGGGGCAGCAGATACTGCATGCGTCCTTGATCTGAGCATCAAACGACCAACGAGCCCCGATTTTAAGAATGACATGGATGGTAGGGACCTTGATGCCAAAAAGGAGACACCTGCGCCGGACGAGCGTTCATCCTGCCGTGCAGAGATGTTGTCATTGTTCAAAGGTACAGGACAGGAGATTATCATTACCGGTAAGCAGGAAATCTTGCCAACTGTGAATAACAGTACAGCACATGAAGAACAGTGTTCACCAGATAGTGATGAAGGAGGTGCAGTTGAGGCATCTGCCTGTAAACTTGAAGGCACACTCAAGGAGAGTGCAGAGTGTAGAGACAGGGATGGAAATCTATCAAGTGCAATTCCAGAGGGTGCAGAAACGCTTGACCGTCTCCATGCCACATCTGCGTATCCCTCCCCACCAGTTGGAGAATCAGATTCCCCTGCCCTGCCAATGGAAGAGTCCACCTCACCTTGTAACCTCAAAGTAGAACCTCGTAGCCCGTCATCGCAATTATTGAATCATGTGAGAAATGACTTGCCTCTTCAAGATTCCGCATTTCCTGATGTGGTGCCGAAGGGAAAACTGGATGGCCTAACTTTACCCGCTGAAAGGACTTCCAACTCCGCAATCGAAACAACGAGAAGCTCCCCTTCTTGTCCTGTTCCGATGAGACCCTACAGCTCCATGCTCCCCATCCTATCTGTACCAAAGGTTAGACTAAGACAGGATAGGAGTGATGGTAGATCATCTTGGACTCACATACCAACAGACTCTACCACTCTGAGCGTAGGGGGGTACTTCCTAGACTCAAGTGGAGGGTCGACATCTGGGGAGCAGAGTGGCATGAATGTGATGGATTACAGCAATAAGGTAATATCTGTTTTCAAAGTGGATAGCTGATTGCTCAAGTCAGACTATTTTATTTGAGCATGTACACTGTATACTACAAATGCGTCAAGTACATGTTGTCTGCTCGCAAGTTGCTTTTTATCTTAATTTATAGTGTATTTAAACTTGCAAAATCTCTTTTTAAGAGTGATGTTTGAAGCTTATATTTTGAATAGAGTAGTAGCACATGCAACTACATGTACTAACGTACAGAAAAGGTATGCTTTGGTGATTGGTACATGTTAAAGCCCCCTTTACACAACAGGGGGGGGGGGGGGGGTGGGTGTTTCACAAAGATCCAAAGACATAGTTTTAAAAATCATGGAGAGCCATTTGTAGCCTGAAAATAAAATACACTGTATATTCATAAGCAAAAATACAGGTATTTTAGTCTTTTTATAAATTCCACATCAAGAATATTAATCTCCTTGATAATAGAAAATATGAATGATTTGAATCAACATTTTATGCCTTGAAAGTAAATTTTACAAAACATTTTCATACTGTAGATGCTAACGGCTTTCCATAATTGTTAAGCCCAACTTAGGATCTTTGTGAAACACTACCCAGATGTTCCATGAATGCATCTGACAGGGCTTAAAAATAATCCAAGGCCACCAAGGCCATGGTCGTGGATGCCCCTTTGATTGGCCTCAATGCCCCTCTCATTGGCCTTGAAGATTTTGTGTGCCCTTTCCAATTCTTCCTATTTGTGCTGTAATATAGGAATGTGCCCTACAGAAAAATGGCCTTGCCCTAAAAATATTGAAATTTAAGGCCTGATCTGCTTAATCCTTAGGTAATGGAACAATTTCTGCTTCTTCAGCTCTTTATTGCACACATTTCGCCAAAGTCTCACCACTTACATGTACCTGACTCCACACTGACTGAACACCAAGAAATCTTTGCCACTCAGGATCATTTTGGATCGTTCTGTTTTTGGTCTGGCATTAGTCTCATCAGAGTGACTAGGATATGTGCTTTAAGAGTGTGATGAGGAATTACAGGTACAGTAGTATATAAATCTCTCTCTCTCCTGTGTATTTCTCTCTGTATAGACTCACTCAATGTTAGCAGTAAGTGGAGGAGATGACTTTGCTTCAAGACCCTCCCTCCTTCAGATGGCTCTACAACATGGTTCAACTCAAGTCAACTTGCCAGCCAACTCGCAGGTAATGTCTGTCGGATAATACATATTAATAATAAAAATATTCCACTTTTATTTATACCGTATATAGCGCTTAATGTCTCTAAGCGCTTTACAGATATACTATTACCCCGGTCATTGGATTCAGTACTTGCCTGCACACAATGTGTGCACAATCTTCACTTCCTGGGGAGCATTCCAGCCGGGCGTTTCTTGAAGCTCAAAAACTGTTTGATCAACAATGACAGTTGCATCCTACCGGGTACCCATTTAACATCTGGGTGGAGAGTAGCAAGTGCAGGTTAATATCTTGCCAAAGGATATTAGCCTTGTCTGGATTCGAACCCTCAACCTTCGCATTTCAAGTCAAGCGCCTTAAATCAATCGGCCACGGCATTCCGGGGGAACATGTATATCCAAATTTCTAGAGTATAGGTGTCATAGTCGAGGGTCACTCAGAGCTGCCAACCATTCCGTTTTTGCTGGAAATACTTTGTTTTTTCCTCCAAATTACGGCATTATGTTTTTTCTTCATGAAATACGTTTTTTTTTAATTTTTTTTTTTTTTTTTAAGATACCGCACGTCAAACCACTGCCCTAAAATGGTGATTTGATCACAAATTCAATAGAAAACTAATTTTAAAACAAACTTGAAGAGAAAAATATTCTCAAAAAAAATGAAATGCCGATAATACCAAAATAACCACCAAAAAAATTACCTGCTTGTATGGAAAAAGAGCATGATGAATGAACATTTCTGGATCGGTTGTAAGTTTTGTTTTTATGAATTCCTTTTTTTTTTGCTTGAAATTCCTTTTTTTTTGCCATCATGATTTCTTTTTTGGTCTCACAAGGTTGGCAGCTCTGGTCACTTGACTGGAAATGCAAGGGTCCTGGGTTCAAGCTCCGGGACGGCACTTATGCCCTTGAGGGAGGCATTTGATTTACATGTACATTGGTCCTCTATACTAAATGGGTATGGAATATTGAGATCCATGTGATTGAATTTCAGCAGGCGACTAGCTGGAATGCTCCCCAGGGAGTGGAGAATGCAGACTTTAATGTACGGTATAGTACATGTAAGTTCTGTTGATTAAATACTTTAAGTGCATTAGTCGGTTGTAACTGGTATAGAGCTTTATAAGAAACATTAGTTATTATGATTTCATGGCAAGAAATAACTTTACAATACCCCACCAATGTACATGTATGTTTGTCCGTTGGTGGTCCAATGAGCCAATCAGTATATTAGATGAGCTTTCGCATTTGCCAAAAAACACAACCGAATAAAGTTGACATGATTATTTCTAAGCCTCCAATTGCTCTTGCCCATTACCCAAATATATTATTTTTTAGTACGTTTTCTTAATGATCAACTCTTAAAATTGCTTGAAAATCATGAAAAATAACTGTGATTACTGTCGGTAAATAAAGTACAAACACATACAATCAAAGCCAGCTTAAATGCTCATCAAAGATGCAACTTATAGAAAGGTTCTGTATCAAACACAACATCAATTAAATAAAGTTAATTCTGCAAAACTCAAAGTGGCACAAGTTGAATTTTCCCCAAGTCAAAGCAGAAAAGATGGCGCTATATTATTCTCATTATTTGTATTATTTACAATTCGACTTATGCAGAGTTAACTGTATTTGCCATCCTTATGTGTAACAAATATCTCTCATGATTTATTTTTTACATTTCAGGAAATACATGTAGAAGAGCAAAGAGAACTGAGGCATACAAGGAATAGTGTAGGAACGTGCCCCACCTTGCCTATCAACCCCAAGACCGTGGGAAAAGCCAAACCGCGTACCAAAGGCAGGGAGAAACGCTACTACCAGTGTGAACACTGTCACATCATCTATGAGCAGCCCCGAAAGCTGGAACGTCACCGTCGAGATCTCATGGGCAAGGCATCGTACCAGTGCTGTTACTGTGACATGACATTCCCAACGATTGGCTGTCGGAGATTCCACTCGCGTCTTCACGAGGATAAGACAATGCCGTGCCCGTATTGCCCGAAGGTGTTCCATGAGAAGCGCCGGTATGAGGACCACGTCCGCTCCCATACTGGCGAAGCGCCGTTTATGTGTCAGGAGTGTGGTAACGTCTACCGTACACGAAGTGCGCTCCGTATCCACAAGCGCACGCACGGTAACGATAAGCCGTTGAAGTGCCGTTTTTGCCCGAAGCGTTTCATCCGTATCGGAGACGTCCAGGTCCATGAACGGACTCACACGGGAGAGAAGCCCTACAAATGCGGGATCTGCGAGAGTTCCTTTGCAACCAGTAGTCAGGTCAATCGTCACAGACGAACTCATTCTGAAGAGCGCCCCCATCAGTGCTCCTATTGCAATAAGACTTTCAAGAATCCCGATTATCTAATAACACATGAAAAGATGCACCTTGGCCACAAGCCCCACCACTGTAAGTACTGTCCCAAGCAGTTTCGTACACCGCGAGAGCTAGTTCACCATGAACGTGTGCATACTGGTGAGAAGCCCTTCGAGTGTCAGCAGTGCGGACATCGCTTTTCTAAAAAGACTAACCTGAAGCAGCATGAGCTGCAGCACACGGGCGTCAAATCCTTCACATGTTCCAAGTGTCCAAAGTCCTTCTACAGGAAGGCATCCCTGATGTGGCATGAGAAGATCCATGAGAATCGGGAGCGCTTCCTCTGTAAGGAATGTGGCAAGCTGTTCTTCAAGGAGTCCTCTCGCGACAAGCACATCCGGAAAGCTCATGGTGCAGACGCGGGAGCTGCGGGAGGAGAAAGCGGGGAAGGGGATGGTGATGTCTTAGAGGAGGAGAATGGTGGGGAGGTTGATGGTGGTGATGAGGCTGAAGGACAAGAGCCTGAAGGAGGAGAACAGTCCGAGCAGAGTACCCCTAACACTTCTCCCAAGGTGACGCAAGACAGGCGTACCCCGCCCAAAACTCCCGCCAACGATGGAACTGATAGCACCTGCGAAGACTGCGGGAAGACCTTTCTGGCCCGTAGGTCACTCCTGCGACACTACCGGGCAATCCACAACCGCTACATCTCCAGGAATGGCGAAGGGGACTCTCCTGGGACCAAACCGAAGAAATCGTTCGGCTGTAGACTCTGCTCCGAGACATTCCTTACCGATCATCTACGTCATGTCCATGAAGGCACGCACACCAATGCGTGCTTCACCTGCGAAACGTGCAACAAAACGTTCTCTACGCGCCAGCTTCTTGTGAAGCACCAGAAGATCCACTCCGATGTCAAGCCTCACGTTTGCGAAACCTGCGGGAGTGCCTTCACCATCAAGTGGTACTTGAACCGACACATCAACATCGTGCATTCCGACGTCTACAGCTATCCCTGCACCATCTGCGACAAGAAGTTCAAAGCCAAGACGGCTCTCAGCGTCCACATGCAACTTCACAACGTTGAAGGTAAAGTGTACTCTTGTGATCAATGCGACGCAGAGTTTCACGTGAAGCGTTATCTTGCGCGACACAAGCGGAAGTATCACCGTGGTGGCAAAGATGGTTCTAAGAGTTCTCGCCGTGGCAAGAGTAAGCAAAAGGAGGAGGAGGAGGATGATGATGATGATGATGCTATGTATGACTTTGATGATAACATGGACGATGATTTTGATCTCATGACGGATGACTCACAAGCTGTGTCGGGGGTCTTCCTGCGTCAGATGCTCTCAAAGGGCTCCGATCTGGAGGATTTCAACAAACAAGCAAAACCAATCAACAATCATGATAACTTAGAAAACGAAAATACCTTCAATAATCATGATCCTGGTATTGACCACGAGCCTAAGAATGACGGTGATCATGAATTTGTAAAGGAAGACGGTTCGTCACTTGAACAGATACCTAGGAACGATCAAGACATGGACCATGAGGACATTGCAATGAGGGAAATATTACATGAAAGCAGATTAGGTCAAAGAACAGGTGATATTGCAAGTACCTCAAAAGAAATGAATTCTGAGGATGGGTTTGACCTTAACGATGAAGAAGATGACGCTGAAGCATTTGATGATGATGAAGATGATGAATATGATGGTGATTTTACTCCCGATGACAACCCAATGTCAGATTATGTATAACAATTTGAATATTTTTAATAGTAAATCATGTTTGATACTTTGAACCTTATCTTCAACAAGTCTACTTTCAATGATAGGATGTAGAAGTGAAATAGTGAATTTTGTTTCATACTTTTAACCCTACCTTCAACTAGTGAACTTTTAATGATGTGATATAGAAGTGAAATAGTGAATCATGTTTGATACTTTGAACCCTAACTTCAACAAGTCAACTTTTATTGATAGGATATAGCAGTCAAATAGAAAATCATGTTTGATACTTTGAACCCTAATTTTAACAAAGGCACTTTTAATGAAAGGATATAGAAGGTAAATCTAACCTTGGTGCTAAATTATTCTGAAGGAAAAGTTGAATAAAAGATTTGTTAAAAAAAAAAGTATATTGTGAAATGAAAGATAAAGAATGCCAAAAAAATTGCTGACTTATTAGTATGATATCACTAAAAATAACAAATGTGTATGTACATTTATGGGAATGTAAAATGAGCAAAATACTGTGATGGAAAATTGAATAGCATTCACTCCAACACTCAAAGGGAAGCTAACATTTGTCTAAGTTATACTTTGGTGCAAAAGCTTTTCTTTTGTGCAGGACAATAGTTTGAGATACAGGTCCATGTATTAAGCACAGTCCAGGGGAAAGTTGCTTAGGAGAGAAATGGAAATTGTGGATAAGTTGCAAGTGGAAAATTTGGTCATGTATATCACAATCAGATGACCAGTCAACTTATTTCAGATTCGTATGGACTTTAAAGCCTGTCTGCACTAGTTTGGTCAGGGTGGTTATCTCATCAAGTCAGCTCTCAATTAAAGCCTTGGTCACAAATGCCATAACGAACTGCTACGAACGCCGTACGAACCATTTTCAGACAATGGAAATTCGGGAAGACAATGGAAAAACGGAGTTTCGTACGAAACCATCGTTCGTACAAACCTTTGTGACCGTAGCATAACCTAATAAAAGGGGGATCATGGGGGACGAACGGTACCGCTTAGGCATTGTTTGCTATATAGAGGGTGCAAGTACATGTAGCTACAAGTAGTGCCGTCCCACTTTAATAGTGGTCTCATGTTTCAAACAATCATATATTTCTAATTGTTGAAAATCACTGATTTTAATGTTATCAGACTCTTTAACTTATTGCAAAGGTTGGATTACCCTATTAGATTGAGGTATCTGAATCACAAAAGCATTTTCTTTAGCAATTTGATGTCTTAAATATTTTTATTCAGATGTTCATACCGGTATGCAATTCATTGGTGTTATTTACAAGTTCAATTATGCATTACAAAATCATAGATGTATAGAGCGGTTGGTTAGTAACAGATATCTGTAGCTAATTTGTCTATCATGAAGTTTTTAAGTAGATAGCATGGCTCGGAACATTTGATAGATCATTAAATAATGTTGAGGTGCAAACCATTTATGAGTTCAGATTGGGTTAAATGATGAATTATATAAAAACTTACAAATGTCTAAATGTGACTGACCAAAGACACTATGAATCGAGATCCAATGAGCCCTATTAGCACATGTACATGTATACATTAAATAAAGAGGACTCTATCCTTGTTATACAGACTTGCTTTTGCTTTTGCAAAAAACTTGGATGTTTTAAACGATATCTCATGAAGCATCATAAGTTTTAAAAAATGAAGAGATTTAACCACTGTGGATACATTATACATCTGTTACTTTCTACAAATTTTGTGTGACATTTGGAAACCGAATATGTCCTGATTGTTATGTATAAGCACCTCCACAAAGTCCCCTCTAGTGCCATCTCAGGTCAGCTGTAGCAGTATGGTCCCGTAACTCACTGCTTCCCTAGCTGTGCTGTTAGTTCTCACATCAAGTCCACTATCTGCGAAGTGGAAATTATGTATGGGGTTATGCACTGTTGGCAAGTTGACCTTGAGACGGCCCTGTGCAATAAACAGTATGCCAGGGCAGAAAGTTCAGTTCAGTATTGTTTTATTAGGGTTATACTTACATGTCTGTCCCCTTAGCAGTTAATAAACTTACACTTCCACATGTATAATACACTAAGAAAAGGGTGAGGATTAACATGTTCATATTTTATTACAGATTAGTCAATGAAATGTATTTGAATGTCTGAGAATAACAATCTGAACGAATTAATTATACATGTAGGTGGGTTAAAATTTGAAAAATGTACCACTGTGAGATGCCGTCCCTTGCCAAGCACATAACGTTGCGTAACAGTGTCTATAGGTTTACTAAGTACATTATTATGTACTTGTCAAAATTTGATTTAATTAATTAGTTCATTGATTACTGCAATTGATTTTAAAAGTGTCACTTTAATTGATGTTCATCCTGATCCATGCCCCAGTATGGATAAGAAGTTAAAACAAACATTTGTTTATAGGTAATATCTATGGACCTGCCCATATTACTGGTAACATATGGATGAGCTATCATTGATGATATACAGATCGGGGGGGGGGGGGGGGCATAGGTATTCCTTGCCACCCCTAGATAGCCCAAAATTGATGTTTATTATTCACGTTTGTACAGAATATTGAATTTTACTGAAGAAAAAATATTTAATTTTTTTTCTTCCATATTTTAAGTACATCATGAATTACAAAAAGGAAAGTGTGCTTTTTGATTGCATTCCTTTGGTTACTTTCCTAAAGCGCCGAAAAATTGACTTTTTCTCTGCTGGTCCCAATATTTTTGAAAATGAAAGTGAAAATACACCTGAAATAATAGCTGAAAAAGTGTTCTTCTGTTTTGACCTGTTAGAATTTTTACAGTTAAAAAAAAAATGAAAGATATGATGAACTTTCTGAATGTCCGTTTACCGATTACCATCAATTTTGTTTAAATATAGTTGTTGGACTAACCAGAATTCAATTCATCACCCATCTGTGACACTGGAGTTGTAACCATTTTCTATGCCGGTTGTAAACACCCAGTTTATCCCTAACTGGAATATTAGCTTATTTTCAATCATCATTTGTTTGCATTCTTGTCTACCTTGGTATGTACCCACCCGAAATATTGTTTTCATGTATAAACTTTGTCTATTTATTTATTGATTGACATGTAGCATTTGAATGTCTTGCAAAGGCAAATGGTAATATCATGATGTAATTATTTATGTGTATCATGCAACCATTTTGGAAATACTCCTCTTCGTCTCGTTATCCACCTGCAATTTATTTGTCAATTGTTTCTTATTTTTATATATTCATTTTTTACACTCCCCTTTTGCATTCGTTTTGTCCATGTTGAATTTGTTAAACAATTTTCAAAACTGTCAGGCACATCTCTGGAAAGCTTCATAATCTTTGAAATATTATGCTTACCTGATGGTTCCTCCACCTACCTGTAACTTACTGGTATGATCTTGTTTTCTTAAGTTGATATTGGAAATGTGTGCAAGCTTCTTGAGGAATGTAAAGGAAGACATTTTGCTATAACTCTTGAGGTGTTAGAAAAATAATAGCACAATCTGCATATGAATGAAAATGATAAAAAAATTGATGTTGTAGAAGAAATTTACACAAAATGTGCATACACAGTCACTGGCGATTAATATACAGAGATCAAATGTACATTACATCATGTAGCTGTTAGCATCTATACAATTATTTTGTGAAAGTTATTTTTAAAGGTATTAAATGTTGATTCAAATCATTCATATTTACTTTTATCAAGGAGATTTCAAGTTCTTGATGTGGAATTTATGAGAAATCTAAAATACTTCAATTTTTTCTTTTGAATATATTTCAAAATAAGGCTACAAATGGCTCTCTATTATGTTTAAGTCCTACTTAGAGTTAAGTTCGACTTAGGATCTTTGTGAAACACCCCCCAGATCCACTAGACCAAAATGTTGGTCTAGCTTGTAAAGTTTCAACTCATTTTCCTTATGTCATGCGGATCTTCAGTTTTTAGAGCATCGGTCTTGTCTACTTGACTTAAATTTCGAGAGACCGACAATTTTTTCCTCCTGAAAATCTTCAGTCTCATGGACTTTTGGTCTTGTGAATCTTCAATAAAATGGAATTTCCCAGATTAGAACAACTCATGCATCCGTATTTCTCATCTTAATGTACTACAGCCAACCTGCTTTATTGACCACCTGTCTACAAAGGCCACTTTTGATGTTTCCCTTGAAAAAAGTTTCTCATTGAATCATGTAGGCTACTAAAGGAACCTGTCTACAAAGACCACCTGTCTACAAAGGCCACTTTTTGTGTTTCTCTTGGGTGGTCGCTATAGACTGATTTGATTGTAGTTTATATCATGTCGTATGAAAAGTAATTACATATTTTGTGCACTTTTTAATATACTGTAAATAATACAATCACAGTTGTGAGTTTGTCATACATACCTGTTAACAAAGTTGGTGGTAATTTTTTAGTATATAATCTAATTATTAAGCAGATAATTGTTGTTTTGTTATTGATGCTTTATCGTGCAAACTGGTATGTGTTGTAAGTATATTTGTGGAACGAAATATAACCCATATTGATTATACACATCGTAATAGCTTTGTGACTATGTGTGATAGGGTGTGTATGTGTGTGTGTGTGTGTGTGTGTGAGGGAGAGAGAGAGAGAGAGAGAGAGAACGAAAGAGAGAGAGAGAGGGGGGGGGGGGGGGGGGGGGGGTTGCATCATTATCTTTATAAACGGATGTGGCCTCCCCTTTCCCTTTTAACATCTCATATTTTTTTCGTCGTTTTTTCTTTGGAGTTGCTAATGATTATTGTTATTACAATTATTATTATTAATGTTGTTAGTTATTGCCTATGCCCTCACGGTGACCATATAGTAGGAATACTCCCCAGGGAGTGGAGATGGTGCACATTGTGCGTGATTGAATCCGATGACCGGGGTAATGATATTCCGTATTTAGCGCTATATAAATCCATTATTATTAAAGGAGATGAAAGCAGAACAAGCAAATATATTCAAAATTTATGGAGTATCATTATTTTGCTTGCACATAAAATAGATACAAATATTATCAACCACGTTTCGTTGCAGGCCTATGTATCCTATCTACTATACATTTAATTGAATACAGCTTAATTTGGTACTACATTTGGACAAGGGTAAATTATGAGATACCAAAAGCATAAACATGTAGGCCTATGGTAGATCAATGACTAGTGATGAATTAGTATACAAATACTACACAGCAATGAGGACATTAGTAAGATTTACCCACACAAGGTACCTTCGGAACAGTCTTAACACTCTCGAGGCGATAACTGAGGGTGTTTGGACTGTTTCGAAGGTACCGAGTGCGGGTAATTTTACTAATGCCCGAATAAAATAATGTGTTTTATATGTTTCGTAAGATGATGTTTTATTGGTTTTATGAAATGATGTTTTTGTATTTGTTTTTTAAAATTATGTTTTATTTGTTTTATAAAATGATGTTTCATATCATAATTTTACCAATGACCGGTCATTAGTGAAAACATACATGTAAGGCAAAATAAACGCCTGGTCACGTGTACGCTCTCAACCAATCATTTGATCCGTTTAATCATCTTATAATGAAATTTATACCATTACAATGCCCTGATTCTCTACGTTATTTTATGTTTCCCCTGTAATTTTGTTTGTATCTGCCCTTCTTTCGGCCTTCATTCCTCCCTCCCCCTCCCTCCCTTCCTCTCTCTCCCCACCAGGGGTCTCTGAATAAGGCTGCGTAAAAACGATATCTGGATAAAGGCATGCATGGCTGCCGATTTATGGGTGCAATATCGGTAGTATCAACACAAGCATGCATAATCAGTACCTCTTTAACGAATTTAACGACTTTACGGTAAAATTATTGACAGACGGAATAACAAAAAAGACAATTTCAGTTGCCCTGTCCATGAACTATTGAAATGCAAACTTTACAAGTAGGTAAACATGATTTCTATGGGAATATTGTAGGTATTGAAATTGCCCTTTGAGCTGATTTTTAGAAAAAGCCTTTACAATCCTGTCATAAGGACGTCCCGTTTTAAAGGTAGACGAAATCGGAGCTAATACCGATATCGGAATAAGTGCATGGATGCTGATTTTTACGTCTATTTATTAATTTATTTGAAAACAACTATTTAAATGTGTTTAAACATGATAAATCAATAAGCTCAATTTTTTGTAGTGTAGACGTGAAACGTTAAAAAAGACATATGTAAAAAATGAGGACAATAGTCTTCATAAGAACAATTTATGGGTTTAATATTGGCAGCGTCAACAAAAATACGTATACCTCAGTATCATTGCGACTCAGGTTCAAAGATCTTGGAGACTCATTTCGCAGCCCTCATAATGGATATTGTTATCATTACAGACCCCTTATTAGTTGTTCATATTAATGATTTATGACGGCTTGAGTAGCAGAGGCCTGAAACTAGTAATGACTGACAGGGTGTCTCAAAAAATATAAGGAAATTTTGATTGGCAAAATCGTAAGAAAAGTACAAAGCCGTGCTCACTGAACATTCTTAAGTCATGTCGTTGCGGTAATACCTTCTTATCGTCTTGTGAATTTCATAATGGTCTAAGCAAGAAAACTACACATTATGATAATTTTTAGTTAAGGCATAGCATTTTTTTAAAGTGTTCCAAAGAGTGCGCGTTGAACAGCATCGTTGCAAGCATGGCTCCTGAACATTTCATGGCAAGCTCCCAGAATAAACACATGGCATAGAAGCTTCTACGGCAAGCATATACCTCCAAAATTTCACTGATGATTGCCGAGTACGTCTTAAGACATACCATTCAAACTCTCGCTGTATGTTATGAGGCACCCCATACACACAAGAATAAACAAGTCCTCAACAGCTTCCGTAGACAAGCGAACATTAAATCAATATACTGGAAGGGGGGGGGGGGGGGGGAGAGGGTCGAACAGGTAAAAAATGTTATCCAAAGAGAACATTGCACCCTCTAATCAGACCGATAATGCACGGAATACACGTCCTTCCTCTTTTAAACAAACATTGCTATTCATTCTTCTCTGGCAAATCGTTTTGATATAATCGAAACAGCTACCGGCCGCCATAAACTCAAATGATCACGGGACAGAAAAATTCAGTAGTCGCTAACGAAAACGTACATTATTGTGTGTCAACAGTTTTCTTGAATTAAGTGAAACAGACGCATGCGTTTTTTTTCTCTGTAACGGATGATCATGGACCTTTGGCAAGTAGAGCGTTCCTATTTGCTGCTGACGGCTGTCATTGCTCTAGTGGTCGCGTGGTTTATGAAGCGAATAATAAACCGTCCTCGAAATCTGCCGCCTGGGCCGAATGGACTACCTCTCCTTGGTGTCGCTTTGAAGCTCATCGGGTGAGTGTATAATATCTTGTTAACACGACAGCGACATGTAGCCGGACCTGCATCATGGACAATCCTTAATAGGACAACTCCTGCGGATGAATCTTTTGGACACCCCCCCCCCTGGACAATTTTATCTGTCACTCCCATGAGGATAACTATCCGAACAAACTCCCTACATAACCTAACCAGCTAGACAAGGTAGTTTCAAAGAACAATACTTTACCCGGCATTTAACCCTGAGGATAACTACCAAAACGAACCCCCACATAAACTACTAGGACAACTACGTTCAGACGATAACTACAACCGGACGGACATTTACACTTGAGGATAAATACCTCGACAACTAGCTCACGACACATTTATACCTACCCAGCAAGGGTGTCGATTTGTATCCGTGGTTGGGGGGGGGGGGGGGGGGGGATGATAGGTGCCAAAATATTTTCGGCAATGGATCAAAGCAACCAAGAGGTAGAAGTGTGTGGCGGGTTGCACCCCCATCCCCAAGCCTCGCGAAGCGCGGAAGCTTTGACGTTTCATTAAATTATTAGAGAAAAAGAGGATTCGTTGGAACGTTCTCGACTTTTAATCCTTGTTTGAATCAAGTTCCCCTTCCTCTGCGCGTAGCGCGGAAGCTCTGACGTTTCATTAGATTATTAAAGAAAAAGACGATTCGATGTACCATTCTCGACTCTTAATCCTTAATGTTTGAATCAAGTCCCCTTTCCTCCGCGCGTAGCGCGGAAGCTCTGACGTTTCATTAGATTATTAAAGAAAGAAGACGATTCGATGTACCATTCTCGACTCTTAATCCTTGTCTGAATTCAGTTCCCCCCTCCCGCCCGCGAAAGCTTTGACGTTTAATTAGATTATTAGAGAAAGAAGACGATTCGTTGTGTCCTTGTCTGAGTGCAATTCCCCCCGCCCTCCCGCACGAAGCGCGGAAGCTTTGACGTTTCGGTGCCAGGTAAAAATGTCAGAAGAAAAAATGTCAGGGGTAAAAATGTCAGAGGTAAAAATGTCAGAGGTAATAATGTCAGAGGTAAAAAATGTCAGAGGAAAAAATGTCAGAGGTAAAAATGTCAGAGGTAAAAATGTCAGAGGAAAAAATGTCAGAGGTAAAAAATGTCAGAGGAAAAAATGTCAGAGGAAAAAATGTCAGAGGTAAAAATGTCAGAGGTAAAAATGTCAGAGGAAAAAATGTCAGAGGTAAAAATGTCAGAGATGCCAACAAAAATGTCATAATATCTCTGCACTTTATCACACAAAATGTCAAGATGTAAGGTACTGGGCTAGTCTATTATATTTTATAAATGACTGTGTATTGTACTTCGTACATGTCCTGAGGATAATACAATGTGGAAAATAAATTTGAAACTTATATTTTGTGATCAGGTTTGCATATATTAATTTCTATCATTTTTCGATATTTTAAATTTGTTGATGTTTTAATGTTTATTTGGTTTTGAGAAAGTAGGCCCAAGTACATAGAATATTAAGATTGAATGAGATACAACAGGGAATCAGTTATAAAGATCGCACAGAAATTCCACAAATTCAGTAATCAGACCCATCTTCATGTCCATCCCAGCAAAAACTGTTATGACAAGAAAACATTAATAAAAAGACACGGATGCTTTGTCCCCCTCATCAATACTTTATTACAAACGTTTAACAAACAATATCAAAGCTTCGCTTGAAGAATGTCAGATAGTAGGCCTACAAGTGGTAAACGTTGAGAATATCAACCCAGGTATTTTGGCATGTGCTTTCGACTTTCGACCATAACACTGCGTAACTTTATATTAAAAAAATCATGTTTGTGATTAAGAAACGTGGGAGAAATACAGTATAAGTCCCTCAATTTCAACTGTTTTTGTTCTGCCAATAAATTCATGATGCATTTTGTTTAATGTGTAGACTTGTACGAGTACTGCTTGTATACAAGCAGTATCATGTTCAGGGGCGTCAATCCTGGGGGGGGGGGGGGGGGGGGGGGCGGGGGGACACGTCCCCCCATGTTTTGTCAGAAAAGAAGTTCTTTAATAATTTAATGTAATGTTAAAGCTTCCGCGCGGGAGGGTGGGGGGGGGGGGGGGGGGGGAAAACTGAATTCAAACAAGGATTAAGAGTCGAGAACGGTACAACGAATCGTCTTCTTTCTCTGATAATCAAATGAAACGTCACAGGTTCCGCAGGGGGGGGGGGGGGGAGGGAACTGGATTCAAACAAGGATTGAGAGTCGAGAACGGTATACAACGAATCTTCTTCTTGCTCTAAATATGTAATGAAACGTCAAAGATAAAAAAGACAATAAATGAACCGGTCACCAATGAAAGTACATGCCGTGAAACAGAATAACTAGAGAGAGTGTGTGTGTAGCAACATAACGTGGTATAATTTTGAAAGTAACTGTAAAGGTGACATGTAATTGTGTCCCCCCCCCCCCCATGCTCAAACTCGGATTGACGCACTTGATCATGATGCTATAAATGTGTACAGTAAAACTATGTTTCTGATATGTTACTCATGAATAAATATTTGTCAATTTCAGAGTTTGATCTCTCACAGCAAATAATTATAGAACGATGTAGTTTAAACAGAACCTCTGCAGAGCGCGCGCTTATCTGGAATGTGATGGTGCGGTTAGCATTTGATGTAACATTGGCGGCTTTCTGCTTTGTATCAGAGTATCAAAGCTGCTTATTGATGTTCTCCCAGACTATTTATACCGCAATAGTGATCGACGATCAACTCTTTGCAAAGCGCGCGCTTCTCTGGAATGTGATAGTGCGGTTAGCATTAGATGTAACATGGGCGGCTTTCTGCTTTGTATCAAGGTATCAAAGTATCAAGCCCACAAGAAAGTGAAATTGTTGGAAATATGCTTTTGTAGGAAATTACATTTTATAGTAGTCATTGCCACGTTTTAAAATGTCCATCAATCTTCAGAAGGGACGGTGAAGTGGGGACGGAGGACTCACAGCGTGATATCTAATCCTCTTCTTTTTTTTTTTTTGGGGGGGGGGGGGGGGGGGCTGTGATGAATTTTCTTTTTATTTAATGATTACACCATCGAGCCACAACTCGGCCTATAATTATTCATGGCCAAACTACTCGATTTTAGACATTCTTTTGACCCAGAAGTTTGCTCAGTGTACCAGTATCACTCGATATGAGGGGGAGGCAGCCGGGTCACTATGCCCCCAAAAGAAGGATACACATCCCCCCCCGTCTCCCCTCGGAAATAATCGGGCAAAAAGTCCCAATTTCGGGCAGAAAGGTAAATAAAAGTTACAGAAAGAAGAAAATAAAGCAGCGCTGAAATTATTGACTGCAGAGCATCCTATGTTATATCTTTTCGATAAGCCTAATATACAAACATTACCAATATTCAACCTGTAACATGCTTTTTTATATATTTTACCTCTAACATTTTTACCTCTGACATTTTTACCTCTGACATTTTTACCTCTGACATTTTTCCTCTGACATTTTTACCTCTGACATTTTTACCTCTGACATTTTTACCTCTGACATTTTTACCTCTGACATTTTTACCTCTGACATTTTTACCTCTGACATTTTTACCTCTGACATTTTTTCCTCTGACATTTTTACACCGAGCCGACGTTTCAATAAATTATTAGAGAAAGAAGATTCGTTCTTATTTGGGGGGCTAGCGCCCCCAAGCCCCCCACCAGAACGCAAGTGACATAGGCCTGCATCAGCTTTTCAATAAAACAAAAATAAGTCGTGACATAATTTAGGGAATATCAAGAAATAAAATGAGTGAAAAAACACCAATAAAGATACAATGACGTGAATTTTAAAAAGGGTGAACGGAAACAACTTAACAACATTAACTACTCTCATCGGGCTCTCATCACTAATTTTTCTCTTAATTATTATTTTTTTTTGAGAGTGAATTATTGGGGGGGGGGGGGGTGTGATTGTACAGGCCATCCCCCACCTGAAATATTGGGGAGGATATATCCCCCCACCCCCCGGGATCGACACCCATGCTACCCAGACAACAGTGGCGTACCTGGGGTACTCCGTCAGGGGGGGCAAGCGACCGAAACAAACAAAAAAGGCGATGCTAATTTTCACTTCTGGCGAGCGAGCGAGCAAAAAAAAATCTTTAAGTAACATTTGGTATATAAACTGGTATTGTTGCAAGTTGGGGGTGGGAACATTCACTTGTTAGCGACGTTAATTTCATTTTTTTGCAAACGAGTGTAGCGAGCAAGAAAAAAAATAACTTCTTTTTTAATAATTGCCACTTAAACTTGGTTCAATTGTCCCATGCAGGGCGCGGGAACATGATTGTGTTTAGGGTGATTTTATACCCATTTTAGCTAGCGAGCAAAAATACACCTTTCTCTCAATGAATTGCTATATAAAATTTGTTTCATTGTTGCAGGTAGGGGGCGGGCACAATCGTGTTTAAGGCAATGCCAATCCCATTTTGGCGGGCAGGCAACCCCCTATATTTCTCTTTTTAATGATATTGTAGCAGGTTAGTGGTGGGCACATAATTCCACGAGCTAGCGAGCGTAGCGAGCGAAAAAAAAATCACTTTTCTTTTATAGGGAAAATATGGTACATAAAACTTGGGTTCATTGTTCCATGTCAGGGACGTGATTATTAAAAGCGGTGTTATTTCTATTTTGGCGAGCGAGCGTAGCGAGCGAGCAAAAAAAATCACTTCTCTTTTACTGAGGGAAAATATGGTACATAAAACTTGGGTTCATTGTTCCATGTCAGGGACGTGATTATTAAAAGCGGTGTTATTTCTATTTTGGCGAGCGAGCGTAGCGAGCGAGCAAATTTTTTGTAATGATAATTGGTTCATAAATTTCAGATTTTTTTGTTGCAGGGCAGGGCTTACACAATTATGTTTAAGGTGATGTTAATTCCGTTTTGGGGAGCACGAGCACACCAAAACTTCTTTTTTTCTTCTGTTAATTATTAACTGGTTGTTGCAGGTTGGGGCGGGCACGTTAGTGGTGTCAATTCCATTTTGGCGAGCGAGCATAGCGAGCAAGCAAAAAAAATAAATTCTCTTTTAATAGAAATTAATAAATAAACTTGTTTTTATTGGTGCAGGTCAGGATGGACGCAATCGCGTTTAACGCGATTCAATTCCTTTTTGGCGAGAGGGCGAAAAAACTCTTCCATTTTTAATGATATTGTTGCAGGTCAAGGGTGGTCACAATTGTTTCCAAAGCAATGTCTATTCATTTTAATCGCGAGCGAGTGTAGCGAGCGAGAAAAATGAATTAGTCTCTTTTAGTAACATTTGGTACATATATTGTGTGTTATTGTTGCCATCGTTGCAGGTCGGGGTCCGTCGGGGCAGGCACAATTGTATTCTAGGCAATACTAATCCTTTTCTTTTTTCAGGGGGACGAGCAAGTGAAAACATTTAATACAAAATAGGCTAGCAAGCACTTCGCGCCAGCGAAGAGTTTCAAATTTGTTATATCACTTATATTTTCCTATTTTCATTTGTTTTAATTTTTCAGGGCCGTATGCGGAATATTTTTCTGGTAGGGGAGGGGGAAAGATGCGTTAAAAGTTTTCGAAGAATCTCACAAGCAAAAGGAGTGAAGGGAGTTCGAGCGACCGAACTGGTCATGATGGTACTTTTGCATTTTCAAAAGTAGAATTGAAGGATTTGGTATAGGCCTACACTACATTTTCAGGAAAAAAACTGTACGTTTTCAAAAATATCTGGGGTCAACTGCCCCCCCCCCCCCCCTGGTGCGTACGTCTTTTTTTTTAAATTCTCCATTTGTATTCCTTTTCTTTTCTTTTCCCTTTTTCTTCCTTTTCTCGTCTTCTTCCTTTTTTCAATTCTTTTTTTCCTTTTTTCTCTTCTTTCCTTTTTTCTTCCCTTTTCCTTTTTTCTTTTTCTTTCCTTTTCCTTTCTTTTCTTTTCTTTTCTTTCCCCTTTTCTTTTTTTTCCCCTGGAGCCCGTCAGGGGGGGCACTCTGCCCCCCCTGCCCCCCCATAGGTACGCCACTGCCAGACAACTGTTTTCATAGAACACTTTACCCCGCTACCCGGACATTTGCGGACAGTTATCCCTGGGGCACCTACCCGGACAGCTTCTCCACCACTATACCGTTCCAGACAGCTATAGACCCCAAAATGACCCTAAATCCGATTCCTAAATCTCCCCATCTCGATTACCCCGTACAACTACCTCGTGAAAATATACTTCCATTAGCTAGTCTCTATGACTAATTTAGGTAACTCTTTACAGAATAACAAGTATTTCATAAGACCTTACAACATTTAGGCCTACTGAACAACTTATCGGCAACATAGACCCGTTTCACGAAGCCCTTTTTTTAAATTGATAAATGACAAAAATCAGTGACAAATCTGCTGATAACAAATAAGAAGCGAGGATTTCAGTATAGCTTATAACAAAAACTGTCATTTTGTGAAATAGGGCCCAGGGGTAATCACAATAGCAAACAAGCTTTTATGAACTCCTGTGGACTTGCAGCGTGTCCACACACAAAACAATGTTTCTCGAAACTCTATAACAAAACGTCGTATAAAGAATGATCGTATAAATTTCAGGGTGTCCACACACAAGAAACGTCATATAAAGAACCATCTTATACATTCCAGGGTGTCCACACACAGAAGAATGTAATCCTGAAACTCTACAGCGAAATGTCGTATAGGTGCGCAGTTTGCTACTGCGATCATGAAATGGAAGCGGACATGAGAGGTCAGGTCTCCTTTCGCTCGAGGTCACGTTAAGCTCCGCCCAGTTATACCGTTCTAGTTCGAGTAGTTATACTAGTTACGTCCACACACAACACATTCCGTGATTAGGCGTGATTCTTTATACTACGTATAACGAAACGCATGTTTGGGCATCTTTTCGTTATACGACGTTTCGTTATACGACGTATCGTTAGTAAGCGTCCACACACACAATTCGTCCTTGTTTTCACGAAGTGACGGTAGTGAGGAAAATCGTAACGCAAAGTGAATGCAATTTTTTTTCACTACCGTCACTTCGTGAAAACAGGGATTTCATCGTATAAATATCCCGAAACGGTATAACTAATCACGCCTAATCACGGGAAAATGTGTTTGGACACGGGGTTGATCAAGTCGAATCCAAGCCAAATTATATGTTTATATAACCAAACATAATCTAACCCTAACCATGTACACGATAACTACTTCGAATGCGATCGTAAACATGTTTTTTCTGATCAACCTGAGGCAATCTCAAGGCTTTTGTCCATGACCTATTGAAAATGATAATATAACTTTGACGCAAGCAATAATTTGAAAATGGAATGTACATTTTGGTATCAAAATTGATTTTAAGTAGATTTCTCCAATACTTTAATTTGTATTTCTTTGAACTTATTTGGTTATTTATACGTAGTCTATTCTCGCAATGGCAGATCCGACCTACTTGCTCTCTTTTCATCATGGGCCGACAATTACGGGGATATTGTTTCGTTCAATGTCGGACCGAAGTTGATAGTTCTCCTGAATTCTTACGAGGTCGTCGTCGAAGCCTTCCGAAATCCGGACCTCCAGAATCGACCTGGGAGTCAAATCATGAAGGAAATATCAGGAGGAGGGAAGAATGGTAAGGTTAAATTACGTCAGATAAATTCAAAATGTAAAGTATTTATTTATTATTCACTTTTTCCTTAAAGTGACTTGGTAACATTGTTGAAGGTTGATGAAAAAATTGCTTAATTTTTGTCTAAAATGTTACTTATTATATTCCTTCAACTGTACTAACCCTCTGACATGCAAAAAAATCCTGAAAACACTCTCAAACCACGAAGATATCTATGGTTTTCTTTGAGGACGTCACTGTGCAACACCCTCTAACTGTGATTAACAGTAAATTCTCCCAACCATTTTTGAACAGGCTATTAAAATTTATGTCAACACTTAAATGTCTGGAATGGTATGTAGAGCCAATTTATTCCTTTGTGATGATTTACATTCACCTTAAATGTAATTAATTTGTAATTAAAAAGTTGGGAAAATTAAGGAATCGATCAGAACAGTTTTTCCCAATTTGTATCATTAATAATGGTCCGTTTTCACTAAAATTTGCAGATTATCCTTAACTTTACATCTAGAATTGAAGTCACTACCTTAGCAGTAAGCACTACTATATCTCATCTGAACAATGTTACCAAGTCCCTTTAAAAGAAGTCATGAATACATTTCGACTACATCGTAAATGCAGTTGCACTGCAGTTGCACTTGCATTGCACCCTTGTGTGTGTTAGTTCTTTATCGCCTATTCTACCTTTAGGCCGCCATCAGCATCAAGCAACCCGCTCAAGATGGCGGTTTCCTTGGTTTACAAATTCTATTAATTGGGTGATCTGTCGCGACGTCATTTAGGCGCCATTTTGTTAATTTCTGATATTAACCATATTTCATTTATACATGTACACTGTCATTTCTGAATTATACCTAATATGCATAAACTTGATGTTCAAGGGTAAATTTTGGGTCACAACGGTCACAACTATGTCCGTGCGCGCGTCACGGCGGGCGCGTACGCGTGCGTCAATTTTTTTTTTTTTGCCAGACGCTCCCACAATTTTATTAGACGTTCAATATTGCATTACACCGTGGAGCCAACCCGCCCCCCCTCACTCAGACGTCAGAATGACCGCATGCGTGTTACCAAAATGTCAGGTAAAGGGGTACTTTTCGTGCGACAAAGTCCGGCCCGAGAATCGTAAAAAAGGGGTGTTTTTGACTTTTTACCCTGAGATTTCTTTAAAAAGGCTTTTTTCCCCTTTTTTTTCTCTCTCATCTCTTTGGACTCCTGAGAAATTATTCCGAATTTACTGGGGTACATTGAGCATTTTTCTTGATTTAGGGGGGTCTCCAAGGCAGGAAAAGCCCGCGAAAAGCCCGCGAAGGGGGGGGGGGGGTTCGGAAATGTTGGCAGTCCTCAGATAGGGGGTGCTTTCAAAAAGAGAGAACAAGCATATGCGTACCCTAAATAACACTGAGTGGGGGGGGGGGCGGGGGCGGGGGCGGGGGAGTTAACAACCAAAATAGCTCTTTACTTTTACCGAAGGCTCGTTCATATTCTCATTTCCGATTTTAATTAGTCCTTATTTAACAAGTAACTACATTTTAACTTAACTGATGAACTCCGAAATGATCTACTGTTTTGTCGCTGTGGTTAATTAGGTGTACTGTTGTCCGTCGGAGATACATGGAGGGAACAACGGAAGTTCGTCCATTCTGTCTTCCGGAGTCTCGGGGTCGGGAAGAAGAGCTACGAAGATATCGTTGCAAGAGAAATGGACCAGCTTGGGTCCGCCATCGAGGAGAAAAGGGGGACCCCCTTCGACCCCAACACAATCTTCGGTCAGGCGGTGGCCAACATCATCTGCTCAATCGTTTTAGGAACACAGTACAAATACGACGACACAGATTTCAAGCATGTAAGTATGTTAAAGGGTCACTCTAACCAAAACGTGCTAAAAAAATGAGGGGAAAATGTAAAAAATTTTTTTTAGGAGATTCCGAACATGACAATGATTTTTCTTAGAAATCATCATCATTTTTCTTAGAAATCATCAATAATTCTGGAATATAGCTTAAAACATGACGAACCAGAACGCTCAGAAAAAAAACCCAGTTTCGGAGCTGTATTGCACAATATCATAAGACGTCACTGCAGGAGACGAAATTGGCATTATACCCAACATAACATAGCACTGGAATGGAGATACCCTAATACCTTAATACCCTAAGTTCTATAACATACCAAAAATCAACTAAATCTTTAACAATAATGTTCAAATATTGGTCATGATTTAAAAGTCATATCTTTCTTACCTGTTTCGTGTCAATTTTCTTATACACTGTTGGTCATAATGGTGGAATAATTATGTTTCTCCCCAATTTATGGAATGATTTTGACAATGATTTATTCCTAATAAATCTAAATAATAGCATACATTCTCAGATTTTCTTGAATATTAATTTGCGAGTGTTTGATTTGCGTGACTGCTAAAGCATGTGTGTGCTACTATTCTAATCAACTAGGGGACCTTCGTTTTTAAGTCATAACTGACAGTAATGAGGATTAATGCCTCACAAAAGGATACATAGCTGATCGACACGGTTTTTATTATGGGGCCTCACAGTAACGAGGCCTTTGCTTTGCCACTGAATCATGATTGTACGCAGCGGGGGGGGGGGGGGGGGGGGGTAGGGTACGTCGATGCCCCCACAAATACAAAAAACAACCAAGAAAATGCAATAAATTATCAATAATTTATTGCATTTTCCCCCGGTCCCCATCAGGAAAAATTCCTCTGTAGGGCCATGCAGTATGGTTATAGGCATGCCAACATGGAGGATTTCTTTCATGTTAGAGGTCGGGGCAAAATGCAATGAATTATTAACACTTTATTGCATTTTCTTTGTTTTTTGTATTTGTGGGGGCGGCGACGAACCCTAGTCCCCCGCTGCGTACGGTCATGATTAAGTGGCTAAGCAAAGGCCTCGTTACTGTGAGCTCCCAGGATCAAAACCGTGTCGATGTACTACATTAGTGCCCTTTTATGAGGCATTAATCCCCATTACTGTCAGTTATGACTTAAGGACGTAGGTCCCCTAGTTGATTAGCATAGAAGCATACACATGCTTTAGCAGTCACGCAAAAACAAACACTCACACACTATTATTCAATCAAATCTGAGAATGTAAAGGCCTACTATTATTTAGATCTATGAAGAAAAAATCATTGTCAAAATCATTCCATAAATTGGGGTAAACATAATTATTCCACCAACAGTGTATTTTTTTTGAGTATTTTTTTCCTAAAATGAAGACAAAATACGTGCACTTTCTCACAGGTTTCACGGCAAACCGCTGCACAATACAAGTGCATAACGGTATGCCCTTGTAATATGCAGCGGTTCGCCGTGAAACCTGTGAGAAAGTGCATGCATACTAATGTCTTCGTTTTAAGAAAAATACTCTCAAATACTACAAGGTTCTGGAATTATTAGAATGATAAGAAATCTGGCCCAGTCTTGGTAAAGTTACAAATACTGTACACAAAAAGATGTACATGGGAACACACGAATATGTGGCATAAAAATCCGTCCGGAATTTTATGATGTCACATGCCATATTTAGAATATTAAGGCATTTGAAGAGCCATGCTTTTCAGGGAACATTTTTTTATCTGATGTTTTTCCACACTTGCATAATACATTGATAACGCTAACAAATTATTTTTCACTTCCTCCAAGAACTCAACCTTCTCTTTAACCACTTAATGGACATTGTGGGACAGGGCCATTGAAATTGCCAAATAAATAAAGTTGTTTTTTAAATGTTTTTTTTGGGCGATTGTGTTCGTTTTAGATCATAGAGCTGTTGATAAGAAACATTGAGTTGTTTGGTGGTGGCGCTTGGATTTTTTTTCTCCCGTTGCCTGGCATTTCGAAGATTCCGTTTGGTGCAGTCAAAGCCCTCGTTTCCAACACCAGAGAACTGAACACCTTCGTCAGGACCATGATCAAATCTCACGAGCTGAACCTTGACCCCGAGCACCCAAAAGACTTCATTGATCAGTATCTCAACAAGTTAAATGAAACAAAGGTAGATAGATCTCTTATTATTAATGTCAATTGCGAGGAGTTATTGCGATAGGTTCTCGGACACCTACCCCATGGAAATCCACCCCGGATAACCACCCCCAGTCAACTACCCCCTAGGGCAACCACCCTCAAGGAAGACTACCCCAGGACAATTAATTACCCCCGGACAACTACCTCCCGGACAACTACCTGTCGGACAACTACCCCCTAGGACGACTACCCCCGGACAACTATCCCCGGACGCGCATTTTTTTGTACACGCTAGCCTGGCCATTTCTATGATAACTACTATGGAAGCGACTAATATTAGAGTAGCTAGCAGCCAACTTGCGAGGTGCATTACTAATGAACATCATGCATGACAATCATCAGACGAAGGCATAGCTGGCTAATAAACATAAGATGGCCATCGCAGCCATCGGGCGATGGAATTCAAAAGCTTAATTTGATTCAATTTAATTTAAAGGAGACACGAAAAAACGAACGATCAGCTAGCGAGCAACCATGTCCACTAACTGCGTGCATGCCTATTATGTAAGCTTTCTCACCAGCGCACTTTTACGAGTATTACGGCAAAACTGGCCAGGCTAGCGTGTAAAAAAAATATTCCCCCCCCTGGGGAACTACCCCCTACGACAACCATCCTCTCGGACAACTATCCCCGGACAACTATCCTAGGGGAGTTGTCTGGGGGTAGGGTCCGGATACGATTGCGATTGTGTTTAACAATGACAAATCTGAGATGCATGGCCCAACTTGTTATCTGAAACAAAATCCTGGATTTAGCTCTTGCTGCAATGATAATTATAAACCTTTAGGTCAGTCAGGAACCACATGACTTTTACAACCCGATCGGCTGTTTGATTATCAAGATATTTGTGATTTGAAATCGAAACCAAATTTTGCGTTTTCCTAACGGTTTTCATAACACTACAGTCTATTGAGATAAAACGAGTATGGTAAAACCGGTCCCTCAAAGATTTTTAATTTTTTGAGGCACTTCTTAATCATTTTGAAGCGCGACTTTGTTTAGGGCATCAATATTATACCATATCACAGACATTGATAACACGTAGGGCCGTGTATCTCAGATTTAACATTGTTAAACGATGCTTTTAAAGGCATTGAGCCCATTCACCAATGGTTTAACGTATTATTTGAACTCTCCATTAATAAATCATGTTAGATATTGTCTTTACGTTTTTGACGCATCGCAGTCTTATGTCACTTAAATGCCGCCTTAAAAGAAGTAAAAAGAATGTTTGTCAACCCCTGTCATAAGACTTTTAAATGGGATATGCCTACGTCATTGGTTTCAATTTGATAGGTCTAAAACAAAACTTTCACCGCGACGAAATATAATACATACGCTTTTAAACATCTACCCTGATATTTATTCTATTCATAATGACAGCATTCTTGCCAATCCAGACGAAAACATAATGTAACCTCACTTCCTTAAAGCTGCATATGCTGTCTTATCGACCCAGGGAACAGATTCATCATTTAGCCAGGCCAACCTAGAAGCGGCTATCAAAGACCTGTTCTTTGCCGGGACCGACACGACAACAAACACGCTCAATTGGTCTATTCTCTTCATGATGGCACATCCGGACATCCAGTCACGTGTTCAGACCGAACTTGATCAGGTGGTCGGACGACATCGCCTCCCGAAGCTCGACGATCGCAAGAATCTCCCATACACGAGTGCTGTATTGATGGAGGTAAATTTCAATCGTACAATTCTACCCGCAATACCAACCCCAGACAGCCATAACCATAATCGGAGATGCCCTTTTTTTCTTCCTCTCAGTTAAATCAAGCAATATATAACGTTTTGTCTTATTCTTAAACTCAAATATAATCCGTAAACATATTTTGTTTAGTATATAAATACTTATCAATGTTCGTACATTGTATAATTCATTTGTTCTATTTAATATGGTAATACTGTATGGTTTAGATAGGCCTTTTTCAATTTTGGATATTTGAGAATTTATTTGAGAACATCTTGAGACATTGTGTCAAAGCATGGGCTGTTTTTAAGTTCCTACTGCACCATTTCGTCGTGCTGCACAGCGCCATCTATACACAAAGTTTGGCTAAATTGGGCACCACATGGCGAATATCTTCTGTTTTGTGCTCTATCAACAAAACAGCATTCGCCAAATTTGATTGGTTGTTCGATTTTGTTTCTGCATTTTTCGACATAATGAAAAGTAATATACAATATACACATATACTATTAACAAAATATATATATATATATATATATATAACAAATCGTTGACAAATCATTTCAAGATTGAAAAAAAAATGCAAGAGATCACCAAATTGTGCCTAACGCGAACCGGTTTGGCATGCATAATCAAAGGCTCTTGTACTGCATCTGCAACATGACCAGCTACGACATAGGTCTGAAGAAGATTGTAGCACGCAAATGAAAGTTTACCAAAGCAAGCAATATTTCTACTTAAGTTTGTGAAGAAAGAGCAAATTATCAAGGTAAATCAACCATCAGATGAACCTCTTACTTGTAAGTGATCTACCATAGTATTAACACTTTTCTACCAGGTCCAACGCAAGGGCGCTGTACTCGCGCTAGGCGTTCCCCACGTAGCAGCTGCTGACACACAGGTGAGAGGCTACACAATCCCCAAGGGCGCCACCATACTATCCAACCTCTACAAGGTTCTGAACCGAGAGGACTTGTGGGGAGATACTAACGACTTCAGACCTGAAAGATTTCTCAGTAAAGACGGAGAGTTCATCAAGAGAGAGGAATTGATATTTTTTAGCAGCGGTAAGTACCGATTGAATGTGATATAAGTCATGTGACATCGCCCTAAAACATCGATAGCTTAACTGCAATTTTCTCTCTTTCACTTTCTCCTCGTACACCTCTCGTTGCTCCCTTCTTTCCTTTTCTCTACCTCTCTCTCACTCTCTCATTATAGTAGCTAATATATTGATAACGGTAACCATAAATGTCCGTAAGATAATTTGTGGAGGTGTCGTGGGATAGCGGTTAATTCGCTTCACCCACAATTCAAGGTTTAAGGGGTTAAGAGTCCCAGCCCAGGCTTATTTCCTTTGCCAAGACATTTATAAACATTTGCCACTCTTCTCCAAGGTGTTAAATGGGTACCCGGTAGGTCATCGTAGGTTGCACAGCATTTCGAGCACCTGTAAATTGGCGCCTGGCTGGAGTACTCCACAGGGAGTGGAGAATGGGCAGCCCTTGTGTGCGGGAAAACCTGAATACGATGACTGGGGCAATGATATATATTTAGCTCTTCGAGACTTCGTTGATGTACTAAGCGCTATAATGATTATCATCATCATCGTCATTATCATTGTTATTAGTATGGCATAATTTTGATATCCATCAATTTGTAATTTATTCTTATACAGGCCGTCGCATGTGTCTGGGTGAGCAGCTAGCCAGGATGGAAACCTACCTTGGTTTCACGAGTCTCCTGCAAAGATTCACCTTCAAGAAACCAGACCATACCCCACCGCTGTCTTTCGCCGGAGTCCTGGGGGGCACCAGGAACACCGTACCCTACGTCACCTGCGCCATCCCACGAGAGACAAAGATATAGGCCTGTAAGGAGGAGGCGGGGGTGGTGGGAGGGGGGGGGGATAGCTGCGACCTGTTGAAGTTCCAATGTTAGGAAACTTTCAGCTCATAGTCTTGCAACGAGGTACTTGTAATTGTTTCTTGACGACCAAATAACAAATCTATCATATCATTATAAGGTGTCATTTTTTGCTGGCTTATACAAATGGAAAGTAAGTATAACCAGCATGGGTGTCAGCCCAACGATTTCCCCTGTGGAACATGTACCCTACGCTTTTTGTCAGGGTAGATCTAAGATTTATTCAATAACAATCTTATGGAGAAGAGATCATGGAAAGTTCAACCTTTATAACAGAAATGCATGAAGAGAAAATCAACCAAGCTTTGGGGTTTGAACAATAAAATGAATGCAAGAACGAGCATTGCCCGTACAGAACAGCAAACTCGAAACAAACAAACAAACCTTAAAAATAGAACAGCAGCAACAACTACAAATGCAAAATGTTTAAGGTACGTTTTTATCTGTCAGTCACATTGTTCCATTGGGTATTTCAAGGATAAAACGGTGAAGTATGTATGAACTTTTGCCAACGGTCGTTCAGTTTCATTGAACCTAGTGCGTATTATCAAAAAGAATATCTCTCCCCATAATGAAAAATAAAATGCTTCAAATATATATATATAATGATCTGAATAAATGGAAAGGTATGGCATATATCTACCACCTATACTTTCAGCTTTTAATGAAATCATTAAGTTTTTCTGTATATAAATGTGTGTGCGTGTGGGTGCGCGTGTATGTACCTTTGGGTTTTGTTCGACCCTATTCCCCAGACTAGTGTCTAGTAGAAACATGTAGCGGTAAGTATTTTGTCATTGGAAATGATTTGGGAATCAGATAACCAAGGACATGAAGGTTCAAGATAAACTTGAGTTCTGGTAAAAAAAGAAAATGAATTCTCACAGAATCTAACGAAACTTACACTGAATGTTCAAGATTACAAATAAATGTCATATGCCAAACAATTTTGGAAGAAAATGTATACTGGCTGAGTAATGAGCATAGAAAGATAACGAAATCAGGGTAGTACTAGCCCCGACACCATGTGTGTTGTCCCATGTACATCTTTCTGTGTAAGTGATTGTTACTTTACCACGACTCTGCCAATTTATGATGATTTTGATGACTCCAGAACCTTGCATTACACACCAATACTTACATGTTATATGATCAACTTTTCTGATCCATTCCACACCTTTTCTTTCACAATGCAATCGCATTACCAGAACTCAAGTTTATCTTTAATGATAGAGAAATGCGAGACCTGTTTATGTAATACCAATGAGTTGAAGGATGTGTGTGTGCGTGTTTGCCTGTGTGTGTTTGTGTGTCTGCACAAATTTCATTTAAATTTAAACGGGCAATAATGTATCAGGATTATGACTTTCGAGGATTAAGAATGATTAACTTTAAAAAGTCTGTTAAAATACAGCGCATAATGTGGATAAAACGTCTGTTATATGGAGAGAGATATCAAGAATTGGATTCTTGATATCAAGAAAGGATTTTCTGTTGTAAAGCAATGGTTATTCTTGATATCAAGGATGATTTTCTGTTGTAAAGAAATTGTAATTCTTGCTTTCCAGAATTGAATTCTTGATATCAAGAAATAGGAATATAATGTTAAAACGGCTTGCCAAAGACACGCATGATTAGTGGACGTTAACGCCGTTCTCGTCCACTCAATAGGGACTTTTCGATTTGCACGACGAGAACGTGGACTGCAACGTGTGACTGCCAGTGCCTTAAAAGGAAGTCACACGTCCATGTCCACGCAAATCTAAAAGTCCCTATTAAATCAAGTCTGATCATTCCTCTTACATGGGGCGTCAAAAGCACTGTGAATCAGTGGCGCAATCCTCCTCCAGCTAATAGGGACTTTTAGATTTGCAGGCCGACATAGTGTACTGCTACGTGTGATGTCCTTAAAAGGCACTGGTAGTGCCGGCAGACCCTAAAAAGGACGTCACAGTTCACTATGTCGACGTGCAAATCTAAAAGTTCCTAATGATACCTTGCGTGCAACTTTATTCATAATGGCTGGACCCCGGGGCTGGACAAATTCTACTTATAGAAATGTTTTGCGCTTGCCTCTCCCCCTGCATGTAAGTACTTAAATCCCCACTGCAATACTTATAGCTACTTGCGCCCTCTATATAGCAAACAATGCCTAATTGGTGACCATTGGTTCACCATGGTCCCCTTTTCTTTATTGTTAATTGAGATCTGATTTGATGAGATAACCATCTGTCAGTGACCCTGCAGGAAGGTCTAATTCTTCCTGGCTAAACTAGTTCAGATAGATTTTTATGACATCCCATACACACGCGTCCATCTCCCACGGCTCATTGAGTAACTGGGTTCAATTTCTAGTAAGCTATTCAATCGCAGTTTTCCTAAAAAATGAATTTCAGCCGTTTATTTTAACCGTGCAAATTAATGGTTCATTTTGCTTTGCACATGATTATATAATTATGTACGTTACCTGGGCCCCACGGGACGTTACCTTGGAGTCACTGTAATTGATTTGGAGATTTTTTGACAAAGCTATCATTTTTGTTTACTAGTACAAGGCCCACGGAACCGGAACAGAAAAAATACCTATTTGAGAATCATGATAACCATTTTCATGCATAGTCAACGATCAATGGCGGCGTGAAATTCAGAACAGGACTTTTTACAATAAAACAGACCTTCGCAAAAACCTCCATTTAACCACCATCGCGTGCGTGATCTCTTGACCACATCAGTAAATATTTATTTATATACATCAGATAATTCGGCACGCTCAAGTGCTCAGCAATGCTGCAAAATATTCCATCACAACAAAGGTACATGCTGTAAGACCAATTCAGACAACAACTGAAAGAGGCTGCAAACATATTTTGAAACATTTCATATTATTAGGGAAAAGGCATCGTCGCTGAGATGTTGGACAACTTTACTCTATTGTCATATTTGTGTTTGCAATGAATCAGTACTTTTAGCATTGCACTAAGAGCCGCCATTTTTTTTTTTTTACAAATTCACGATTATTTGATTTAAGGAACTAAATGATTTCAAGTTGGTGACTTATGAAAGAATACCTCAACGGAATCATCCATAACTTCATCCGTGTCACCGACAACCCATAGGCCTCGGAGTAGATACATCCATGCCTGGAGGCTGAAAGTTGTTATTGGTGATCTCTAAGTGTCAGATTAACGCCATCACCATGAGGTTTCCGATGGATATACTACTGGCATGTTATATAGTTGTGATGGGTGTGGCAGGTAAGATAACGTCATAATTTCAATTTCTTAAACATTTTTCATAATTGTCGATTCGTTATTTGCCCCACAGAAGGCAAAAAAACACTTTTTTCTTACTTATTGAAGGGGGTATTAACTTTCTCAACCGTTTGATTTTAATTGCCGAAGTATAACTGTTAAGAGTTTCTTAAAAATGATATATACAGATCGTGTATAATATTCCTGTGAGAGCGGAGGATCAAATCGTTTTTCAATTATACCAGACATTTCAGTGAGAGCGTTATCATAAATTTTCGCCAAAATATACACGTATAAAATTAAATACGAATAAAATAATAATCCTTCTATATATCTAAATTAGAGAGAGGGGAAAAATAGAGTGGGAGGAGAGAAAGAAAGAGTGAGAGACAGAGACAAAGAGAGGAAAAATAAAGTTTGTTTAAAGTTAAACAATACAAATAATGCCAAAGTCTGGTAAATACTACGGATGTGCCGACGTTAAGTAAATATTTAGGAAATCAATATTGGTTGTTTTATGTTGTAATATCAATCAACTGTTATGACTCATAATCATTCAAGGGCATGTTCCCACACGCAATGTGGAATCTCATTAGCTATGATAACACAGAACTAAAAAAATCATAGCAAATGCTTTGCTTTAAAGTGCCCGTTTAAAGAAAATCACAAATATGTCAACTAATGTATGACTAGAACCTGGTAAGCTAACAGATGGCCATCGTACAAGTTTTACGTCATCTACATATTGGGCGATTTATAAAAATACAAATAAAACCACATCAATAGCATCTAGGATATACGTCAGATTCGCTAGAAAAATAAAGAAGTTTAAATGACGTTACAATATGAACCAATTCTGCCCAAGCAGACGACATCCCATAAAGACTAAACATAAGTGCAATGCTATTATTTCTCAAATTATAATATGTTTGATGTATATGAATGTGATGTCATTTTACACCATTCAAAAAGGGATATGAAACCGATTCTGATAGCTAAATTCTTTTGTTTGTAAATACACAGGATAGGGGTTAATTAACAATCAAAGAAAACACACTTTCAAATCGAAAAAAAAATCCTGAATGAAAGCATGGACGGCATTTGTTCCCCCTTAAAACGACGAACATACCGCGATATATGCAGCTGAAAATACAATGGCGTCTTATTTTGTTTACACGCGAAGGATTCTTTCATTTTTTTTTTATCGTTGCATTTTTCATCAAAATAATACCATGCGCGGGGTTTAGGGTGAGACAATAGATTAAACACTTAGCCTGACGGTAGTGAAGTAAAAGAAATAATTGAAGAGAAGATGACAAAACAGGCCATGAAAATGCGTGAGATGTCATGGGACATCGTCTGCTTGTGCAAGTCATGTTCAACATGTGACGTCACACATCTCAGCAGCATTCGGAGAGCGCTTCAGATGCTATGCCGGGGCTGTATTTAAGTGCTTTGTAATTAATAATAATCCTTACTTCGAATATTTTCAAGCATTTCTGTCCGATCAAAGTTTCACCTTTGCAATAATGACAGTAAAGTTAGTTTTTAAAATCAACGAACCTTCTTTTAAAACCTATACACCAAATGAATAATAATAATAATAATAATAATAATAGCCTAATAGACCACTCCAAATTTTATTAAACCGAAACGGAAATTCTTTTTGCCCAATTGATCGTGAGCCCGGCAGCCACTGAGCAGCGCCAGATCGACGTTGATCTATCCCTTATTGTTGAACGCCAAACAAGGTAGCAACAACTCCCATCTTTTATCGTCTTTTGGTATGACGCGGCCGGGGTTCGAACCCACGACCTCCCGGTTGTAAGGCGGACGCTCTACTGACTGAGCCAACACTCCGGTAGGAAGGAAGGAAATATGAATTGTAATACACATGGAGTATATTTCATTGCGAGAGAGAGAGAGAGAGAGAGAGAGAGAGAAAGTGAGAGGGGGTGAATTAATTGAGAGATTGGGATCAAGTTTAATACAGAAAGTGCACTATTGGACAATCAAACAGTCCAAAAAATAGAGGTAATATGAATATATATAGAGAGAGTAAAATATCGATATGGAAACATAGATTGGAAGTTACTAGAATGATATATAGAAAAATTGATTGCCATAACCTTATTGGTGAACCTTCATCGAACCAGAGATCTCGTTCAAAATATGAGTCATAAGCAAACACCCACACCTTTTAAATTTTGTTTCCTTCTTTGTTGAGGGGTTTGGGTGGATATTATCAATCACTGAATAATAACACAATTTATCAAGCAGAATTATAACGAAACAATGTAATTTTGTGAGCTCTGGCAATAGGTGAAATTTAGCATTCAACTACTAATCATTTCAAAATAATTTTTGGATTTTGAGAAACAAAAACATTTCTCGAAAAAAATTGTTCTTTAATTAGTTTTTGTTTAAAGGCCCACTGCACTACTCGTAGCTACTTGCGCCCTCTTACAACAAACAATGCCTAATCGGTGACCATTGGTCCCCCATGATCCTCTTTTTCTTATGTTAACTGAGAGCTGAGTTGATGAGATAACCACCTGTCCAGTGACCTTGCAGGGCGCTCTAATCCCTCCTGTAAACTATGGCAGATAAGCTTTAATCTATTAAGTTATTTACTAACATTTATTTTTTTCATTCATTCATTTTTTCATATTTAAAAAAATATATTCCATTATCTTTTTACGAGTATCATGCTTCATAATTGTATGTTGTTTTTTGGGGTGTGTGTCCTCCCCCCCCCCGTCGTATCAACCCACCCGACTTTATACCTTTCGACTTGTCAAGTTGTCAATGTTGCCGGTTCCAAACTATTTTGTGCTATAAAGCTATGGTGTGGTGATCACATATTCAGCCCCCAACCCTGAATTTGACCTGCTTCAGTCCGCTGCTTGAATGATTTCGCGGTGAACCTCATGCGCAGGCTCTGTTGTTTATGACCAGTAAACTGGACGATGCAGGAATATGACGTTAGCAACACATTTGGTATCATCACTGGTGGAGCCATTTGTAGTGTGTATAATTGAACATCAACAAAAGAAGAAATGATCAGACAAATTTCCAAACGAAATAATGAACATATTCTTCCCCAGGTTTTGTACAGGCAGACTGTAGTATTCCCGAAAAGACGTGTCCACACTGCACAGTTGTACTTGTGTCTACACATACCTACCCGGTTGGAACGTACCTGCAGTGGAGGTGTGAAGAGAACTACGTCATGGAAGGACCCTCTGACGTCAAAGTCTGGGTCTGTGGTGGGGATGGCCAGTGGACCGGAGAGCAACCGAATTGCGAAGGTGAGAAGAGAGAGAGAGAGAGAGAGAGAAAGAGAGTGAGAGAGAGAGAGAGAGAGCGATAGAGAAGGAGAGAGAAAGAGAGAGAAAGATAGGAAGAAAGAGATGGAGAGATAGCGGAGAAGGAGAGACAGAGAGAGAGAGAGAGATAGAAGAGAAGGACAGACAAATATAGATAAAGCTAAAGAAAGAGATGGGAGAGATGAAGAAATAGAAGAGAAGGAGAAAGAGGGAGAGACATTTAGAGAGAACAAAATGGGGCCTGATAGAGCATGTAGAGCTCGGATGTAGAAACAAAGAGAAAACAAAGTGAGGGACCATATCGATAGACATAGAGGGAGAAAGCGAGACAAAAGATAACAAAAAAAAAATAGACATAAAAAGGCGAAGCCTAGATTTTTCTAAAGATAGCGAATAGAAGAAAAGAGTGGAACTCGATAATTTATCTATAATTGTAATTTCAAACAAATCCTAACCACAATATAAATAGTCAGTTATAGTTACAATATTTCCTGTTGATACTGAAACCTAATGCTTAGTATACATACTCTAATCAGTGTCCTATATGACTCTCTTAACAAAGGTCTGTCAGTGACTTGAATCATTGTTTGGGGGGGGGGGGTTCCACTTGAAAAATAGAAACCAGGCAGATTAAAGGCAAATGAGACAAACTTTTCCAAGCGACCAAATTTATTACATTACAATATTTCGATTCATCATCTTCATTTCTTTACAGTTTTAACCTGTCCGTCGCCTCCCATACCTGCGTACGGGGGAGTGAACCCGGTGGAGGCAGACCAGTACAGCTACGGTGACACCATAGATTATAGTTGCCAGGACGGATACCAGCTGACTGGGAGTGCTGAAAACACATGTGGGCCTGACGGGTCTTGGGCGAACGAAGCCCCAGCGTGTCGAAGTATCTCTTAAATGTTTTATTATTGTTCTGTTGTCGTAGTCGATGGTTTAATCACTTTACTGCAAAAAGCGTGGGTCGTAGGTGCGAACCCAGGCGCGGCACCTGGACCAAAGTATTACGTCCTTGAAGGAGAGTATCGTGTCCATGAGCAAGGCATTTTGTCTACATCGCTACTCTCCACCCACGTTTTGAATTGGTACCCGGTACTAGGATGTGAAAATCCTTGTGATTTGATTTGCATGCGCATGCGCGTAAAAAGGCGACTGGCTGAAATCAATTACTGGAATGTTCCCCACTGGAGTGGAGAGTGTACACTTTAAACTGATATTAATTGAATATACGTAATAAAAGCAATTGAAGATACATCACAGAGTTGCCAATTTGTCTTTAATTGATCGCACCTTCATAAATTCAGAACTTCCTAACTTTTAATAGATTGTGCTCAAACATTCACAGACCTGTTTCGATCATTTGTCCTCACTGCTCTGCTTCTATTGAAAGACTATCAGAGTGGACTTCCCCTTTGAAAAGCACAATTTCGATATAAGGATTTCTTCATATTTGAAATAGACATCATTTATATTAATTCTAGTCATTCGATAACGTTTCTAAATCCAACAATACATTTAAACCCATGATAATTTCTCCAAAACATTGAAAATGAACGTGATTTTCTTTTGGTCATTTACTTTTATAGTTTCCGGGACATTGTGTGATCCTCAACTCAATGACGTCATGACATCGCAGCATAGTTGCATCAAGGCGAGTCAGTTGCTCGTCCAAGATACCATGACATGGGATGATGCCAATGCCACTTGTCAGGATCTTGGTAGTACTGTTCCAGGTGAGCCATCTCTATTTTAGGTCATACTGTTTATCCTCCCCTTGCTCATTCACCCTTTATCACTCTCATTCACGATTTTTATCGATCCTCATCATTCTTTCGTTTTCTCCCGGCATCTTCCTCATTAGTTATATTTTTCACTCTCTTGCAATATCCTCCCGTCTTTCTTTCTTGCCCCCTCTCTCTCTCTCTTTCTTTGCCCCCCCCCACTGTCCCCCTCTCCCCTCTCATCCTCCCCACCTCTCTCTATTTCTCCCTCTCTCTCTCTCTCTCTCTCTCCCTGTCTCTTCCCCTCTCTCTCTCTCCCCTCTATCTCTTTAAAGTTCTAATGTTCAAATTCATTATTTTAATATATGATAATTAATATATGACTTTCTGTTGAACTTAAATTTAGAAAAAACTAACAAGTTTAGGAGGTTATGTAAAATTATCCCTCCTCTCGCATTTCCTCAATCTATCCCTCTATTCCTCGCTGACTTTCTAATCCTTAGTATTTTTCCATATCTCATTATATCTCTTTTCCCTCTTTGTTTCTCTTTCTTTCGCACTTTTTAACCCCCTCCTGTATTTTCTTTGTACATTCTCTCTCCCTCTCTCTTTCTCTCCTTTTGTACCTCTAGTCTTATGTTGCTACACTAAGGCTATGACATGAATGTTTATCAAATGGTATTTAACACTTTATTTCTTTGCACGATGAACATCCCAAGTAATTCACCGTTGAGGCGACCATGGTTTTAATAATTACCACTTTCAATCTAATTCAAATTAAAATTCAGGTGAACTGGCTATGATCAAGACAGAGGCCATGCAAGAAGATGTACGGGATTTAATCAATCTACCAAAGGCAAATGGTTACTTTTTCGATAACTATTTCTGGATAGGAGCCAAGGAAGGTCGGAATTGGAAGTGGTCTAGTGGTGCGTATTTTCTGATTGCCCTTTCTTGAAAGTAATCATAAATAAGTTCATAAGTTTATTATTCCGCAACAAATGTAGAAAAGTGTACAAAGTGTACAAATAACTAAAATAAAATTATAGGGCGAGGGAAAGCTATAATAACTCAAAATACAATAAAAGTAAATAAAATAATGTAGCGATTAGTTTTTGGAGAAATAATGTTAGATATTAGATTTCAAAACTGTTAACTTTTAATTTGGGTAGTTTGATATTTGAAAAGATCATGATTGTTTTTGAGATGTTATAAAGGAAATTGAAGAAATGGCGGAAAGTTATTTTATTCAGCATTAACCGTTTAAAGGATTTAAAGGTAGTTGGAAGTTATGCATGAATAAACCGTTGCAAACGCATAATATGGTAAATACTATGTTGTATGATGTAGAATATAACTTCTATGTTACAAGAATGAAAACATAAGTCAGATCATTGTCATATCTAGGTGTTCAAAAGAAAATATGAAGATAACTTGACTTACATTAATTTCGTGTCACTAAACATGGTAAAGCTGTATTGAATTTCATAGCAAAGGAATATCGACTCGAGCTGTTCGGTTATTATTCTTGTTTCTTCTGTCATTTGGGATACTGCTGGAAAGTATTTTCCTGACCATACCGCTAAGAACAATGGTGGCTGACACTTTGACATCCATTAGATCTTAAAATTTATATGTTCTTCATTTATTAGCTTTTTCGTCCTATTTTCACGTGTTTTTTTTCTATACTTGCAGGGATGTCAAAAATCCTTCTTGCAGATACCTCACCTTAACAGGTTGCAATTTGTGTAATAACTTCGTTCCAATTTGAATTCAATAACGCGGTCTAAAGGAAATCCTGAAAAAAACTCAATAATGCTATAGAAGATCTTTTCCCGAATTGTCTTTTTCTCTAATGACACTTTAACTGAGAAGCATATTTTGAATTGATTCATAGATGACTCGAATATACAGCGTTTATTTTGGGCCGGGACCAACCTAGTCCTGGGTCTGGATCCAGTTGCATTTACTTGAGTTCTTCTGAAGACTATCTCTGGATGATTAACGCGTGTACCAGAACTCGTCGTTTCATCTGTCAATACGGTACACTTGTTTTTGGTCTAAATTTGAGAGAAACTATATTCCCGTAGAAAAAACCCTTTTTCCTCAATCATTCAACGACAAACGTCTGGGACTAATAGCGTCTCAAAAAATAAAGGAAATCTAACTGGATGAAGATAGTTGGTCTGCTTAACTATTCAAAAACTTCAACAGAAGCCCTTTGATTGAGTTAAACAAGAGGTCCAAAAAGTCAAGATATATTGTATCTACACATATATTGAGACTGTCTGCTGCCTAGAAATTGCTGGGTAAAGATATTTGGCAGCTGGTATCCAGAATCGCCATTAGGTTCAGAATTGATTTCTTTAATTCAAATGGATTGTTTAAACTTGTTCTAGCCATGAGTAAACCGCAAAGATGAATAGAGGATCACCCTATCCAATCATGTCCAGGGTTGAGAGCGTGCACAACAACTGCTGATGTCATTCATTAATTCGTATGCTCTCAAACCACACGGACCTCAAGGAAAACTGATTCGAATTTTGACATACATAAGCATTATTACTATACTACCAATTTCAATCCATGGGGGAATTGATCAGCCAAATCCTATTCGGTTTTATTTTCAGATGGAAGTTGCACCGGAAGGATTTCGAATGATGCCTTAGTTTTGCTTGATTACCGCCACAAGTGCTACCGATTCAGCACCGTCATAGTGACATGGTCCACAGCGAGAGATACTTGTACGACAGAAGGTGGCTCTTTAGTGGAAGTCATTGATGGAAGCCTGCAAACCTTTTTGACCCAGCAAGCCATGAACATTGAGGAGAATTTCGGAATCGAAGCTAACTGGTGGATAGGAGGATACGACGATGGTTCTGCAACAGACAGAGCTTGGTTTTGGATGGATAGTAAGTCAATACAAAGATATTAATTACGATACAAACATAAAAGTAGCTTTAAATGCAAACAAATGAAGCTTTTCGTTTTTCCACTTCTTGAGTGAAATGTAAAAATGGACTGGGAACTGAAATCAAGCAACATAAACGGGAACGTTTGTAGAATAGCGGACAGGCAGGCGTCATGAGTGCAACAGGAAAGGCTTCAGTGTATCAATAGGTGTTTGAAGCTATTTTTCACCTAGTCCCTACTTACCAATAGAAGCATTTCTACAAGTGCTCCCACTGCTGCCTTCTTTATCTTATACTAAATTTGATGATACGTTTTTAGATCTTACTGATCATTTAGATAGACTTACTGAATATCCAATGGCCTTACAAAGTATCCATTGACACAATCGTAAGGTTTCAAAGACATCAGGTCAAGGGTAATTCCAATAGCCTTTTGCAAATTCCATAGAAATGAAATCAAAGTAACATTACGTAATATGTCATTGTAATATTTTCATTTCTCTAAAGTGATGGACAAGGCTATTGAAATCACCTTTTCCCAAACGATTACTAATACTTTCTTCTTCTTTGTTCAGATACAAGGGCTACTTACATGTCATGGAACAGTGGCCAGCCAACCAAAACTACAAAGAGATGCGTGGAGGTTAACAGCGATATGAACCATAACTGGAATGACAGAGGTTGCAATTCCAGACGACAAGCCATGTGCCAAATCGGTGAGTAATCGCTTGTAATTTGAAATACATGATACAGATCAATTTTTAAGTGTTCTTAGTCTTCTAGGCCAGTGATGTGATTCTACAATCCTTCTCAATGATCACGGTTGTATAATACCCCGGCTAAGTAGACAGAATCGTATGTGGTCCCAAGAAGATCCAGTTCATTTCAGGCTTTGATGGGGTTAATGAAAAACTGGATGATTGAAATGTCCAACTATGTGACTGTTTAGAGAGCGGTTTTAAGTCCTCTCCGTAGACTTGGTGATGGGTATTACTTACGAAAGGGCATAAGCGCATCGACTTGGTTTCAAGCCCAGGACCTCCCAGTTACGACAGCACTGATCTACCACGGAGCCATGGCGCCTCCCAGTTTTGGTCTCTTTATCGTTGGACGATTGACAGGACATTAAATGACTTGTAAATCAGAAGGAAAAAAAAACGTACTCCATAAAGTGCAATGAACAACAAAATCCGTTGTAAAAACACTGGTCATGATATTCATTTATAGGAATCGCAGCATGTGGGGATCCTGGAGCTCCATCACACGGAACCAGAAGTCCAGGGGACAGATCCACCTTCCTAGATGGAGCTGTCATTCAGTTCTCCTGCGATCCTGGGTACGAACTAGAAGGAGCCACAGAGATCACTTGCCAACCCGATGGGAGCTGGGATGGTGTCAAACCCTTATGTGCAGGTAAGGGCAGTTACTATGGACCCTGGAAAGACATCGTCAATGTCCTTACCACTTCACATTCTAAACCTCTTTATGACTCATTTAAAAACAACGAAGTCAATTTCCGTTTCGGTTTAATAAGATTTGGAGTGGACTATTAGGCTATTATTATTATCATTATTATTATTATTATTATTATATAAACAAAAACCCTTTCGATTCCCTCAGGGTTGACATTTGTATTAAATAGATTTTCTCTAAATATTAGATCATTTTGTTGTATGACAAAACACCAATTCGAAAGCAAATGCTAACTTTTCATCACCTAGCTGATCTTTAGCATTCTGCGGGAAAACCACATTTCAAATGCTTCTTACTTTTGTTCTGTTCCTTTGCATAAGGTCCATGTTTCGACTCCATACAATAGAGTACTCCGGATGTAGCATCTCCGCTCAAAGTTTATCTTCCTATAACATAATATTTTTTTCCATTTTCATGAAGACTGATCTTGTAACTTCAATCCTCTGTTTTTATTGCATTGTAACATTTTCCATCCTCTGTGACTCTCTGCCCAAGATAAACAAACTTGCTCACTTGTTCTATAAATATACTATTGATTTCAATGCTAACACGAGGGACTTCCTTCTTCCGCGACACCACCATGGTCTTAGTTTGGGAGACATTAATTGCCATACGAAATCGTTCCCCTTCATCATTCACTTTTCCTACTAGTCTCTGCAGATCCTCTTTCGATTCGGCTAATATTACAGAGTCATCAGCATACCTCAGGTTGTTACTGTTCAAACCTCCTATTTTGATACCCTCCTCATCATTCAGTACTCTGAAAATCATTTCTGAATAGATGTTAAACAAAACAAAGAGATCAGCCTGCCATTATCCAGTGCCACACTTCCTTGCAGCTTTGGTGTAAACCCATCATTCTCGGAAGACTTACAATTCGAACGGGCACTATCCTCATCCTAGGCACTATCTAATGCAGATGCATCACCTGCAAGGGACCCAAGCTCATCTGTATGACTTCTTTCTGTTCTGTCTCTATCCATAGCATACTATTTTAGAGAATACATGGTAAGGCTTAAATCTTTTCCACGGAGGATGGCCGTTGGCTGACATGGAGCTCACCCGCCCTTTGATAGGTCTTGTCTTTAGTCCTGCTGGGTGTCCTCACACCCTCCTCAGAAATAAGGTGGGGTTGACGGTTAAGCCGCCGACGACTCGACCATGAACAGGTTGTACTGGATAACATGTGTACCAGTATCAGGTAAGCAGGTAAGAATACCTTACATTACCCGACCTGACCAGAATACGCAACATTAATTTAAGATAAATTGTGACCGATGTTAATTTTCTCTCACTGCAGTGATATCATGTGGGGATCAACCCCCTGCGGTCCTCAAAGCGCTGATCACGGATATTTCACATATCTTCCGAGGGACTGCAGTTTATACCTGTAACGAAGGGTCAGGGGCTTCTGGTAACCCACTCTCGCACTGCCAAGCAGACGCAACTTGGAGTCAACCAGATTTTCAGTGCATAGGTAGACTGACCGAACAGCTAATCACTTCATTCGATTTTTTTTAAACTGAATTTATCAAGACAGTATAAACCATGTCAAAGGAATACAAAAAAGTTCTATAAATCTCCATACTTTTTCGATTCCCAGATATGCATAGTACGTATAGTAGTAGTAGTAGCTGTTTGTCGTGAAGCAACAATGACCCCGTCACTTTCATGAAGGCTGCTTGCAAAGGTAGGTAAGTAGCGGTAGCTCTAGCAAGTTACTAACGGCACTCTCTCGGGGAACTGGTGGCAGTTTCACACCGGCGAGGACAAGCCAAAACGGGTGTGAACCACTAGACCCTGCAGTGACTGGTCGAAAGATTTCGGGAGTTCCATATCGTCAATCGACCTCAATGATGTAACTGTAATACTATTATAATATTTATAATACATGTAAAAGGGGAAAGTAATATCATAAAAATATTGAACCAAGAATTCTGTTCTGAATTGTTCTTGACACGACAAGTTTCCATTGATAACAATTTTACAATGTGACATAGTGGTTTAAATTAGCAGAGAGAAGGTAGATGGTTGGAAATGGGCAGTGGGGTGCAGCGGGTCCTAATTATGAGGGGACAGGGGCATCGTGAGAGGGTGATATCGGCCTGACAGGGTCGGTTTAATGTATTAAAGAACACCAATTCGGAAGAGGATGTGGGAGGGTTCCGACATTTTTTGACGCTCCCTTCCATATTATCCCCTTTTCTCTAACCTTTTCATATGTTTTGGGGTGTTTTTGTGTTCTCTATTTTTATTGGGGACAAGTGCCCCCATCTCTACACCACCGGCTATGAGGGAGGGGGGGGGGGGGTGGAAAAGTGAAAAAACGAAAGAACGAGAAGAACGAAATAAACACATGACAGAGTGGGATGTCATACGAAGCACTGCACTTTAGTTGTCAAGGAAAGCGGCAGTTTTGTACAAACTATTTCATTTCATTTCATTTCATTTCATTTCTTTATTGTGTCCATAAAGGATAATTGTTTATATGCACATGAACAATCTTGCTTCAACATATGAACATAGGAACAACATATAACTGACATTCATAGGGCCCTGTTTTAGTATACATGTGATATAATATACATGGTCATGATGAATATACATTTAAATACTCTTTCTTCTTCTTCTTCTTCTTCTTCTTCTTCTTCTTCTTCTTCTTCTTCTTCTTCTCTCTTTCTTCTTACATACACTCCATTTTTTAAAATTCTTATATGCTCTAATCTGAAGTAGGTATTTTGTGTTAAAAATTATTTCTTGATATGGTATAACAGTAGGGGTACAACAGTAAAGTAAGTATACGAAAACAATATATATATTCGTGTAACATGTCAATGAGGGTATTTTGCATGGTTTTCACATTCTCTATTCTTTACTGGGTTTCATTAACTACTCTTATGGAAAGTGGAATGAATGAATTAATGCGGCGACTAGTTCTTGCTTTAACAGATCTCAATCTTCGTCCGCTTCTCGGGTGTATGTACTGGTCATTAAGGGGGTGGGTAAGATCAGACATAATGGATAGGGCCTTAGATACTACTCTTTCCTTACAGACTTCATCTAGGTCAACAGTATGGTTCATTATTTTGCTGGGTTGTTTTACAACCCTTCTCAGCTTTTGTTTGTCACTTTGCCTTGCATTGTTAAACCAGATAATGGAATCAAATGTAATAGTACTCTGAATTTTCGACTGGTAAAAGAGAAACAGAATTCTGTCGTTCACATGAAAGTTGTGTATATACATATATTAACGGTTGGAAATTTGTCGGTAATTGAAATTATTGATTTTCATTTTCCTCCAGCGGAGGATCAAATCGTTTTTCAATTATACCAGACATTTCAGTGAGAGCGTTATCATAAATTTTCGCCAAAATATACACGTATACCATTAAATGCGAATAAAATAATAATCCTTCTATATATCTAAAATTTGGGAGAGGGGAAAAATAGAGTGGGAGGAGAGAAAGAAAGAGTGAGAGACAGAGACAAAGAGAGGAAAAATAAAGTTTGTTTAAAGTTAAACAATACAAATAATGCCAAAGTCTGGTAAATACTACGGATGTGCCGACGTTAAGTAAATATTTAGGAAATCAATATTGGTTGTTTTATGTTGTAATATCAATCAAATGCTATGACTCATAATCATTCAAGGGCATGTTCCCACACGCAATGTGGAATCTCATTAGCTATGATAACACGGAACTAAAAAAAATCATAGCAAATACTTTGCTCTAAAGTGCCCGTTCAAAGAAAATCACAAATATGGCAAATAACCTATCACTAGAAACTGGTAAGCTAACAGATGGCCATCGTACAAGTTTTACGTCAACTACATATTGGGCGATTTATAAAAATACAAATAAAACCACATCAATAGCATCTAGGATATACGTCAGATTCGCTAGAAAAATAAAGAAGTTTAAATTACGTTACAATATGAACCAATTCTGCCCAAGCAGACGACATCCCATAAAGACTAAACATAAGTGCAATGCTATTATTTCTCATATAATATGTTTGATGTATATGAATGTGATGTCATCTTACACCATTCAATAAGGGATATGAAACCGATTCTGATAGCTAAATTCTTTTGTTTGTAAATACACAGGGTAGGGGTTAATTAACAATCAAAGAAAACACACTTTCAAATCAAAAAAAAAAAAATCCTGAATGAAAGCATGGACGGCATTTGTTCCCCCTTAAAACGACGAACATACCGCGATATATGCAGCTGAAAATACAATGGCGTCTTATTTTGTTTACACGCGAAGGATTCTTTCATTTTTTTTATCGTTGCATTTTTCATCAAAATAATACCATGCGCGGGGTTTAGGGTGAGACAATAGATTAAACACTTAGCCTGACGGTAGTGAAGAAAAAGAAATAATAAGAGAAGATGACAAAACAGGCTATGAAAATGTGTGAGATGTCATGGGACATCGTCTGCTTGTGCAAGTCATGTTCAACATGTGACGTCACACATCTCAGCAGCATTCGGAGAGCGCTTCAGATGCTATGTCGGGGCTGTATTTAAGCGCTTTGTAATTAATAATAATCCTTACTTCGAATATTTTCAAGCATTGAAATTTGATATTTCTGTCCAATCAAAGTTTCACCTTTGCAATAATGACAGTAAAGTTAGTTTTTAAAATCAATGAACCTTCTCTTTAAACCTATACACCAAATGAAGGAAGGAAATATGAATTGTAATATACATGGAGTATATTCCATTGCGAGAGAGAGAGAGAGAAAGTGAGAGGGGGTGAATTAATTGAGAGATTGGGATCAAGTTTAATACAGAAAGTGCACTATTGGACAATCAAACTATAGAGGTAATATGAATATTTATATAGAGAGAGTAAAATATCGATATGGAAACATAGATTGGAAGTTACTAGAATGATATATAGACAAATTGATTGCCATAACCTTATTGGTGAACCTTCATCGAACCAGAGATCTCGTTCAAAATATGAGTCACCCACACCTTTTAAATTTTGTTTCCTTCTTTGTTGAGGGGTTTGGGTGGATATTATCAATCACTGAATAATAACACAATTTATCAAGCAGAATTATAACGAAACAATGTAATTTTGTGAGCTCTGGCAATAGGTGAAATTTAGCATCCAACTACTAATCATTTCAAAATAATTTTTGGATTTTGAGAAACAAAAACATTTCTTGAAAAAAATTGTTCTTTAATTAGTTTTTGTTTAATCTATTAAGTTATTTACTAACATTTATTTTTTTCATTCATTCATTTTTTCATATTTAAAAAAAATATATTCCATTATCTTTTTACGAGTATCATGCTTCATAATGGTATGTTTTTTTTTTGGGGGGGGGGTGTGTCCTCCCCCCCCCCCCCGTCGTATCAACCCACCCGACTTAATACCTTTCGACTTGTCAAGTTGTCAATGTTGCCGGTTCCAAACTATTTTGTGCTATAAAGCTATGGTGTGGTGATAACATATTCAGCCCCCAACCCTGAATTTGACCTGCTTCAGTCCGCTGCTTGAATGATTTCGCGGTGAACCTCATGCGCAGGCTCTGTTGTTTATGACCAGTAAACTGGACGATGCAGGAATATGACGTTAGCAACACATTTGGTATCATCACTGGTGGAGCCATTTGTAGTGTGTATAATTGAACATCAACAAAAGAAGAAATGATCAGACAAATTTCCAAACGAAATAATGAACATATTCTTCCCCAGGTTTTGTACATGCAGACTGTAGTATTCCCGAAAAGACGTGTCCACACTGCACAGTTGTACTTGTGTCTACACATACCTACCCGGTTGGAACGTACCTGCAGTGGAGGTGTGAAGAGAACTACGTCATGGAAGGACCCTCTGACGTCAAAGTCTGGGTCTGTGGTGGGGATGGCCAGTGGACCGGAGAGCAACCGAATTGCGAAGGTAAGAAGAGAGAGAGAGAGAGAGAGAGAGAAAGAGAGTGAGAGAGAGAGCGATAGAGAAGGAGAGAGAAAGAGAGAGAAAGATAGGAAGAAAGAGATGGAGAGATAGCGAATAAGGAGAGACAGAGAGAGAGAGAGATAGAAGAGAAGGACAGACAAATATAGATAAAGCTAAAGAAAGAGATGGGAGAGATGAAGAAATAGAAGAGAAGGAGAAAGAGGGAGAGACATTTAGAGAGAACAAAATGGGGCCTGATAGAGCATGTAGAGCTCGGATGTAGAAACAAAGAGAAAACAAAGTGAGGGACCATATCGATAGACATAGAGGGAGAAAGCGAGACAAAAGATAACAAAAAAAAAAATAGACATAAAAAGGCGAAGCCTAGATTTTTCTAAAGATAGCGAATAGAAGAAAAGAGTGGAACTCGATAATTTATCTATAATTGTAATTTCAAACAAATCCTAACCACAATATAAATAGTCAGTTATAGTTACAATATTTCCTGTTGATACTGAAACCTAATGCTTAGTATACATACTTTAATCAGTGTCCTATATGACTCTCTTAACAAAGGTGTGTCAGTGACTTGAATCATTGTTTGGGGGGGGTTTCCACTTGAAAAATAGAAACCAGGCAGATTAAAGGCAAATGAGACAAACTTTTCCAAGCGACCAAATTTATTACATTACAATATTTCGATTCATCATCTTCATTTCTTTACAGTTTTAACCTGTCCGTCGCCTCCCATACCTGCGTACGGGGGAGTGAACCCGGTGGAGGCAGACCAGTACAGCTACGGTGACACCATAGATTATAGTTGCCAGGACGGATACCAGCTGACTGGGAGTGCTGAAAACACATGTGGGCCTGACGGGTCTTGGGCGAACGAAGCCCCAACGTGTCGAAGTATGTCTTAAATGTTTTATTATTGTTCTGTTGTCGTAGTCGATGGTTTAATCACTTCACTGCAAAAAGCGTGGGTCGTAGGTGCGAACCCAGGCGCGGCACCTGGACCAAAGTATTACGTCCTTGAAGGAGAGTATCGTGTCCATGAGCAAGGCATTTTGTCTACATCGCTACTCTCCACCCACGTTTTGAATTGGTACCCGGTACTAGGATGTGAAAATCCTTGTGATTTGATTTGCATGCGCATGCGCGTAAAAAGGCGACTGGCTGAAATCAATGACCGGAATGTTCCCCACTGGAGTAGAGAGTGTACACTTTAAACTGATATTAATTGAATATACGTAATAAAAGCAATTGAAGAGACATCACAGAGTTGCCAATGTGTCTTTAATTGATCGTACCTTCATAAATTCAGAATTTTCTAACTTTTAATAGGTTTGTGCTCAAACATTCACTGACCTGATTCGATCAATTGTCCTCACTGCTCTGCTTCTATTGAAAGACTATCGGAGTGGACTTCCCCTTTGAAAAGCACAATTTCGTTATAAGGATTTCTTCATATTTGAAATAGACATCATTTATATTAATTCTAGTCATTCGATAGCCTTTCTAAATCCAACAATACATTTAAACCCATGATAATTTCTCCAAAACATTGAACATGAACGCGATTTTCTTTTGGTCATTTACTTTTAGTTTCCGAGACATTGTGTGATCCTAAACTGCATTATGACGTCATGACATCGCGTCACAGTTGCATCAAGGCGAGTCAGATACTCGTCAAAGATACTATGACATGGTATGATGCCAAGGTCACTTGTCAGGATCTTGGTAGCACTGTTCCAGGTGAACAATCTATATTTTTCGGTCAAACAGTTCATCCTCTCTTTCTCATTCACCCTGTATCACTCTCATTCACGATTTTTATCGATCCTCATCTGTTATTTTCTCCCGGCATCTTCCTCATTAGTTATATTTTTCACTCTCCTCCTCCCGTCTTTCTCTCTCTCTCTCCCTCTCCCCGTCCCTCTCTCTCTCTCTCCCCCCTCTCTCTCTCTAGTTCTAATGTTCAAATTCATTATTTTAATATATGATATATTATTATATGACTTTCCATTGAACTTAAATTTAGAAAAAAATAACAAGTGTAGGAGGTTATGTAAAATTATACCTTCTCTCACTCTCTCTCAATCCATCCCTCTATTACTCGCTGACTTTCTAATCCTTAGTATTTTTCCATCTCATTATATCTTTTTAACCCCCTCCTGTATTTTCTTTGTACATTCTCTCTCCCTCTCTCTTTCTCTCCTTTAGTACCTCTATTCTTATGTTGCTACACTAAGGCTTTGACATGAATGTTTATCAAATTGTGCGGTATTTAACACTTAACTTCTGTGCTTGATGTACATTCCACGTAATTCACCGTTGAGGCGACCATGGTTTTTAATAACTACCATTTTCAATTCAATTCAAATTTAGGTGAACTGGCTATGATCAAGACAGAGGCCATGCAAGAAGATGTACGGGATCTCATCAATCTACCAAAGACACTTGGTTACTCTTTTGATTCCTATTTCTGGATAGGAGCCAAGGAAGGTCGGAATTGGAAGTGGTCTAGTGGTGCGTATTTTTTGATTGCCCTTTCTTGAAAGTAATCATAAATAAGTTCATAAGTTTATTATTCCGCAACAAATGTAGAAAAGTGTACAAAGTGTACAAATAACTAAAATAAAATTATAGGGCGAGGGAAAGCTATAATAACTCAAAATACAATAAAAGCAAATGAAATAATGTAGCGACTAGTTTTTGAAGAAGTAATGTTAGATATTAGATTTCAAAACTGTTAACTTTTAATTTGGGTAGTTTGATATTTGAAAAGATCATGATTGTTTTTGAGATGTTATAAAGGAAATTGAAGAAATGGCGGAAAGTTATTTTATTCAGCATTAACCGTTTAAAGGATTTAAAGGTAGTTGGAAGTTATGCATGAATAAACCGTTGCAAACGCAAAATATGGTAAATACTATGTTGTATGATGTAGAATATAACTTCTATGTTACAAGAATTAAAACATAAGTCAGATCATTGTCATATCTAGGTGTTCAAAAGAAAATATGAAGATAACTTGACTTACATTAATTTCGTGTCACTAAACATGGTAAAGCTGTATTGAATTTCATAGCAAAGGAATATCGACTCGAGCTGTTCGGTTATTATTCTTGTTTCTTCTGTCATTTGGGATACTGCTGGAAAGTATTTTCCCGACCATACCGCTAAGAACAATGGTGGCTGACACTTTGACATCCATTAGATCTTAAACTTTATATGTTCTTCATTTATTAGCTTTTTCGTCCTATTTTCACGTGTTTTTTCTATACTTGCAGGGATGTCAAAAATCCTTCTTGCAGATACCTCACCTTAACAGGTTGCAATTTGTGTAATAACTTCGCTCCAATTTGAATTCAATAACGCGGTCTAAAGGAAATCCTGAAAAAAAATCAATAATGCTATAGAAGATCTTTTCCCGATTCGTCTTTTTCTCTTATGACACGTTAACTGAGAAGCATATTTTGAATTGATTCATAGATGACTCGAATATACAGCGTTTATTTTGGGCCGGGGACCAACCTAGTCCTGGGTCTGGATCCAGTTGCATTTACTTGAGTTCTTCTGAAGACTATCTCTGGATGAATATCGCGTGTACCAGAACTCGTCGTTTCATCTGTCAATACGGTACACTTGTTTTTGGTCTAAATTTGAGAGAAACTATATTCCCGTAGAAAAAAAAACTTTTTTCCTCAATCATTCAACGACAAACGTCTGGGACTAATAGCGTCTCAAAAAATAAAGGATATCTAACTGGATGAAGATAGTTGGTCTGTTTAACTATTCAAAAACTTCCACAGAAGCCCTTTGATTGAGTTAAACAAGAGGTCCAAAAAGTCAAGATATATTGTATCTACACATATATTGTGACTGTCTGCTGCCTAGAAATTGCTGGGTAAAGATATTTGGCATTTTGTATCCAGAATTGCCATTAAGTTCAGAATTGATTTCTTTAATTCAAATGGATTTTGTCAACTTGGTCAAGCCATGAGTAGTCTAAACCGCAAAGATGATATGATGATCACCCTATCCAATAATGTCCGAAGTTGAGAGCATGCACAGCAACTGCTCGTGTCACTCATTGATTCCACACATTTGATAAGAAAATATTATGCTCTTAGCTTTCTCTTGAAAGAACTTCTCAAATTATAAATTATTGTTACCACTGACACACGGACCTCAAGCAAAACTGATTCAAATTTGGATATTACAGTAGAATTATGACTGTACTACCAACTTCAATCCATGAGGGAATGAATCACTCAAATCCTATTCGGTTTTATTTTCAGAGGGAAGTTGTAGCGGAAGGACTTCGCATGATGCCCTAGTTTGGCTTGACCACCGCCACAAGTGCTACCGGTTCAGCACCGCCATAGTAACGTGGTCCACAGCGAGAGATACTTGTACGACAGAAGGTGGCTCTTTAGTGGAAGTCATTGATGGAAGCCTGCAAACCTTTTTGACCCAGCAAGCCATGAACATTGAGGAGAATTTCGGAATCGAAGCTAACTAGTGGATAGGAGGATACGACGATGGTTCTGCAACAGAAAGAGCTTGGTTTTGGATAGATAGTAAGTCTTTAGAAAGATATTAAGTACGATACAAATCTAAAAGTAGCTTTAAATAAAGTTTTTCGTCTTTCCACTTTCAACTTCCAGAATGAAATGGACTGGGAGCTGAAATCAAGCAACATAAACGGAAACGTATGTAGACTGACTAGCGGACAGGCATGCATGATGAGTGCAACGGGAAAGACTTCACTGTAACAATATGTGTTTGAAGCTATTGTTCACCTAGTCCCTACTTACCAATAGAAGCATTTCTACAAGTGCTTCCACTGCTGCCTTCTTTATCTTATACAAAGTTTGATGATACGTTTTTAGATCTTACTGATCATTTAGATAGACTTACTGAATATCCAATGGCCTTACAAAGTATCCATTGACACAATCGCAAGGTTTCAAAGACATCAGGTCAAGGGTAATTTCAATAGCCTTTTGCAAATTCCATAGAAATGAAATCAAAGTAACATTACGTAATATGTCATTGTAATATTTTCATTTCTCTAAAGTGATGGACAAGGCTATTGAAATCACCTTTTCCCAAACGATTACTAATACTTTCTTCTTCTTTGTTCAGATACAAGGGCTACTTACATGTCATGGAACAGTGGCCAGCCAACCAAAACTACAAAGAGATGCGTGGAGGTTAACAGCGATATGAACCATAACTGGAATGACAAAGGTTGCAATTCCAGACGACAAGCCATGTGCCAAATCGGTGAGTAATCGCTTGTAATTTGAAATACATGATACAGATCAATTTTTAAGTGTTCTTAGTCTTCTAGGCCAGTGATGTGATTCTACAATCCTTCTCAATGATCACGGTTGTATAATACCCCGGCTAAGTAGACAGAATCGTATGTGGTCCCAAGAAGATCCAGTTCATTTCAGGCTTTGACGGGGTTAATGAAAAACTGGATGATTGAAATGTCCAACTATGTGACTGTTTAGAGAGCGGTTTTAAGTCCTCTCCGTAGACTTGGTGATGGGTATTACTTACGAAAGGGCATAAGCGCATCGACTTGGTTTCAAGCCCAGGACCTCCCAGTTACGACAGCACTGATCTACCACGGAGCCATGGCGCCTCCCAGTTTTGGTCTCTTTATCGTTGGACGATTGACAGGACATTAAACGACTTGTAAATCAGAAGGAAAAAAAAACGTACTCCATAAAGTGCAATGAACAACAAAATCCGTTGTAAAAACACTGGTCATGATATTCATTTATAGGAATCGCAGCATGTGGGGATCGTGGAGCTCCATCACACGGAACCAGAAGTCCAGGGGACAGATCCACCTTCCTAGATGGAGCTGTCATTCAGTTCTCCTGCGATCCTGGGTACGAACTAGAAGGAGCCACAGAGATCACTTGCCAACCCGATGGGAGCTGGGATGGTGTCAAACCCTTATGTGCAGGTAAGGGCAGTTACTATGGACCCTGGAAAGACATCGTCAATGTCCTTACCACTTCACATTCTAAACCTCTTTATGACTCATTTAAAAACAACGAAGTCAATTTCCGTTTCGGTTTAATAAGATTTGGAGTGGACTATTAGGCTATTATTATTATCATTATTATTATTATTATTATATAAACAAAAAACCCTCTCGATTCCCTCAGGGTTGACATTTGTATTAAATAGATTTTCTCTAAATATTAGATCATTTTGTTGTATGACAAAACACCAATTCGAAAGCAAATGCTAACTTTTCATCACCCTGCTCATCTTAAGCATTCTGCGGGAAAACCACATTTCAAATGCCTCTTACTTTTGTTCTGTTCCTTTGCATACGGTCCATGTTTCGACTCCATACGATAGAGTACTCCAAATGTAGCATTGACAGATTCTGCATCTCAGCTCAAAGTTTATCTTCCTACAACATAATATCTTTTCCATTTTCATGAAGACTGATCTTGTAACTTCAATCCTCTGTTTTTATTGCATTGTAACATTTTCAATCCTCTGTGACTGTCTGTCCAAGATAAACAAACTTGCTCACTTTTTCTAGCAATACGCCATTGATTTGAAAGCTAACACGGGGGAATTCCTTTTTCCGCGACACCACCATGGTCTTAGTTTGGGAGACATAAATTGCCATACGAAATCGTTCCCCTTCATCATTCACTTTTCCTACTAGTCTCTGCAGATCCTCTTTCGATTCGGCTAATATTACAGAGTCATCAGCATACCTCAGGTTGTTACTGTTCAAACCTCCTATTTTGATACCCTCCTCATCATTCAGTACTCTGAAAATCATTTCTGAATAGATGTTGAACAAAACAAAGAGATCAGCCTGCCATTATCCAGTGCCACACTTCCTTGCAGCTTTGGTGTAAACCCATCATTCTCGGAAGACTTACAATTCGAACGGGCACTATCCTCATCCTAGGCACTATCTAAAGCAGATGCATCACTTGCAAGGGACCCAAGCTCATCTGTATGACTTCTTTCTGTTCTGTCTCTATCCATAGCATACTATTTTAGAGAATACATGGTAAGGCTTAAATCTTTTCCACGGAGGATGGCCGTTGGTTGACATGGAGCTCACCCGCCCTTTGATAGGTCTTGTCTTTAGTCCTGCTGGGTGTCCTCACACCCTCCTCAGAAATAAGGTGGGGTTGACGGTTAAGCCGCCGACGACTCGACCATGAACAGGTTGTACTGGATAACATGTGTACCAGTATCAGGTAAGCAGGTAAGAATACCTTACATTACCCGACCTGACCAGAATACGCAACATTAATTTAAGATAAATTGTGACCGATGTTAATTTTCTCTCACTGCAGTGATATCATGTGGGGATCAACCCCTGCGGTCCTCAAAGCGCTGATCACGGATATTTCACATATCTTCCGAGGGACTGCAGTTTATACCTGTAACGAAGGGTCAGGGGCTTCTGGTAACCCACTCTCGCACTGCCAAGCAGACGCAAATTGGAGTCAACCAGATTTTCAGTGCATAGGTAGACTGACCGAACAGCTAATCACTTCATTCGATTTTTTTAAAACTGAATTTATCAAGACAGTATAAACCATGTCAAAGGAAAACAAAAAAGTTCTATAAATCTCCATACTTTTTCGATTCCCAGATATGAATAGTACGTATAGTAGTAGTAGTAGCTGTTTGTCGTGAAGCAACAATGACCCCGTCACTTTCATGAAGGCTGCTTGCAAAGGTAGGTAAGTACCGGTAGCTCTAGCAAGTTACTAACGGCACTCTCTCGGGGAACTGGTGGCAGTTTCACACTGGCGAGGACAAGCCAGAACGGGTGTGAACCACTAGACCCTGCAGTGACTGGTCGAAAGATTTCGGGAGTTCCATATCGTCAATCGACCTCAATGATGTAACTGTAATACTATTATAATATTTATAATACATGTAAAAGGGGAAAGTAATATCATAAAAATATTGAACCAAGAATTCTGTTTTGAATTGTTCTTGACACGACAAGTTTCCATTGATAACAATTTTACAATGTGACATAGTGGTTTAAATTAGCAGAGAGAATGTAGATGGTTGGAAATGGGCAGTGGGGTGCAGCGGGTCCTAATTATGAGGGGACAGGGGCATCGTGAGAGGGTGATATCGGCCTGACAGGGTCGGTTTAATGTATTAAAGAACACCAATTCGGAAGAGGATGTGGGAGGGTTCCGACATTTTTTGACGCTCCCTTCCATATTATCCCCTTTTCTCTAACCTTTTCATATGTTTTGGGGTGTTTTTGTGTTCTCTATTTTTATTGGGGACAAGTGCCCCCGTCTCTACACCACCGGCTATGAGGGAGGGGGGGGGGGGGTGGAAAAGTGAAAAAACGAAAGAACGAGAAGAACGAAATAAACACATGACAGAGTGGGATGTCATACGAAGCACTGCACTTTAGTTGTCAAGGAAAGCGGCAGTTTTGTGCAAACTATTTCATTTCATTTCATTTCATTTCATTTCTTTATTGTGTCCATAAAGGATAATTGTTTATATGCACATGAACAATCTTGCTTCAACATATGAACATAGGAACAACATATAACTGACATTCATAGGGCCCTGTTTTCGTATACATGTGATATAATATACATGGTCATGATGAATATACATTTAAATACTCTTTCTTCTTCTTCTTCTTCTTCTTCTTCTTCTTCTTCTTCTCTCTTTCTTCTTACATACACTCCATTTTTAAAAATTCTTATATGCTCTAATCTGAAGTAGGTATTTTGTGTTAAAAATTATTTCTTGATATGGTATAACAGTAGGGGTACAACAGTAAAGTAAGTATACGAAAACAATATATATATTCGTGTAACATGTCAATGAGGGTATTTTGCATGGTTTTCACATTCTCTATTCTTTACTGGGTTTCATTAACTACTCTTATGGAAAGTGGAATGAATGAATTAATGCGGCGACTAGTTCTTGTTTTAACAGATCTCAATCTTCGTCCGCTTCTCGGGTGTATGTACTGGTCATTAAGGGGGTGGGTAAGATCAAACATAATGGATAGGGCCTTAGATACTACTCTTTCCTTACAGACTTCATCTAGGTCAACAGTATGGTTCATTATTTTGCTGGGTTGTTTTACAACCCTTCTCAGCTTTTGTTTGTCACTTTGCCTTGCATTGTTAAACCAGATAATGGAATCAAATGTAATAGTACTCTGAATTTTCGACTGGTAAAAGAGAAACAGAATTCTGTCGTTCACATGAAAGTTGTGTATATACATATATTAACGGTTGGAAATTTGTCGGTAATTGAAATTATTGATTTTCATTTTCCTCCAGAAGGCACAATGGCTCCGACTACTACAAGACCTACCACACTTATCACTACCACAAATATTACTACTCAAACTCCTACTACTCAATCACCTGAGACGTCGACGGCTCCCCAGACCAAAATTAATTCAGCTTCTCTCACAACAACTCGACAAACATCAATGTCTTCTCCTGCCTCCTCTTCTTTCAAAAGTAAATGAATACCTTGCCATTAGTGCCGAATATGAACATCGATTTCACGAACAATGTATTACAGGGAAACAAGAGAACCGTTGAACGTATTAAAGGGGTGCCTGAACTGGCGTTGTGCTTTAATACCCGTGGTTTAGATGCCAACTACATGTATTAAATCATAATCCTTATTTTGTACAAATACAAATTAAACTAAATCATTTATATAAAAACCAAGTTGTAATCCAATACAAAAAACGCTTAGATCAGTTCCATTGTTGGGCAGTGGTCTCGTAGACGAGAATTGCCTGAATTGGCGTTGTGCTTTAATACCTGTGGTTTAGATGCCAACTACATGTATTAAATCATAATCCTTATTCTGTACAAATACAAATTAAACTAAATCATTTATATAAAAACCAAGTTGTAATCCAATACAAAAAACGCTTAGATCAGTTCCATTGTTGGGCAGTGGTCTCGTAGACGAGAGATTCCGGGGTCGGAACTCACTGTGATGAGCTAGCGCTTTGGCTGAAGCGTTAACACTTATTTACCTCAAGCCATTGGACCGCTGATTTCAAACTTAGAAACACGTGTTTCCTTCTTTTTAAACTGTCTGGTATAATAATCTATAGGCCTAAGCAAGGGCTAATGTAATGAAATTGCTATTTTCTTCTTTTACAATTTACAGATTTTATGATACCAATTGGATCTGTTTTTGCAGTCGTCATTATTGCCATTGTTATCATCTGTATAGTAGTCTGGAGGTAAGGAAAATATGCCTTTATACAATTTCATAACCAGATTCACCTGTCACACGGTAGTATACTGTTCCGTATTATGAAATAGTCACAGTTTGAAACTCTGTGCATTCCTTATGTAAGATGGACTATACACGCAGCAGCTAAGATCACATAACATCACATTATATCACCACATTTCCCATCAAACCACATCACATCATACCACAAGTGGGGTTATGAGAGTACACGTTTTTTTTTTAGAGTACACGGCTTACTACTGTGAAGTATTCATAAGATTGCTTATGGATTACAATTAATAAAAGTTACAGTATACTTCCGTGACGTGTGAAATTGGTGAATCGAGTAGTGTATTCGTTTCGCTAGTTTCTTACATTTAAATGATATAAATTAAGCATACAATTACGTTAAAGTGGGAGTACATTTGGTATGATATGACTTTAAACTGAAACGTGAAATCTTAAATTAAGGCCTGTCGATGACAATACAAGAAATACAATATCTATGCCCTATTTCACAAAAATGTTCATCGGTAACAAATGACAGTTTTTGTTACAAGCTAGTGAAATCCTTGCTTCTGATCGATTATCACTGATTTTTGTCATTTGTCATTGAAAACAGGCTTTGTGAAACGGGTCCCAGGTCCAAGCATTGCGCATTTGAGACTAAATTAATTAATTTACATCGGTATTAGTGCTGTAATAATTGTGAATAGGTGTAAATAGCTTTAACGATAGCATTGTTACTTAAGCTAGCATTTTCTGATATCGGCTTTCGGTTCATTCGTTCTATTTACTCTGATGAGAACAAGAGGAAAAGCAATTGTATATCTTATTTGTTGCCATTCCTAGAAAGGACGTATATTCATTTTTTTCTTTTCATACGATATCGAAGAGGTTGCCCATTTTGGTGCTATGTATAAGGTAGTTATGGTATTTTTTAATGTTAATTTTATCAGTTATTCGTCATTGATAGAGAGATATCAACTCATCCATATGTTATTCTTTGAATTGTCCATTCGGTCAACAGAAGAAGACAATTGAGGAAGTCCCCTGATACATCATCGCTTGACACACCAACCTACGACTGCATAGGCAATATTTATAATATATGCTTTACAAAGGACACCAGGGGCACAGTCGGGAACAACAACGATTCCTATATCGGACTCGACCTAGGTAGGATGCAATCCGTTGAAACGGACGAATCACGTTATCTGGCTCTGGGCGAAGGCATAACAGGACGTCCAATAACAGCTACAGGATCAAGTAGCCCTAGAGGGCGCCCAAATACTGGCATCAGTACTACGGAACTTGTAGATGTCGACAACGAAGGTTATGCTTCGCTAAGGATTGGGGAAGTTCGGAGCATTCAACAGTTACCTTACACGACTCTGTCACGCTGGGGGAATTCTGACCAAAGGAGAGGGCAGAATGTTTCAGAAGGAGACGTGGGTGGTAGGGAGGGTGCGGATTTCGATCAGTTTCGATCTACTTTTGAAGCGCAACATCGGAGCTCGATAGACACGGACATCAATCTGTATGAAACCGTGATAACCCCGCGGCCGTCCAGAGACATGGGAGTCCTTCGCAAGCAGGGTAGTCTCGGTGAGAGCGAGTATGAAGAACTTGACAACATGAACATCAACCCTAATAATGATGCTGACCCATTGACAAGCCAGGGCGCCACACCACTGCCCAATCAGAGTCCGTTGCAGCCAGCACTTCCCCTAACACAGCTCTAAGGGGCAATAACATGCGTGACACATCATACAGTGAAGTTGATGACCCTAACATGATATTCAATATCCTCTATCAGCCCTCCGGAAGTGACGTTGTTCATATAGACATACTTGTAAATCCACCATTGAAAGGACCGCTTCGAAGTCGCATTCGCTTGAACAAATTGATGAACAACGAACATCGACATATGATACAATAGATGATACCACCTTGATGTTTAACAACCTTTACGAACCTTCAAATATGACAAGGAAGAACAGATGCATTTGCATCAAGCCAATGGAAATCTCCAGTGGAAAAAGATGGCTATGAAGCATTACAGAGACAACAGAACGAGACACGTTGACGACAACGACGTTCGCGATCTGCAAGCCCATGTCAGAGGAGACACTAAAGGTCAAGTCAGCTGTAATAGTATTGAACAGTCAGGTTCGCCAAAGATGAACCTACAGAATGACAGCACACAAAAGGAAGGCTCATCTGAACCAACAGCAGATCGTCCAATGTCTGATAATCCGTATTATTTTTATAACACTTCCGAAGATAAGGATGCAACAGACCTAGACTGTACAAGTATTACATACGGCGTCACTCCTGCAGGGACATATCCAAAAACTACTTTTGTGGAATCTTGTGCCAAGATAAAAGAAGAAAACGATAAAGAACGAGTCAATAGAAATGTTGAGGATGTTGAAGGACGACATTACTATACACTGGAACCCTCCAGTTAGACATTTTAAAAATTGCTGATACTGAAGGACAGTTTGTCATTAGGTTTATCATACTTCTTGATTGCATTTGCAATTCAGATATTCAAGATACATTGATATAAGTACATGATAGTGTTTGATGATGTTTGAAGGTTTGCATGGTGGTATGAATAATCACGGAAGAGGTTTACGGTACACCATGTGTAAAGTCCTCGAGGGACTGAGGAAAGTGGGTAGAAAATAGAAGTGAGATGGAAAGGCGAGAAAGTGGAGGTTGGAAGGAAGAGTATCTTTCGGAAGTGAGTATAGTCCTGAAGACGGACAGTCAACCTGTCCGAAACGTCGAGTCTACTCTCCTGCTCCTGCTCTGCAACTCTACTCGCCTACTCAACTCTCCAACTCAATCCAGTCTTCTACTCAAACCCCTCATCCCTCCTACAACTTTCTGGTTTACAGTCCTTTTCAGGACTATACTCACTTCCGAAAGATACTCTTCCTTCCAACCTCCACTTTCTCGCCTTTCCATCTCACTTCTATTTTCTACCCACTTTCCTCAGTCCCTCGAGGACTTTACACATGGTGTACCGTAAACCTCTTCCGTGATTATGATAGTGTTTGAACAAGAAACAATAACAAGCAATATTTATGTCTATTTATATGGCGCAGCTTCTTTACCGATGTACTCTACAGCGCTTAATACAAAGTAGCATAGTATTACCCAGGTTGTAGCTGAGCCGCTGCGATAAGGCTCTAAATTATTCAAGGAATTCTTACCTACTGCGCACCCAATTACTTCACTTGGGTGGAGAGTGACAAACGTAGAATAATGCCTTTTCAAACGATATTATTGCCCGGCGCGAATCGAACTGCCAGCTATGTTATCTACTGTCCGTTGACGTATCCCCTGAACCACGACATCACTTCCTCTGATTTCATAAATTATAGATAGTGACAGGGAGATACACTCTATCATAAAATTATGATATAAACGAACGAATGAATATGTCACAAATTAACAATTCATGCGCCACGACCAGTTTATTAAATGTTTATCAAAAATTAAATTTCATTATATGACTACGTTTTCACAACTGTTCGTAATATTAAATTATGGTTAAGCAATTTCATTTTAATAGAAACTGTTTAGAATTCATTCTGAATGGTTCTTTAGAAATAAAAAGAAATAGGAAGGTTTCGGAAATATCTAAAGTATTTCACTGCTGACTAAAATTTCGCTGTAAGGTACAGCAATGAACGACATTCATTTTACACAATCATGAGTAACTGGGACTACACGAATCCGTAGTTTGGTCTTATTTGAAATACAGAACCATTTCAAGAACGATACGACTATTGGTCATTGTTTCTGTGATACCATTTCAGGAAGGAATGAATTCGAGAAAGTATACGATTCATACTTTGTCAACCAGAACTCAACCTCGGTTTTAAATTTTCTATACGGAATAGTTTTATTGGAGAATAAAGTGTCATACTTATTATCTCTTTTATATCGTACTGCGAAATATTATAAATCATGTGTATCATATATTGTAGAGTATATTGTCGTGTGCCATATTTTCGCAAAGGGAAATAATAAGGGAAATAATACCGAGGCTGGATTTAAAGAATACGTATCTGATATCAACTTAAATGTTTTGAATGAAGAAGATGCAAATTTATGTGAGGGAAAAATCACAGAGAATGAATGCTGGGAAGCACTGAAGTCAATGAAGATGAACAAATCACCTGGAAGCGATGGACTCAGTGTTGAATTTTTATAAATGCTTTTGGGGGGATATCAAACATATGGTAATTGACAGTCTGAATGAGGGTTACGACAAACAACAATTGTCGTGCACACAAAGTCAAGCTATCCTTACTCTATTATATAAGAAAGGTAACAAAAATGTTTTAGATAATTGGCGACCTATTTCGCTGTTAAACATTGATTATAAACTTGCAGCTCGCATTCTTTCAATACGATTACAGAAAGTTATATATAAACTTGTATCACAGGATCAGGCTGGTTTTTTAAAAAACCGCTCTGCATCTGAATGTACCAGACTAATTCAGGATACTATTGATTATTGTCTTTTTGCAAACAAACCAGTTGTTATGATGTTCTTGGATTTTAAAAAGGCGTTCGATACCATTGGTCATGTTTTTTTATTGTCCTTGTTACGGGAACTTAAATTTAAAGATTCGTTTTTAAGATGGATTGAAACGTTATATAATGGTGCTCATGGTCGTGTCTTAAATTTTGGTTGGATATCCGACAAATTTGCAATAGAAAGAGGCGTTAGGCAAGGTTGCCCACTTTCTCCACTTTTATTTATAATAATTGCAGAGGTTTTAGGGAAAAGAATTAAACAAAACGCCAAAATAGAGGGAATCCAAGTCCCAGACTTCAATGAAGATCAAGCTGATTTTAAAGATATACGTATCGTTCAATATGCAGACGATACGACGATTATTACTAGATCTGTAAAATTTGTTAAAGAAATAATGAAAGAAGTAGAACTGTTTGGAGCGCATGCGGGACCAAAAATTAACTGGACCAAATCAAATCTTATGAAACTTAATATAAATGACGATGAAGTTGAAGATTTACATTTCACTGAAGACCCTATAAAATGTCTTGGTATTTATGTAGGTAAAAATTCTTTTGACGTTCAAAATTTAAACTGGGAAAGTAAAGTAGAGAAAATAAAGAATACCTTGGATTTATGGAAAATGAGAAAACTTACATTGTACGGAAAAGTTGTTGTGATTAAACATTTAGTTATGTCTCAGATAGTACATACTGCCACGGCAGTTCCGATCCCTTCTAAAATAATTAAACGTATAAATAAACTGGCTTACACATTTTTATGGAATTCAAAAACAGAAAAGGTGAAACGAAACATCTGTCACAATCCTGAAGTAGAAGGGGGGTTGGGAATGATCGACTTAGAGTCAAAATGCCGGTCACTCCGTCTTTCATGGATTCATAAATATTTAAGAGATGAACAAAGTGCTTGGAAAATTTTGTTTAAATATTGGATCAAGAAAATTGGGGATTTGCCACTTTGTTTGCATTTTAATTGCAAAAAGAGCGATATGTATCGTATTTGTAGAAAAAAACAGTTGCCTAACTTTTATGTTGACATGTTTTGTTCTTGGGCTGAATTAAAATATATTGATATGTTTAAAGTAACAGATATTGAAAATGAAATGATTTGGTATAATAGCAATATTAAAGCTATGAATGAGTTATTGTATTTTCCAAACTGGATGAGAAACAATATTTTTAAAGTGAAACAAGTCTTAGTTAACGGTATCTGGAAAGAAGTTGATTCTATTTGTATTAATTTTCAAGAAAATGAATTACTTTCCGCCTTCAAATTGGCAAAGTTAAAAAGTGCATTCCCGAATTTTTGGTTGCAGAAATTACGTAATAGGTTACAATATGTAAATAGTCCACCGTCTGCAGTGGAATCCAGTACAATAGAAATAGTAACAGGTGACTCCATTGATGTAGCGGTCATGAAAGCCAAACACTATTATAATTTGATGTTAGTAAAAAATAGACAGAATCTGCCGTGCATTTATTTTTGGAACGCTTATTTTGATTTACCCAATGAGTTTAACTGGAAAACGTTGCTCCATTATAAATTTTACTTTATAAATGACAACAGAATTAAGCAGTTTAATTTTAAATATCTTCATAGAATATTGCCCAGTAAAGACAATTTATGTAAATGGAAGATTAAAAATAATAATCTATGTGATATATGTAAGATTCCAGACACAACTAACCACCTTCTCCTGGCTTGCAAGAAGGTTTCGCTTTTTTGGAAGATTGTATCCAAATTAATTGATACTTTGTTTAATTTTAAAATCCTTTTGAACGAAGAAATTCTTTTAATAGGTTATGAAATAGAGAGAAGAGAAATGAATCTTGTCAATCTTATTTTAAACTTCGCTCAGTTTATTATCTATAGGAACTATATTAGAGAATGTTTTGGAAGTGAAAAGCACAGGAAACATGCTGTATATTTGATAAAAGAATTAAAGGTGGAAATTCGCACCTATCTCAATATGAAATGTAATCAAAAGAAATTCGATACAAACGAAGTTACAAAAGTTACAAAAATGTTTTCATTATTTTAGTTAGTGATTATGTCACATTAGTTTCATGTTCTGTACTATGTATGATATGTTACAATTGCATGAATTTTGTATTTAAACACTGTTGTAAATAGCTGTTATTTTATGATATGAACAAATAAAGTCCCTCGAAAGAGGATAAATAGAGAAAAAAAAAAAAATATTTTCGCAAAGCTTTGATACATTTCCTGGAATCAATCAACAAATATTAGAGCGTTTCTCTCTGGGAGAACTACAATCAGCTCATTTTCAGTCAACTACTGTTAGTGGTCAAAGGTTTTGTTTGCTTAAGCTACACGAAGTTTCTGTTGTTCATGATTAAAGTGCTTACTGATTAAATGTACTAGTGATCAAAACACCGTTTGATATTAATCAAAGAGCATTATGTATTTGTCTTCAAAAATCTATTCCACATGATACCCTAGTTGATTTCATATAACAAGAAATCTGCAAACTAAGTTTGAATATTCATATATATATATATATATATATATATATATAGTGTATGTGGGGTGTGTGTGTGTGCGTGTGCGTGCGTGTGTGTGTTTG